ACAAACATAAGATTTATAAACAGTAAACAAGTGACACATGTCACATATAACAACTTCAGTCAAAGTCATTGTGAAATATATAGCCAGACACTGGGGCTGGCGGGATGTAGACTTTTATCAGACCGTTGGCGAATTTGCCCGATTTGTCAGAGGGTCGGACGCTATTCGTGAACACTGTTCATGAAGTCCAGTATTGTGGAAGTTTGTATGTAAATTAGGATTCCACAACAAAGTACATATAGAAAAATAAAATGGAAATGATGATTAAAAAATTGATTTCCTTATATTCAGTGTCATATTATCATGGTGTACAGATTTTGAAGAGGGAAACTTTACTGAGAATTGCTGCAGATCAGCTGTTGAATATTTGCTTCTGGGTATGTCCAGATACGACCATGGAAACATACTGTTTACAAGCCCAATTACCTTTTCCAGGTTTCCAAATAAGATCAAATAGGTTATGCTGTGATGGATTTGTTTACATTAATTATATACAGACAGATAAGGTGCACGAAGTAGTAGATGGGAAATATTTTCTGCTTAATTCATTAAAAGATAGAAACCCATGTTTTCAGATTATTGAACTAAATCTGAATGCCAACGGATAACTACAAGTAAAGGCGCCCATGCAGTGTTGATAATCTATTTATAGATACTGAAACGATCTGCAACATGAACATGTGGTTGTGTTCACGTTTTTTATAAAATTATAAAACCCAAACAACAAAATTCAGTTACCCTTCCCCTGCTAATATCTGTGATGGAGGTGAATTGCCAGATAGATTAATTGATTCGAAAGAAATTACGCTTCCTACAGTCTCAGTAGTTAGTTGAGACCATTTTTCATCGGGCATGTAACTGATTTTCACCAATTGCAATCTGCCAGCTAAACTATATTAAAAATCACATACGTATAACTTGCCTCTTTAAATAACATTCACAAACGATCACAAGCAGAATTCATCAACAACGTTCGCAAACACGTACGTTTCGCCGGCGGTGACGCCATTGTGATTTGTCAGTGGTTGTCCCCCCTAACGTCAAAAACAAGGTGGGCGGGGCTTATCGGCTAGGACTGGATCAGTCTATTGGAAGAGGCCAGTAGGGAACTAAATACAAACAGCACGAGTGATGAATTCAATAAACAGGGGGGTTTAGTAGTAACAACAAATAGACAGACAACAAATTTGACCTATGGTATCATTGCTGGGGTAGACATGATATCAATGCTGGAGTATGCATGATATGAATGCTGGGGTAGACATGATATCAATGCTATGGTATCATTGCTGGGGTAGACATGATATCAATGCTGGAATATACATGATATCAATGCTGGAGTATACATGATATCAATGCTATGGTATCATTGCTGGGGTAGACATGGTATCAATGCTGGAGTATGCATGATATGAATGCTATGGTATCATTGCTGGAGTATACATGATATCAATGCTGGGGTATACATGATATCAATGCTATGGTATCATTGCTGGAGTATACATGATATCAATGCTGGGGTATACATGATAAATGATATCAATGCTGGAGTATACATGATATCAATGCTATGGTATCATTGCTGGAGTTTACATGATATCAATGCTGAGGTATACATAATATCAATGCTATGGTATCCTTGCTGGAGTATACATGATATCAATGCTGGGTATACATGATATCAATGCTGGGGTATACATGATAATTGATATCAATGCTGGAGTATACATGATATCAGTGCTATGGTATCATTGTTGGGTTATACATGATATCAATGCTGGAGTATACATGATATCAATGCTATGGTATCATTGCTGGAGTATACATGATATCAATGCTGGGGTATACATGATAATTGATATCAATGCTGGAGTATACATGATATCAATGCTATGGTATCATTGCTGGAGTATACATGATATCAATGCTGGGGTATACATGATAATTGATATCATTGCTGGAGTATACATGATATCAGTGCTATGGTATCATTGTTGGGTTATACATCATCATCATCATCAACTAGGAACTTATATAGCGCAAGAATCCAGTCAGTATAACTGCTCAAAAGCATTTGAGAGGATGCATGTCACATGTATCAGCAAGGTCCACTCGGTCTAGGCGTATGTCTTTGAGAATAGGTGAGTCTTGAGATTGATTTTAAAAGTTGCCAAGTTATTTATAAGTCTCAGTTTTATTGGCAGATCATTCCAGAGTCGTGGAGCTGCTCTGGCGTAGGATCGATCTCCATAGGTGGTGGTCCTTGCATGTGGAACACACAGCATGCTTTGTCCAATGGATCTAAGAGACCTGGCTGGCTTGTATTCCTGGAGGAGTTCCTGGAGATACACAGGGGCTAGGCCTGTCCTTGCTTTGAAGGTTAACAGGAGCACTTTATAAGTGATTCTGTCTGCCACCTTCAACCAATGAAGTTTCTTTAGCACTGGAGAAATGTGGCATACATTGATACATGATATCAATGCTGGAGTATACATGATATCAATGCTATGGTATCATTGCTGGAGTATACATGATATCAATGCTGGGTATACATGATAATTGATATCATTGCTGGAGTGTACGTGGTATCATTGCTGGGGTATCATTAATACAATGATCTGAAGTATTCATACGTCTTCAGGTTAAACCTGGCAGGTCAGTTCTGGATTGTTTGCCTGGTTAGGAGTTGAGATGTTCCCAATTATTTCCAATTTAGCATTTTAGACTTTTGTTCATCAATGAGAGTGAACTATTATTTTTCAGTTATCTATGGTGTGAATGCCTGTTTGTATTCATTCACAGTCGCCCAGGGATAAAGTGCATATTTCAAGTGCTTGTTTTTGGTTTAGCCTTAAGTTTGAGTTCTGTTCTTGTGGTAATTGATAATTGAACTTCTCTGATTGTTTCTTGTTCTTCATCATACTGAACTGATATAACTTGGAGTGGTTGAAACATGTTAAATATACCCCGAATCATGAAATACATGTCACAGTGGGATGAAAATTGAAGTGAGTGAATGAGTGTATGGGTGGTCACTGTCCCAGTGAGTGGGTATGGGTGGTCATGTCCCAGTGAGTGAGTGATGGGTGGTCACGTCCGAGTGAGTGAGTGTATGGGTGGTCACGTCCCAGTGAGTGAGTGTATGGGTGGTCACGTCTGAGTGAGTGAGTGTATGGGTGGTCACGTCCTGAGTGAGTGAGTGTATGGGTGGTCACGTCCCAGTGAGTGGGTGTATGGGTGGTCACGTCCCAGTGAGTGAGTGTATGGGTGGTCACGTCCGAGTGAGTGAGTGTATGGGTGGTCACGTCTGAGTGAGTGAGTGTATGGGTGGTCACGCCTGAGTGGGTGTATGGGTGGTGCTATGGAGTGTATGGGTGGTCACGTCCGAGTGAGTGAGTGTGTATGGGTGGTCATGTCCGAAAGTGAGTGAGTGTATGGGTGGTCACGTCCCAGTGAGTGAGTGTATGGGTAGTCACGCCTGAGTGAGTGTATAGGTGGTCATGTCCGAAAGGAGTGAGTGTATGGGTGTGAGCGTGGGTGGTCATGTCCCGTCCGAGTGAGTGATGTGGTCACGTCCGAAAGTGAGTGAGTGTATGGGTGGTCACGCCTGAGTGAGTGTATGGGTGGTCACTTCCGAGTGAGTGTGAGTGTATGGGTGGTCATGTCCGAAAGAGTGAGTGAGTGGTCAGTGCCTGTGAGTGTAGGTCACGCCTGAGTGAGTGGGTGTATGGGTGGTCACCGTCTGAGTGAGTGAGTGCATGGGTGGTCACGCCTGAGTGAGTGAGTGTATGGGTGGTCTCGTCCGAAAGTGAGTGGGTGTATGGGTGGTCACGTCCGAAAGTGAGTGAGTGTATGGGTAGTCACATCTGAAGTGAGTTTATGGGTAGTCACGCCTGAGTGAGTGAGTGTATGGGTGGTCACGCCTGAGTGAGTGGGTGTATGGGTGGTCACGCCTGGGTGAGTGAGTGTATGGGTGGTCACGCCTGAGTGAGTGAGTGTATGGGTTAGTCACGTCCGAAAGTGAGTGAGTGTATGGGTACGTCCGAATCCGAGTGAGTGAGTGTATGGGTGGTCACGCCTGAGTGAGTGGGTGTATGGGTGGTCACGCCGAAGTGAGTGAGTATGGAGTGTAGTGGAGTGGTCATGCCTGAGTGAGTGTGTGGGTGGTCACGTGAGTGAGTGTATGGGTGGTCACGTCTGAGTGAGTGGTGTATGGTGGTCACGTCTGAAGTGAGTGTATGGGTGGTCACGCCTGAGTGAGTGGGTGTATGGGTAGTCACGCCTGGGTGAGTGAGTGTATGGGTGGTCACGTCCGGTGAGTGAGTGTATGGTGAGTGAGTGAGTCACGCCGAAAGTGAGTGAGTGTATGGGTAGTCACGTCCGAGTGAGTGAGTGTATGGGTGGTCACGTCTGAGTGAGTGGGTGTATGGGTGGTCACGTCTGAGTGAGTGAGTGACTATGGGTGGTCACGTCTGAGTGAGTGGGTGTATGGGTTGTCACGTCTGAGTGAGTGGGTGTATGGGTTGTCACGTCCCAGTGAGTAGGTATATAATAGGTTATCACGGAGTTTGCTACTAGTTGGGTTATGGTATCATATGCAATTTAGTTACTGTAATCATTAAGTGATGATCATGATACACAATACAATAACAGTATTAATGATAATATTTAAGTGTCTGGGACCCCCATTTTGTTGTCCAGGACCCGTGAAAACTAAGAGTATGAGTCCCAGGGATCCTCAAATACAGGACTCAAGGTAAATCCCTGTTGCAGACAGGCAAGTTTTAAGAATTTGTTTTAATTTTGCATCATTTTGAAAAATGAATGTCTAGTTAGTTCACAAAGATACTGGTAATGTCATACTGTCTAAAAACTAAATTTGAGTTAAACACTGGTTCTGAACATGGTCTTTCAATACGACTGTATCAGAATGTCCTAGAATATGCCAAGTAACAAGAGTTGCTTCCCTTGGACTGCTAATTGTCATAATGTATGAAGCTTCAGCTGTCAGCCATGAGATGCTGGCTTCACATCACTGGTGAGCAGTGAACATAAGCTACCTGGCCACACCATTCTTGACAAGAATAGCAGCTACAGTTAGGGGAGCGTGTTGCTACAGCTCAGTGATCACCATCTCGCCAGCAAGTGGATGGCCAGGCTGGAGGCTCTTGGTGCCAGGGTATATTAGCATAATGATTGTGTGCATTGGCTGAGATCAATACCTTGTACTCTGAGACAGCAGGTTCCTGGTATGTGGGGAGACAACATGGAGGAAGAACACACTGTCCCCTGCCTGCTGGCAATTCTAGCTGCCTCTGGCGACATACACTAAATATTCTGTGGAGGGGCACTCTCTCACTGACTAATTCACTGATTCCCCATATATTGGGACCATGGCAGAAGAAACAATCTATTTGTGTAATTTCCGTGTGTCTGTTGATGGCGACTGGCTGTGTCTGCGGGAACTCAGTGATGTCCAGCTGCAGATGCAGGATGAGATGATTGTCTCCTCCGACGATGGTAGGCAGGGGGAGGGGGCGGGGTAGGGTGGTAGGTGGGTAGACTCATTTCTTATATGGTTCATACCATTGATGGAATTTTTCAAATTAATTTATGGTGTTTGAATATGGTGAACAATCTATAAGTATGTGATATTAAGACATTAATTAGAATTCAGGGAAAGAGAAATATGATATTTGAACAAACATAATTGTGAATTGTTGTAGTGTCAACAAACATATTGGTTGTATATTTGACTGACATGCAACAGGCTGGTGTTGTCAGGTGTCCAAGGAAGACAAATTATGTTGATGTTAATCTGTGACATTTAGACGTTAGTGTCAGTTCACCATCTTCCACATGTGCGGTATGTCTCAATAATAAACTGGGATGAACAACATATTGATTATTTTCTGAAGGCTTTCCTGTGTCATTAGGAATTTGTTCATGTTGGCAGAATCTGTCTGACCTAAACTGGTTATGTCATCAATTAAAATTTAGTTCAGAATGAAGATCATGCATATATTATATTGAACATGGTTAAATGTGTAAAACGTGTGAATACTGGAAACAGTTCAAAATAGTCAGCATTCTTTGTGTTGTCAACAGAGATAAGAGTAACCATGGTAACCAAGAGTTAAGAATAGTTCCCACCTTAAACCTAGCACCTGGAGATGATACATGTGTCACTGGCAGAAACATGAAAGTATAACTGCAAGAGCTGACATCTGATGAGATAATTAGTGTTAGATGAGGTCGTTAATAGAACACAGTGTCATTATATCAGTGTGGTTATATCGGTGTCATGAATCTCTAATTATTGGTGTTTTATGTACTCTGTTATAATGTCAGAATCCTGGAGTTCCTGCAGTACAGTGTTAGGATTCCTTATGTTAACATCGCCACTGTTCATGCATAGAAAGATCAGGTCATGTGAGGTTTCCTTGTGTATGTTTGAGGCCCCGGAAAGTGTCAGATTTATGTAGTTTACATCAAAGTAAACAATGAAGCATGCATGCTTTCAATTGTACCACAGACCACAATTTGCACCACAGGGTATGTAATAAATCACAATATACCATTGTATGCCAAGATATAAGGAGATATTCCATGTCATTACAACAGGCTACTTTGTAAAGATGTAACATGTGAAACGTGTCAGGACACCTTGCTGTAATTTGATAGGATGAGATCATGAACCTTCACCTTGCTGTAACTTTATTACATCAATTATCTATTACATCTGTTGCATCTAAATGTTTCATTGTTAAGTGAACAAAGCTATGAATCTCATGAAAACATCAACAAAAAGTTTATTAGAAGGAGCTTTTATGTGAAAATACATCATTCAAAAGAGTTTTTAGGTTGTATTGAAACCTATTTCACTAAAGTACATGTGAGATTAAAATAAGAATATTTGTTTCTGTTGTTGTGTGTATAAGGAGTCAAGCCCCACTGAAGACGCTTGTGAAAATCAATGATTTGGTGAAAATTGATTGCAACATTTCTCGAAAGGTTGTTAAACCCTTGAACATGTTCAACATATTTGCTGTGAAAACATCCTTAGAAGAAATGCATGTTCGTAAGTGATGAACTAATGTGCTACCAGAAAATAATAAATACACCTCAAGGTATGGAGAAAAACATAGTCCAGCATGCTAAAGTTGACTGACCAAAGTGCTTGTCAGACCATGCTTTAGACACTCACATACTACTGCATCACAACTCACATCATAACAAACAATAGTGCCATTCAAAAAGTCTTCCTTGATTTATGTGGTTAACTCTAGTTGTTGTCTTTTTCCTATTCTAGATAATTCAAAGGTACATACTTTGTTTACTCTATGACAACATACAGGATTACTGTCAACTGTGTTGGGACTGTTGCCAGACTGAGAATACAAGCGATCGATGTAGTACAATCACATTGGTATAAGAAACATCATGTTTAATGCTGTTATAGCTGTTGTGCAAGTATTATGTGCAAGGATTTTCTGAAATAGGTTTTCCTTCTCAGACATTTTCATCCCTCTGTAATGGAGAGAACACAACCAATGTTTTAGGGTGGCTTTATTAAATTCTTGTAGTGTTGAGAAATACATAGGATACAAACCTAGTGCCCTTTTCATATCAAGTCAATGTCCCTCATGGAATATGATGTGGGACATAGAAAATTATACCTCTCCACAAATATAATTCTCAGGCAAACTAATTTTGAGTCCTGTAAATATGCCAAGATGTGCAAAGATGATATGCTACTGTAAACCAAGGTGTTTCATTATATTGCACACTTACTAAGATTTCCTATATATTCAGCAACTCGCCAACATAGTCCAGCCTTTGAGTTTGTAGTGTTACTGTATGTACAGTGAGACAGGCCCAGCCTTTCAGTTTGTAGTGTTACTGTATGTACAGTGAGACAGGCCCAGCCTTTCAGTTTGTAGTGTTACTGTATGTACAGTGAGACAGGCCCAGCCTTACTGTATGTACAGTGAGACAGGCCCAGCCTTTCGGTTTGTAGTTACTGTATGTACAGTGAGACAGGCTCCAGCCTTTCTTTGTAGTGTTACTGTATGTACAGTGAGACAGGCCCAGCCTTTCAGTTTGTAGTGTTACTGTATGTACAGTGAGACAGGCCCAGCCTTTGAGTTTGTAGTGTTACTGTATGTACAGTGAGACAGGCCCAGCCTTTCAGTTTGTAGTGTTACTGTATGTACAGTGAGACAGGCCCAGCCTTTCAGTTTGTAGTGTTACTGTATGTACAGTGAGACAGGCCCAGCCTTTCAGTTTGTAGTGTTACTGTATGTACAGTGAGACAGGCCCAGCCTTTCAGTTTGTAGTGTTACTGTATGTACAGTGAGACAGGCCCAGCCTTTGAGTTTGTAGTGTTACTGTATGTACAGTGAGACAGGCCCAGCCTTTCAGTTTGTAGTGTTACTGTATGTACAGTGAGACAGGCCCAGCCTTTCAGTTTGTAGTGTTACTGTATGTACAGTGAGACAGGCCCAGCCTTTCAGTTTGTAGTGTTACTGTATGTACAGTGAGACAGGCCCAGCCCAGCCTTTCAGTTTGTAGTGTTACTGTATGTACAGTGAGACAGGCCCAGCCTTTCAGTTTGTAGTGTTACTGTATGTACAGTGAGACAGGCCCAGCCTTTCAGTTTGTAGTGTTACTGTATGTACAGTGAGACAGGCCCAGCCTTTCAGTTTGTAGTGTTACTGTATGTACAGTGAGACAGGCCCAGCCTTTCAGTTTGTAGTGTTACTGTATGTACAGTGAGACAGGCCCAGCCTTTGAGTTTGTAGTGTTACTGTATGTACAGTGAGACAGGCCCAGCCTTTCAGTTTGTAGTGTTACTGTATGTACAGTGAGACAGGCCCAGCCTTTCAGTTTGTAGTGTTACTGTATGTACAGTGAGACAGGCCCAGCCTTTCAGTTTGTAGTGTTACTGTATGTACAGTGAGACAGGCCCAGCCTTTCAGTTTGTAGTGTAGTGTTACTGTATGTATGTACAGTGAGACAGGCCCAGCCTTTCAGTTTGTAGTGTTACTGTATGTACAGTGAGACAGGCCCAGCCTTTCAGTTTGTAGTGTTACTGTATGTACAGTGAGACAGGCCCAGCCTTTCAGTTTGTAGTGTTACTGTATGTACAGTGAGACAGGCCCAGCCTTTCAGTTTGTAGTGTTACTGTATGTACAGTGAGACAGGCCCAGCCTTTCAGTTTGTAGTGTTACTGTATGTACAGTGAGACAGGCCCAGCCTTTCAGTTTGTAGTGTTACTGTATGTACAGTGAGACAGGCCCAGCCTTTCAGTTTGTAGTGTTACTGTATGTACAGTGAGACAGGCCCAGCCTTTCAGTTTGTAGTGTTACTGTATGTACAGTGAGACAGGCCCAGCCTTTCAGTTTGTAGTGTTACTGTATGTACAGTGAGACAGGCCCAGCCTTTCAGTTTGTAGTGTTACTGTATGTACAGTGAGACAGGCCCAGCCTTTTTGTAGTGTTACAGTTTGTAGTGTTACTGTATGTACAGTGAGACAGGCCCAGCCTTTCAGTTTGTAGTGTTACTGTATGTACAGTGAGACAGGCCCAGCCTTTGAGTTTGTAGTGTTACTGTATGTACAGTGAGACAGGCCCAGCCTTTGAGTTTGTAGTGTTACTGTATGTACAGTGAGACAGGCCCAGCCTTTCAGTTTGTAGTGTTACTGTATGTACAGTGAGACAGGCCCAGCCTTTCAGTTTGTAGTGTTACTGTATGTACAGTGAGACAGGCCCAGCCTTTCAGTTTGTAGTGTTACTGTATGTACAGTGAGACAGGCCCAGCCTTTCAGTTTGTAGTGTTACTGTATGTACAGTGAGACAGGCCCAGCCTTTCAGTTTGTAGTGTTACTGTATGTACAGTGAGACAGGCCCAGCCTTTCAGTTTGTAGTGTTACTGTATGTACAGTGAGACAGGCCCAGCCTTTCAGTTTGTAGTGTTACTGTATGTACAGTGAGACAGGCCCAGCCTTTCAGTTTGTAGTGTTACTGTATGTACAGTGAGACAGGCCCAGCCTTTCAGTTTGTAGTGTTACTGTATGTACAGTGAGACAGGCCCAGCCTTTCAGTTTGTAGTGTTACTGTATGTACAGTGAGACAGGCCCAGCCTTTCAGTTTGTAGTGTTACTGTATGTACAGTGAGACAGGCCCAGCCTTTCAGTTTGTAGTGTTACTGTATGTACAGTGAGACAGGCCCAGCCTTTGAGTTTGTTTGTAGTGTTACTGTATGTACAGTGAGACAGGCCCAGCCTTTCAGTTTGTAGTGTTACTGTATGTACAGTGAGACAGGCCCAGCCTTTCAGTTTGTAGTGTTACTGTATGTACAGTGAGACAGGCCCAGCCTTTCAGTTTGTAGTGTTACTGTATGTACAGTGAGACAGGCCCAGCCTTTCAGTTTGTAGTGTTACTGTATGTACAGTGAGACAGGCCCAGCCTTTCAGTTTGTAGTGTTACTGTATGTACAGTGAGACAGGCCCAGCCTTTCAGTTTGTAGTGTTACTGTATGTACAGTGAGACAGGCCCAGCCTTTCAGTTTGTAGTGTTACTGTATGTACAGTGAGACAGGCCCAGCCTTTCAGTTTGTAGTGTTACTGTATGTACAGTGAGACAGGCCCAGCCTTTCAGTTTGTAGTGTTACTGTATGTACAGTGAGACAGGCCCAGCCTTTCAGTTTGTAGTGTTACTGTATGTACAGTGAGACAGGCCCAGCCTTTCAGTTTGTAGTGTTACTGTATGTACAGTGAGACAGGCCCAGCCTTTCAGTTTGTAGTGTTACTGTATGTACAGTGAGACAGGCCCAGCCTTTCAGTTTGTAGTGTTACTGTATGTACAGTGAGACAGGCCCAGCCTTTCAGTTTGTAGTGTTACTGTATGTACAGTGAGACAGGCCCAGCCTTTCAGTTTGTAGTGTTACTGTATGTACAGTGAGACAGGCCCAGCCTTTCAGTTTGTAGTGTTACTGTATGTACAGTGAGACAGGCCCAGCCTTTCAGTTTGTAGTGTTACTGTATGTACAGTGAGACAGGCCCAGCCTTTCAGTTTGTAGTGTTACTGTATGTACAGTGAGACAGGCCCAGCCTTTCAGTTTGTAGTGTTACTGTATGTACAGTGAGACAGGCCCAGCCTTTCAGTTTGTAGTGTTACTGTATGTACAGTGAGACAGGCCCAGCCTTTCAGTTTGTAGTGTTACTGTATGTACAGTGAGACAGGCCCAGCCTTTCAGTTTGTAGTGTTACTGTATGTACAGTGAGACAGGCCCAGCCTTTCAGTTTGTAGTGTTACTGTATGTACAGTGAGATAGGCCCAGCCTTTCAGTTTGTAACATTACACATGTGATGTCACAAACGCCTGAGATTTCAGGCCCAGGAAACAAGATAACATAGTATTTCTGTATGTAAAACAGTGAGACAAACCTGCAGTAAGTATTGTAAGTGATAAATAATTTTTCAATGCATTGATGTGTGATGACAGGAAACAGCCTTTAAGCACAAGAGTTTCATTTTCATGTATCTATTTTAACAAATAGCAGTCCTATTTACAGAAACATTAATAGTATCACTCGCAGTATTGAAGCTGAGCACTGGCGACCTTCACTTATGTTCTCTCAGATATTGTCCATGACACAAACAAGGAAGTCTGGCCCAATGTGGCCAAACCTTCCATGGAGTACTGACGAGGGGAATGTTTTGGCCAGTTACAATGGCTGGATATAATCCACAGTATACTCAGATATGCAGTAATGTTGAACATTCATCCTTATTATAGGGTAATCAACATGGATGGTGTCATTTCAACATCCTTTTTCCTTTTTCTGTTTTTGTTTGTTTGTTGTTGAACGCTGCAGTCAGCATTATTCCAGTTATATGGCGTTGGTCTGTAATAATCAGGTCCAGACCAGACGGTTCACTAATCAACAGCACAAGCTTTGATGTCATTGGGATATGATGATATATGTCAACCAAGTGAGAGTCTGACCCCCAGATCCCATTAGTCGCCTCTTACAACAAACATGGGTTACTAAAGACCTATTCTATCCCTGGATCTTCACGTTTATATTCTTCCGTGTGGTTGTTCGTCTATAATATCCCCTCCAACATGTCCAGGTCCTGTAAGTGTTGACCGATACTGTGTGGGAGCACCATGTGTCAGTCCTTGAAGAACACAACCCTCTGGCTGCTTGTATGGACAAAGTTTCATCATTCCTCAGCTGTTAGTGATCATTTGTATTCCTTGAATGTGAATAAGGTTGTTTGCTCTATTTTGTATTTTGTTTTGTTACAGGAAAGGACCCAAGGACGATTGAAAGAGCCAACTTGTTGAATGTGTCCAAACTTATTGTGAAGGAACTGATTGACTCTTCCTTGGCTCATGGGCGGATGTTGGATGATGACCATGTGCCACTACAGCAGTTCTTCGTGGTGCTGGAACATGTGCTTCGACATGGCCTCAAACGTATGTGTGTGAGTGAGTGAGTTTAGTTTTACGCCGCACTCAGCAATATTCTAGCTATATGGTGGCGGTCTGTAAATAATTTAGTCTGGACCATAAAATCCAGTGATCAACAGCATGAGCATTGATCTATGCAATTGGGATACGATGACATGTGGCAACCACCCGATCCCGTTAGTCATGTGTGTGAGGAGTTAATGCACAATGATGTACATACAAACTCCGATCTTTGGAGGAAGTGCCATCAAGTTCATGTCTGAGATTCCTGAGAGCTAAGTAGTGGTGACAATCATATCTGTCATGAAAATGAGTTTATATATCGTTGCTTTTAACTACACTTATGTCACAGTTATCAGTTAGCTATGTCAGCTGGGGTCGGTACCACAGATTTGAGGATTGTTTTCGATGTTGTGGTCCACGTTACAGCCTCTACTCAAAGGGTCCCTGTCACCCGTTTTGTTTTATACTTTATACTTGAGAGTCAGCAACAAGGTAGGGAGAATGCAATGATCTTTATCAATGATGCTAGAAGGAGAAGGAAAACATTGAAATCAATTCTTTTAGTGATCGTCTATGGTTCTTTGTGCTGTCTATATTGAGTACTTTGTCCATCCATATTTGTTATACCAACAGTTGATATATTTCAGCATGTGATTGTTGGGCCATAAGGTTGTGATAATTTTTTCAGCCAGGAAAGGTATTTTGCGAGATCGGAAAGAGTTCTGGGGTGTGCTGGAAGCTGTCGAGAAGTTTGCCCCTGAAGCAGGGGAGATAACTACAAGTGTGCGGGACATGCCACACATCAAGTGAGTGAGGGACTTCAGGGAACTACAACACTGATTTAGAAAGAGCATATTCATATGAGGGCCTCCTTAAACTTGCATTGAACTTAACTTTAATAAACATATTGACAAACATTAACTGAATTGTCAGTATTTCAGGGGTATGTATTTATACACTCTGTCCCATCATGTCAGGGGAACAGGTGACCCTGTCATCAGACACACAGCAATCTGCTGTTCACACAAGAAACCAGTAATCTTGATCCAGTTCTTGTTTCTTGGTTCATAAGCATCATATCCTTGCTTGGGGTAAACATCTGAAGCCTGCATCACTTCAGGCTTTGTGCCCACAGTAAGCTGGCATATTCCTGGCAGCCTGAAGCTAGACTCCCTCGTTCCCTCCCGCATCATCTGATGCACAGTCTAGTTGTGGTCAGCGAATCAAATGAGGCTGTATGTACATAATGGGAAGTCAAATGAGCTCTACTCCGTGCGAAACTTAGTGATTTTGTTCATTTTCCAAAAGAAAAATATTGGCCACTTAAGAGGTCCCAGTTTTCTGAAATGTCTCTATTTCATCTAAACCTGTTCCCATCTATAGACAGGCATCCTAGGTCAAGTTGAGATGCATTAAAATAAAACCAGCTGCTCATTTCTTTGTGCACGGCTACTGAGCAAAGGGCTACTACAATTATGTTGATTACCCCTGGTTTGAGACTGGGCCAGTTTTGTTTGGTGCTAATCATTGTTCTCCATTAATCATGACTGACTGTGTTGCAGAACGCCGCTGGGCCGAGCACGAGCATGGATCCGCCTTGCCCTGATGCAGAAGACTCTGGCTGACTACTTCAAGATCATGATAGAGAAGAAGGATAATTTACTGAGGTGAGCAGACAAAACAAGAGCTATTTGGGGTTTGGCAAGATGGTTTACACGTGCATGTAGGTAGTCCCAGAGTGTGGGGATTGTTTCTAAGTGTGGCTTAAGTCATGATAGTTCATCATGTCTGCAGGTAGTGCCAGAGCGTGGGGATTGTTTCTAAGTGTGGCATAAGTCATGATAGTTCATCATGTCTGGAGGTAGTGCAGAGTGTGGGGATTGTTTCTAAGTGTGGCTTAAGTCATGATAGTTCATCATGTCTGTAGGTAGTGCAGAGTGTGGGGATTGTTTCTAAGTGAGGCTTAAGTCATGATAGTTCATCATGTCTGTAGGTAGTGCAGAGTGTGGGGATTGTTTCTAAGTGTGGCTTAAGTCATGATAGTTCATCATGTCTGCAGGTAGTCCCAGAGTGTGGGGATTGTTTCTAAGTGTGGCTTAAGTCATGATAGTTCATCATGTCTGTAGGTAGTGCAGAGTGCGGGGATTGTTTCTAAGTGTGGCTTAAGTCATGATAGTTCATCATGTCTGCAGGTAGTCTCAGAGTGTGGGGATTGTTTCTAAGTGTGGCTTAAGTCACGATAGTTCATCATGTCTGCTGGTAGTCCCAGAGCGTTGGGATTGTTTCTAAGTGTGGCTTAAGTCATGATAGTTCATCATGTCTGCAGGTAGTCCCAGAGTATGGGGATTGTTTCTAAGTGTGGCTTAAGTCATGATAGTTCATCATGTCTGCAGGTAGTCCCAGAGCATGGGGATTGTTTCTAAGAGTTGCTTAAGTCATGATAGTTCATCATGTCTGCAGGTAGTCCCAGAGTGTGAGGATTGTTTCTAAGTGTGGCTTAAGTCATGATAGTTCTGCAGGTAGTCCCAGAGTGGGGGGTTGTTTCTAAGTCGTGATAATCTATCATCAAGAATGATGGCCAGGACTCTGTGACTTCTTTCCTTATTTTTGTAATGTAAATTAATGAACATGGTTTAATAATTACATTATCAGGCCATACTTGTCATGTTATTGAAGCATGGTTCCCTAGGAAGGAGGAACAACAGTGAAGTGATTAGTTCCATTGGCGTATATAATTCTTGTGACACATGTTTCAGTGACTACTATGAAAATGGGGCTTTGATGATGGAGGATGAAGGGATGGTGATAGCCGGACTGTTGGTGGGGCTCAACGTCATTGACTGCAACCTCTGCATCAAGGAGGAGGATCTGGACCAGCCGGTCAGTAAAAACTTACTTCTTTTGTCAGGAGTGTAATCAAACAGTCAGTCTTCTTGCATTTCTTTGTTTCGGCAGATGAAATGTAAGTGGATGTTTAGGTTTTAGTTAGACCAGGTTGTAGGTCCTGTGGAACCAACAGATCTATAAATAATTGTTGTATTAGATTGTTAATATATGTTAGTACAACTTTGATTTGTACAGTGTGCCTGATAACTTCAGGAATTGCTGTTTTCTAGAGGATGTTCAGCAACTAAAATGTGAATGACTTAAGTGTTGTTTTGTATTGAAAATCAATGACAAAATGAACCAGGTTACTGGGGAAAACAACTGCGGTAAACAACTGCTGAAGGACCATTATTGAAGAGAATGCAGCAGATATGCACACGAAGTTAACAGTAAATACACTAAGGTGGAATACATAACTGTTCTGTAGTTATGAATACACAATGAGAAAGTTACGGAGAAAGTGTGATCCCGAATGTAACATGTGCTACATGTTCCGCAGCTGGCAAAAGGTTGCTTGGTTCAAGTGGACAGGCTAAGATAGGCTAGGATAGGAAGTCTGCAAATCTGCTGTTGGAGAGATTTGTTCTAGAGCTCAATGTTGCCAAAATACATCAGAGATGTGTCACAGTGTTTGGCGTGGGACAGGGTCCCAATATGTACCTTGGGTGCATACATTTCTGGCTCTATGCTATACTTACAAGTGGGTTTCTCTTCAGATGGGTGTGATTGACTTTAGCTTGTACCTGAAGGGAGGCAAGTACAATGGCGACAACGATGATTCAGAAAGGTGAGGAAGCTGATGTTTGTTGAATAGTTGCTTATTGTGTCAGGTTTGTGTTACTCAAACATTGCAGTAGTTACTGTAAATCATGAAATCAATATGGCGAGCCTTGCACCTTGAAATAATAAGATAACTCATCAGCAAACAATAACACCATGACTGTAGTCTTGACAAGGTTATCAAGGGCAACACGCAATCATGGTGGGCAACCTCTTCATGAAACTTTTAAACAAACTGACACTTGACACAGTTCAAGCTGGTGAGGAGCCCTGTCTAAACATACCACTGAATTACATCATGTAATTGAACAATTGTGTACTTGACACAGTTCAACCTGATTGTTGTAGCTCGGAAGGCAAGTCAAAAATGGCAACCATTCTGGATCAGAAGAACTATCTGGAAGAACTCAACAGACACCTTAAGTAAGTGGATAGATTTCCCTGTGTACATATCAGTATTGTTTCTGCTTGTAGTGACCTGTGTTCTGGTATTGACCTCCCTATGCCTCGGACCCGTGAAGATCCAGGGTAGTATAGGTCTGCAGCAACTCATGCTTGCCACAAAAGGCGACTGTGCTTGTCGTAAGAGGCAACTAATGGGATCGGGTGGTCAGGCTATCTGACTTGGTTGACACATGTCATTGGTTCCCAAATGCGCTCAGATCGATGCTCATGCTCCAGACCCGATTATTTAGCTGGAATATTGCTGAGTGTCTGGTCTAAACTAAACTCACCTTTACAGACCTCTATGCCTGGAATGACCTGTGTCGGTATTGACCTCCCTATGCCTGGAATGACCTGTGTTCTGGTATTGACCTCTGTACGCTTATAATGACCTGTGTTCTGGTATTGACCTCTCTATGCATGTAATGACCTGTGTTCTGGTATTGACCTCTCTATGCATGTAATGACCTGTGTTCTGGTATTGACCTCTCTATGCATGTAATGACCTGTGTTCTGTTATTTACCTCTCTATGCTTGTATTGACCTGCATGCTTGTAGTGACTTGTGTTCTGGTATTGACCTCTCAATGCTTGTGTGGGGTGGGGTAGCCTAGTGGTTAAGGCATTCGCTCGTCATGCAGAATACCCGGGTTCGATTCCCCACATGGGTACAATGTGTTAAGCCCATTTCTGGTGTCCCCCGCCATGATATTGCTGGAATATTGCTAAAAGCGGCGTAAAACCAAACTCACTCACTCACTCTCAATGCTGGTAATGACCTGTATGGTTGTAATGACCAGTAATTATAACGTAAACATTCCCTCTGGATTATGGTAGCCTTATTCCTGTGGATTCACAGAATACATACAGAAAATCAAAAGAAATTTTAACTCTAAGTCATAGCTATTCCTAGTGGTATACCTAATCTACCGCTGAGTTATCTCCCTTGATCCTGAGATCACTGTATTGTTCTCCTAGAACCCTTCATAATTTTTCTGTATGGTCCACATGCATCACATGCAGAAAATCGAGTGAAATTTTCATTTCAAATCAAGTCTTCAATTCTTCATATGTAGGTCAATTACAAATCGCATTCCATTTAATATTCAATCGCATTGCTGTTTTGCATTTATATTATATATATTTCCAACGTATTTAGGGTCTGAAGTTTTCCCGCCCTTTTTGATTGACAAGTATGGCGCAGAGCAAATGTTTACAATGTCAGAAATTCATGGCGGATGTTGATCCCCACTCTCTGCGTGCTTCCTGTTATAAAGACTTACCTTGCTCAATATCAGATCGATGCTTATTGTGTCAGGAAATGTCGGAAGAAGATTGGTTGTTGATGGAAAAATCTCGCTCCCTAGTTAGGAAGCGTAAACATTCATCGTCATCAGAATGCTCTATGTTGAAGAAAGTTTAGGGATTTCCGCCTTTATCTATAAAATCTGTCTCATTCTAGATCTAAATCAAAAACCTCTCCCCAGTTGGATATAGCTGCGTTCTCAGAACTTTTGGCGGGATTTAAATCCGATATCCAGGCGGCCATGGATAAATCTGTACGGGATATGGAGATGAGGAATAACGAAAAATTTGATCGCCTGTCAAGACATTTGGAAGATCTTGTATTACCCGGCAAGACGGCAGACAGCCGTAGGGGCTTGGTGGTCGATGGCAAGAGCCGGGAGCCAAAGTCCCTTCCTACGGAAACCAGGGGTGCTCTGACTGGAAAAAGCGGTTATCACGCCCTGGCGTACATAGGAGGCCGGTCCCCACAGGGGGAGAAGCCTAGGGCTTCAAGCGACGGGGATGGAGTCATCCCAGCCGGCTCCAGATCCGGGGTGACCGTGGCTCAGGCCATACATCCCGCATCCTTTCTCCCCGGGAGCCAGTCATCCGTGGCTGATCCCTGTCGCATAAAGCCTGCTACCTTCTCCCACGGGGAGACCAGGCGGCTGAGTTTCACGGGTCTGACTCGGCTCAGACGGCACATGATTCCCGCCCCAGCTCAAGCCAGGCCACTGGATCGGCTGCTATGGATAACGGTGTATCAACCCAGCAGTCTGATTTGCACAGGCCTAGCGGTTCAGAGGACACGGCTAGGTTATTTAGACACGGACAATCCGCCCTTAATTCCGTTAGTGTCTGATGTGACGGATCAGGAAGATTTATCGGTGTATCCTTTTTCACAACCGGAGTTTTCCATGAAAGAAGGCTTGTTGACGGTACATCCTATGGGCATGTCAGCACAGGATTTTAAGCCGGGCTGGTCATTTAAAGAAAAGCTGGAACTTTTGCACGGACTTTATCCTAATACTCTACCACCACCGTCGGACGAACAGGAGATAGATATTCGCGTGGAACTCAGATTATCAGGTTGTCTTCCCCCAGAACGGATGCCCAGGCTGTCATTACCACATTCATCATCACTTAAGAAAGTGTTGGAGAATTACAACTTAGGCCTCTCCAAGGCTACAACTTGAATTCTTTGCCTACGGTTTCTAATAAACCCATTTATTCCATTCATGATCATGTTATCCCTGCCAATCAACCAAGTTTAGACAAGGACTTTAAACAGTTACAGGATGCTAGAGGCTCTCGTGAATATGCACCGTTCTGTACCTTCAAGAATTGTAAGGAATTAGATATGGCAGCCTGTTCGCCGATTGATACCCTATCTTATTCAAACTGGTTTTCTGCGGGAGTTCGTGCTTTGCTCCCACTGATGTTTCAAGATTATACGGTAGTTAAGAAAGACACTTTGATTTCCATGACTGCTCAAGAGGTGGCGTTAGTGCATTCCTTTCTGGATGTAGTTTATCAATCCTTAGCCGATGCGATGGCGAGTCAAGTGAATATATTGGCGACTTACAGCTATTGAGCGGCTAGATTCAGTGAGGAATTTACCGGATGTTTCAAGGGATTTTCTATTGCACCAGCCTTTGGAATCGGATAACACCTTTAATGGACAATGTCAACAGGCTATTGAAGTCTAAGAATTGCTTAACGTTAAAGAGATGCCTTTGACATCAAAGGAACTTGAATCAACCGAAATATTGACTCAAGTGACACAATCTCCAGTAGGGGTATGTCAGATTGGCCCAATACTTAGACAATTGGAAACTAATAACATCAGACGAGTGGGTCCTGTCTGTAGTGAGCAGGGGGTTTATTCTTCCTTGGCACAAGCAACCTCCAGTGACTTGTTTTCCAGAGGGTCGTCGGTTTTGTCTTCAAGGCCAGCGTTTAGCGGGGGCAAACGTAGCAATAAATCAGCTACTGGAGAAACAGGCAATCATAGAACTTCCTCCAGGGGATGAGACATGCAGGTTTTATTCACCGGTATTCCTAGTCCCCTTGAAAGATTCGGATGAAATGCGCATGATAATAGACTTGCAAGTGTTGAACAAGCTATTTTTGAGTCCAAAGTTCAGGATGGAATCAATTGCAAACCTACGCACCTTGATTCGTCAGAAGTTTCTAAGTATAGATCTAAAGGATGCGTATCTATTCATCCAAGATCTTGCAAATGCCCAAGATTTGCGGTGAACGGTCGCAGGTTTTAGTTCAGGGTGCTGGTGGTTCACGAAAATAATCTCCCCGATTCTGGCTTTTCTTCATCAACGAAGGATTGCGATACACAGCAATCTGGACGATTTTTTGGCAAGGAATGTGGTGACAGCGGTTCTCATGAAGCAAACCAACTTTATAATCCAAGTGTTTACACATCTGGGTCTAATAGTTCATCCTACCAAGTCAGAACTGGTCCCTTCTACGAGAATCAAGTTTCTGGGAGCAATCTTTGACTCAAGAGCAGGCTGTATTTATACTCCTCAGGATCGTTGGGTGGAAATATCAACCATGATAACCAATATGTTACAGACGCCAACTGCATCAGTTCGTTCATGGATGTCCCTTCTAGGATCTCTCACTTCAATCAAGGATTATACTGTAAGAGAAAGACTAAGGTTGAGAATCCCGCAGATCTGGCTCAACCAGTCTCGGATGGAGGACTTGGAACTGCTCATAGCCTGTCCAGACAGAGTCCGAAGGGAGATTATGGTGGACGGTGGACGTGAATATGTTGCCAGGAGTTTCATTACATCCTCGTTTACCGGATCTGACACTTTATGCGGATGCCTCGAACACGGACATTTGGCAAATTCAAGGTGTGTGGAATCTGTCAGAGGTGAATCTGCATATAAACTGTCGGGAGATGTTAGCACTGTTGAAAGCGATTCGTTGCGTGGGGAATCGCTTGTACGGGAAGAGTCTCATGTTAGTGTCGGACAATTCTACGGTAGTGGCATACATCAACAAACAGAAAGGTACCAAATCTCAACAGCTCCTCGGGATCACTCAGGATCTGTATCAAACAGTGGACGCTATAAATTGTTTAATCAGAGTGCGCCACATTCCAGGTCGGAAGAATCTCGACAGGACACAGTGATCTCGACCGAATGGACTCTCAAGGAAGAGGCATTCGATTTGATAGGACAGAAGTGGGAAATTCCAAACATAGATTTATTTGCGACTTCCAGGAATTTTCGGATACCAACGTTTGTGAGTCCAGTACCGGATCCATTGGCATAGGCAGTCGACGCCCTATCCATATCATGGGAGGGGATGATGCGTTTCCTCCGTTCAAACTAATTCCAGAGGTTCTGTTAAAAATTAAACAACACTACTGTCTAGTTTATAAGTGGCACCAGCGTGGCCTGCCAGACCTTGGTTTCCCACCCTACTACAACTATTGGTGGACAAACCTCTATGTCTTCTGTTGTGGCACAATCTAATCAGTCAACCCAAGTCCAACAGACTTCACAAGAATGTCAGGCAACTTGCGCTACACATATGGAAGCTATCTCAAGGTCACTCAGGAATCAGGGATTGAAGCTACCAGAGCTATTTCAGGATCCGTTAGACCTTCCACAGCTGCCTTGTACGATGCTAAGTGGCGACGATTCATCCAGTGGAGACATGAGTGTGGAATCTTGGATGTACCTGTCACCATTCCAATGACAGCGGATTTTATCTTGTTCCTAAGAGAACAGAAACATTTGAAGCATAATACTATTGAGGGATATCGATCAGCTATTGCTTCAGTCATGGATGTTCAAGGTTTATCTTTGGGCTCGGATACATCGCTTCACAAAATGATCAGATCTTTTCAGATTAAGGATATATTGTCTCCAGCAATATTTCCTAAGTGGGATTTAGCGTTAGTACTTAGTTGACCTGGCATCTACAGGGACAGCATGTAGCCAGACAAGTTGACATGGTAAGAGAATTTACATTTAGATATATCACCTAACCGAGCACAATATGGACAGAGTTCTAACTTCTGAGCTATGGTTGATGGCTTCACGTTAGAATATGATTATGAGCTCAAGGTGGTTACCTAAGGTTAAGTTGAACACAATTATAGTCTAATGATAGTTAACCGGAAGTGACGTCATAGAACCGGAAGTGACGTCATACGACCGGAAGTGACGTCACCCAAACTAATTAGCATTACATCATAGAGATTGTCTCTAGGAACCGGAAGTGAGGTCATTAGACCGGAAGTGAGGTCATCAAACAGGAAGTGACATCATAATTACCGGAAGTGATGTCATAAGTTTAAGGAATATTATGTTTAATGACACAATTCGGGATTCGAATAGAATCATTATATATTCATAGGAATCTAGCATAATCCGGATTTAAGGAGTTAGGAATTATATAATTCCTACTAATACAGATGAGGATAATCATGATATCTATCATATCAACCATAACTATAGGAAGTTAGAAGACTCTCCATCTCTGGGAATGTATTCCCCCACTGCTACTGACCAATCTGGAGATAAATTATTTATCTCTGACTAAGTCATAGTTATTCTTTGGAGGTTGAGTCATCAACTCTCAGTTAGTGGTATAGAGGGTAGTATCTTCCAAGGGTAACCCTCCTTCCTTACTTGGGATTCAGGCTACCATAATCCAGAGGGAATGTTTACGTTATAATTAGGAACAATTACATGTATTGTTAGTAATTGTTAGTAAACTTACCTCTGGATTATGGGGAGTAGTTCCCACCCTGTGTCCTCCCCGCAAATTTGTCCTTAGAAAATGTCATTGATGTGTTGTTTTTTAGAAAAATTATGAAGGGTTCTAGGAGAACAATACAGTGACGTCAGGATCAAGGGAGATAACTCAGGGGTAGATTAGGTATACCACTAGGAATAGCTATGACTTAGTGTTAAAATTTCTTTTGATTTTCTGTATGTATTCTGTGAATCCACAGGAATAAGGCTACCATAATTCAGAGGTAAGTTTACTAACAATTACTAACAATACATGTAATTGTTCCTGTTCTGGTATCGACCTCTCTGTGCTTGTAATCTTGAGATAATTGTTCTGGTATCGTGATAAAACATACATTGTTATATTCCGTAGAGGTGGTCCTTTGTCAGCCAGAGAGAAATGTTTTTTTAAAGATAAATGTATGAATGTTCTGAATGATTATAAATAACTTGGCATATTATTTACCCATACGCTGAATCTGAATAAGTCTGTACTTATCCTGGCGAGGCGAGCCAAGAAAGCTCTTTTACAACTTCACTCTGTTGTTCCTATGCTCGGTCTTGTTCCACCGACTATTTACTTCAAATTATTTGATTCTCACATACAACCGATTTTACTGTATGGATCTGAAATATGGGGTTTTAAAGAGTATTATACTATAGAAAAAATTCATTTGCTTGCCTGTAAAAAGTTTCTAAATGTTTTGTCAACACCAAATGCTGTGGTTTATGGTGAATGTGGGAGGTTTCCATGTGGGAGGCAGTACATATCATGTTATTGTCATCGTTTAAAATACTGGTGTAAAGTAATTAATATGCCTGAACATCGTTTACCTAAAAAATCCTTCAATATGCTTTTACATCTTGATTATCTTGGAAAGAATAACTGGACATCTCATATTTGCACCTTACTATTTAGATATGGTTTTGGTTGTATTTGGTTATCACAGACAGTTGGCAATGCAAATATGTTTATTAGACAGTTCCGTATGCGGGCTATTGATATGTTTAAGCAGGAATGGCATTCAACTATTAATGAAACTTCAAGATCTGATTCATATTGTCAGTTTAAGTTGTTGGTTGAGCCAGAGTCTTATCTTGCTCACCTTCGCTTCAGAAATGTTTGCAGTGCTTTTATACGTTTGAGATTAGGCCTTAATGATTTATTAATTAACCGTGGAAGATACGTTTTTATGGAAAACAACCAAAGATTATGTCCATTCTGTTACATTATTGAAGACGAATTCCATTTTATGTTTATTTGTCCTGTATATGAAAATCTCAGAAATAAGTATCTACCGCAACTGTCTTTATCTCAAATCAATGTTAATCTATTGTCTTCCTTACTTTCCTGCAAAGAACCTCCAAAACAACACAGCCCTATTTATTTACAGTGCATTTTTGTTAAGAAAAGAATTGATTAGTTGGAAAGTTGATTATATATGCCATTGTTAATGTGTATCTTTTTTGTATATGGGCCTATGGCCTTTCATACAATAAAGAATTGATTGACTTCATACAATAAAGAATTGATTGACTGACCTCTCTATGCTTGTAATGACCTGTATACTTGTAATGACCTGTGTTCTGGTATTGACCCCTCTGTTGTTGTAATGGCCTGTGTGTTGCTTGTATTGACCTCTCTATGGGTGTAATGACCTGTATACTTGTAATGACCTGTGTTCTGGTATTGACCCCTCTGTTGTTGTAATGACCTGTGTGTTGCTTGTATTGACCTCTCTATGCATGTATTCTGGTAATGACCCGTGTTATTCTAGTATTGGCCCTCTCTATGGGGTGTAATCTAGTATTGGCCAGTGTATAGTGTATTGGCTTCTATATCCTTGTAATGTTTATATTACAGTGCAACTGTGACCAACCTCCAGCAGAAGATGGAGCACCTGCAGACAAATAATGCACTCATGAAAGAAGATCTCGCCATCGCCAAAAACAGCATTCTGACTATCCAGGAGGAAAACGACATTCTCCGCAGAGAGCGGGACGTAGTGACTGAGGGTTTGCAGAAACAGATGGAGGTATGGTCATTGCACCAGTCCTTTCTGGAGTTGTTAGAGCATGCCACCTTATTTATATCAGTGTTGATGATGGCTGCAGTTGGCTGGGTAGCTGTGCAGAGTAATGGAGACATGGTGCCTCTAAGGATTAATTTACTTGGATTTACCACGATTCATAGTTATATCATTATGTCACATCTTCTCTCTTCCATAATGAAGATTCCGAATGATAATATATGTCCCCTTTGCTGGTCATAGACAGTGACGGTTTGGGTGGGTGGTCGGACTCGGTGACTTCACTGATAATGTGTCCCTCTACCCAGACAGTATAGATCACACCATTGTTAAAGTGTCCCTCTACCCAGACAGTATAGATCACACCATTGTTAAAGTGTCCCTCTACCCAGACAGTATAGATCACACCATTGTTAAAGTGTCCCTCTACCCAGACAGTATAGGATCACACCATTGTTAAAGTGTCCCTCTACCCAGACAGTATAGATCACACCATTGTTAAAGTGTCCCGCTACCCAGACAGTATAGATCACACCATTGTTAAAGTGTCCCTCTACCCAGACAGTATAGATCACACCATTGTTAAAGTGTCCCTCTACCCAGACAGTATAGATCACACCATTGTTAATGTGTCCCTCTACCCAGACAGTATAGATCACACCATTGTTAAAGTGTCCCTCTACCCAGACAGTATAGATCACACCATTGTTAAAGTGTCCCGCTACCCAGACAGTATAGATCACACCATTGTTAATGTGTCCCTCTACCCAGACAGTATAGATCACACCATTGTTAATGTGTCCCTCTACCCAGACAGTATAGATCACACCATTGTTAATGTGTCCCGCTACCCAGACAGTATAGATCACACCATTGTTAAAGTGTCCCTCTACCCAGACAGTATAGATCACACCATTGTTAAAGTGTCCCTCTACCCAGACAGTATAGATCACACCATTGTTAAAGTGTCCCTCTACCCAGACAGTATAGATCACACCATTGTTAATGTGTCCCTCTACCCAGACAGTATAGATCACACCATTGTTAAAGTGTCCCTCTACCCAGACAGTATAGATCACACCATTGTTAAAGTGTCCCTCTACCCAGACAGTATAGATCACACCATTGTTAAAGTGTCCCTCTACCCAGACAGTATAGATCACACCATTGTTAAAGTGTCCCTCTACCCAGACAGTATAGATCACACCATTGTTAAAGTGTCCCTCTACCCAGACAGTATAGGTCACACCATTGTTAAAGTGTCCCTCTACCCAGACAGTATAGGTCACACCATTGTTAAAGTGTCCCGCTACCCAGACAGTATAGATCACACCATTGTTAAAGTGTCCCTCTACCCAGACAGTATAGATCACACCATTGTTAATGTGTCCCTCTACCCAGACAGTATAGATCACACCATTGTTAAAGTGTCCCTCTACCCAGACAGTATAGGTCACACCATTGTTAAAGTGTCCCTCTACCCAGACAGTATAGGTCACACCATTGTTAAAGTGTCCCTCTACCCAGACAGTATAGATCACACCATTGTTAAAGTGTCCCTCTACCCAGACAGTATAGATCACACCATTGTTAAAGTGTCCCTCTACCCAGACAGTATAGATCACACCATTGTTAAAGTGTCCCTCTACCCAGACAGTATAGATCACACCATTGTTAAAGTGTCCCTCTACCCAGACAGTATAGATCACACCATTGTTAAAGTGTCCCTCTACCCAGACAGTATAGATCACACCATTGTTAAAGTGTCCCTCTACCCAGACAGTATAGATCACACCATTGTTAAAGTGTCCCTCTACCCAGACAGTATAGATCACACCATTGTTAAAGTGTCCCTCTACCCAGACAGTATAGATCACACCATTGTTAAAGTGTCCCTCTACCCAGACAGTATAGATCACACCATTGTTAAAGTGTCCCTCTACCCAGACAGTATAGATCACACCATTGTTAAAGTGTCCCTCTACCCAGACAGTATAGATCACACCATTGTTAAAGTGTCCCTCTACCCAGACAGTATAGATCACACCATTGTTAAAGTGTCCCTCTACCCAGACAGTATAGATCACACCATTGTTAAAGTGTCCCTCTACCCAGACAGTATAGGTCACACCATTGTTAAAGGCAGTCATCATATATAACACCTGTTATATTTGTGTAGTAGTAGAGTAGCTGAGTGGGTTAAGTGTCTAACTTTGTGTGCTGGCGATTAGGTGCGTGAGGGTGTGGGTTGGAATCCTGGATGGGACTCAACCCAACTAAAGTTCTAGAATCTGTACTTTACAGAGAAAGTACACTCCCAAATATAACATATGTTACATTTGACCACTTTCTAAATGGTATTGTGTATTCAGTCATCAGATAGCTGGAATATTACTAAGTTTAAACAACAAACAATCTGTTACCCATTATGTTTTGTTTTGTTTTGTTATTTTGTAGGCACACAAATATAGTATGACCAGAAATTATTGAGAATTTTAGGAATATGTTTAATTGGATTTCTAGTATAAACAACCTTGACCAGCTATCAAGTGCTTGTTTCATTCAAGAGAGACAACTCTGTTAATCCTTTTTCATTAGTTTGTGAAGAGTTATCCCCCTTTGTTTACTTGCTAGCAGACGACATTTTCAGTGATCCTCAGTATGGATGACTTTAGAGAAGAGGAAGTTGATTTTAGAATATTATAACAAGGACATCAGATCAGCTAAAGTGATTTCAAGTAGAACAGGCATCCCTTTGTCCACTGTTTATCGTGTTTTGAAAAATATTGCAAATGGATATGGCATTCAGCACCAGGGAGGCGCAGATAGGCCCAGAAAATTGACTGTCAGTGACAGGAGGCGGCTTGGTATTCTTGTTTCTAAAAACTAACGAAGGAGTTTAGAAAACTTAAGGCTGGATATGATTGATAGAGGAACTGTGGCTGTCTGTAAGGAGACAATTAGAACTGAGCTGCATGCAATGGGTTGGCAGAAAAGTCGAGGAATTCCATCACCGATCATGAAACCTGAACAAAAGGAGCGAAGGTTGAACTGGTGCTTACAGCATAGAAATTTTAACTGGGACAATGTGATTTTCTCAGATGAAAGTTCTGTGTGGCTGTTTCCTAATACACTGAAATTCTGGACCAAACAAACTGAAAAACCTTTGTATCAGCGCGCCCAAAGTACAGTCCGAAATTTAACGTGTGGGGTGGCATATCTGTGTTAGGGGCAACTCCCCTCTGTGTATTTGAAGGGAATATGAACAGTGAGTGGTACTCAGATATTCTCAAGGGATATTTACTTCCATCTGCTCACGTGTTCTATGGAAATGTTTGTTTTTTCTAGCTGGACAACAACCGAAAACATTGTTCAACGCATTCATAGGCCTGGTTTCGGACCCAAAATATGACATTATTAGATTGGCCAAGCTATAGCCCTGACCTAAATCCAATAGAAATGTTTGGGGACTTATGAAGGAAAGTGTCAATAAGAAAAATCTGACAAATATTGCTGAAATGAAAGAAGAGGTGGTCCGATATTGGGACAGCATGGACCATGACTTTCTAACTTCTTTGATCAGTAGTATGCCCCGCTGCATTGAAGCCTGCATTGCTGCCCATGGTGACTTGACAAAATACTAACTATTCACCTGTCTTTGAGTCTGGAGTTATGTTCTGCTAATATTCACATTTAATCGTGAGTAATGAGTGAAAAAAATATATAAAATTACAACCTTAAATTCTCAATAATTTCTGGTTGTACTGTACTTTGTATGCAATGGGTTTTATCATCTTATCACAAGATGGCTTCATGCAACAGGGCTGTATTCTATTGATACGACCTTCACTTAATTCAGAAAATCTAACAGGGTACTTTGGTTTCATTTGATTGTGAATTTCACTTCGGTCTGTTGATTTTATAGGCAACCAAGCAAGACATTGATGTGGAGCGTGAGACATATCAGACAAACCGGGCAGGGCTGGAGAGCATGTACACTGGCGTAAAACAGCAGCTCGAAGGAGAGACCGAAATGAGGCTGGTGAGTTGTCAGGGGACAGAGGAGTGGTTAGTGACTTGTCAGGGGGACAGAGGAATTGTTAGTGACTTGTCAGGGGGACAGAGGAATTGTTAGTGACTTGTCAGGGGGACAGAGGAATTGTTAGTGACTTGTCAGGGGGACAGAGGAATGGTTAGTGACTTGTCAGGGGGACAGAGGAATGGTTAGTGACTTGTCAGGGGGACAGAGGAATGGTTAGTGACTTGTCAGGGGACAGAGGAATGGTTAGTGACTTGTCAGGGGGACAGACAGAGGAATGGTTAGTGACTTGTCAGGGGACAGAGGAGTGGTTAGTGACTTGTCAGGGGACAGAGGAATGGTTAGTGACTTGTCAGGGGACAGAGGAATGGTTAGTGACTTGTCAGGGGGACAGAGGAATGTGACCTAGTGACTTGTCAGGGGACAGAGGAATTTGAGTCAGAAGTGACTTGTCAGGGGAACAGAGGAATGGTTAGTGACTGGTTAGTGACTCAGGGGACAGAGGAATGGTTAGTGACTTGTCAGGAGGACAGAGGAATGGTTAGTGACTTGTCAGGGGGACAGAGGAGGGGATGGTTAGTGACTTGTCAGGGGGACAGAGGAATGGTTAGTGACTTGTCAGGGGGACAGAGGAATGGTTAGTGACTTGTCAGGGGGACAGAGGAATGGTTAGTGACTTGTCAGGGGGACAGAGGAATGGTTAGTGACTTGTCAGGGGGACAGAGGAATGGTTAGTGACTTGTCAGGGGGACAGAGGAATGGTTAGTGACTGAGGAATGGTGGGACTTGACAGAGGAATGGTTGGTGACTTGTCAGGGGACAGAGGAATGGTTAGTGACTTGTCAGGGGGACAGAGGAATGGTTGGTGACTTGTCAGGGGGACAGAGGAATGGTTAGTGACTTGTCAGGGGCACAGAGGAGTCATTAGTGACTTGTCAGGGGGACAGAGGAGTGGTTAGTGACTTGTCAGGGGGACAGAGGAATGGTTAGTGACTTGTCAGGGGGACAGAGGAATGGTTAGTGACTTGTCAGGGGGACAGAGGAATGGTTAGTGACTTGTCAGGGGGACAGAGGAATGGTTAGTGACTTGTCAGGGGCACAGAGGAGTCATTAGTGACTTGTCAGGGCACAGAGGAATCATTAGTGACTTGTCAGGGGCACAGAGGAATGGTTAGTGACTTGTCAGGGGCACAGAGGAATCATTAGTGACTTGTCAGGGGGACAGAGGAGTGGTTAGTGACTTGTCGAGGGGCACAGAGGAATGGTTAGTGACTTGTCAGGGCGACAGAGGAATGGTTATAGTCCGTTTGGCTCAAAAGCGGACCGATGAATTGCAGTCTAACTCAAAACTGATAAACATATACTCAATGAAACGCTCATCATAATCAAAACATCAGACCAACTCTGAATTTATGTCCTGAAAATAAAAAAGTTGTTTAACAAACTATCATTAAAATCTTGACACATTTCACTATTTGTTACGAGGGAGGAGGGCAAAGACAGGAACAGCCAGGTGTCGGGAGCACATGCACAAGTGCCGACAAAGCTATTGATTCATTTACCTGAGCTGTGCCGTATCCATCCTTTCTCGCACACCTGGCTGTCCCTTTCTCTGCATTCCTCCCTCATGCCAAATAGTGAACTGTGTAACTATTTTAATGGTAGTTTGTTAAACAACTTTTTGACTTGTAGGACATAAATTCTGCTAAAAACTCACAGAGTTGGTCTGATGTATTTATTATGGGCGGTGTTTCATTGAGTATTATATGTTTATCAGTTTTCGAGTTAGATCGCAATTCATCGATGTGCTTTTAAACCAAATGGACTATAGTGACTTGTCAGTGGGGTCACAGATGTGGCTGGTGATTTGTCAGGGGGACATAGATGTGGCTGGTGAGTTGTCTAGGGGACACAGATGTGGATGGTGAGTTGTCTAGGGGACACAGATGTGGCTGGTGTGTTTGTCAGGGGGGGGACACAGATGTGGCTGGTGAGTTGTCAGGGGGACACAGATGTGGCTGGTGAATTGTCAGGGGGACACAGATGTGGCTGATGAGTTGTCTAGGGGACACAGATGTGGCTGGTGAGTTGTCAGGGGGACACAGATGTGGCTGGTGAGTTGTCAGGGGACACAGATGTGGATGGTGGATGGTTGTCAGGGGGACACAGATGTGGATGGTGAGTTGTCAGGGGACACAGATGTGGCTGGTGTGTGTTGTCAGGGGACACAGATGTGGCTGGTGAGTGGCTGTCAGGGGACACACAGATGTGGATGGTGTGTTGTCAGGGGACACAGATGTGGATGGTGAGTGAGTTGTCAGGGGGACACAGATGTGGCTGGTGAATATGTCAGGGGACACAGATGTGGATCATGGGCAGGGGGACACAGTCTAGGGGACACAGATGGATGGTGGTTGTCAGACACACAGATGTGGCTGGTGTGTTGTCAGGGGGACACACAGATGTGGATGGTGTGTTGTCAGGGGACACAGATGTGGATGTGGTGAGGTGTCAGGGGACACAGATGTGGGATGGTGGTTGTCAGGGGGACACAGATGTGGATGATGTGGTATCAGGGGGACACAGATGGACACAGATGGTGGGGGACACAGATGGTGATGGTGTGTGATCAGGGGGACACAGATGGGATGAGGATGGGACACAGATGTGGATGGTGAGTGTCAGGGGACACAGACACAGATGTGGTGACACAGATGTTGTCAGGGGGGACACAGATGGACTGGTGAGTGTGAGAGGACACAGAGTGAATTAGTCTCAGGGGACACAGATGTGGATGGTGTGTTGTCAGGGGACACAGATGTGGATGAGTGAGGGTCAGGGGACACAGATGTGGATGGTGAGGGGACACAGATGTGGAATGGTGATGTTGTCAGGGGACACAGACACAGATGTGGATGGTGTGTTGTCAGGGGGACACAGATGTGGATGGTGACACAGTTGGTCAGGGGACAGGGGACAGATGTGGATGGTGTGTTGTCAGGGGGACACAGATGTGGAGAAAATAGGTGGATGGTGTAGTGTCAGGGGGACACAGATGTGGATGGTGTGTTGTCAGGGGGGACACAGATGTGGATGGGCAGTGAATTGTCAGGGGGGACACAGATGTGGATGGTGAGTTGTCAGGGGGACACAGATGTGGCTGGTGAGTTGTCAGGGGGACACAGATGTGGATGGTGTGTTGTCAGGGGGCACACAGATGTGGATGGTGTGTTGTCAGGGGGACACAGATGTGGATGGTGAGTTGTCAGGGGGGGACACAGATGTGGATGGTGTGTTGTCAGGGGGACACAGATGTGGATGGTGAGTTGTCAGGGGACACAGATGTGGATGGTGTGTTGTCAGGGGACACAGATGTGGCTGGTGAAGTTGTCAGGGGGACACAGATGTGGATGGTGTGTTGTCAGGGGACACAGATGTGGATGGTGTGTTGTCAGGGGGACACAGATGTGGATGGTGTGTTGTCAGGGGGACACAGATGTGGATGGTGAATTGTCAGGGGGACACAGATGTGGATGGTGTGTTGTCAGGGGGACACAGATGTGGCTGATGGTGAGTTGTCAGGGGGACACAGATGTGGATGGTGTGTTGTCAGGGGGGACACAGATGTGGATGGTGTGTTGTCAGGGGGACACAGATGTGGATGGTGAGTTGTCAGGGGGACACAGATGTGGATGGTGAGTTGTCAGGGGACACAGATGTGGATGGTGAGTTGTCAGGGGACACAGATGTGGATGGTGTGAGTTGTCAGGGGACACAGATGTGGACACAGTTGTCAGGACACAGATGTGGATGGTGTGTTGTCAGGGGGACACAGATGTGGATGTGAGTTGTCAGGGGACACAGATGTGATGGTGAGTTGTCAGGGGACACAGATGTGGATGGTGATTTGTCAGGAGGATGGATGTGGATGGTGAGTTGTCAGGGGACACAGATGTGGATGGTGAGTTGTCAGGGGGACACAGATGTGGATGGTGAGTTGTCAGGGGACACAGATGTGGATGGTGATTTGTCAGGGGGACACAGATGTGGATGGTGAGGTTGTCAGGGGACACAGATGTGGATGGTGAGTTGTCAGGGGACACAGATGTGGATGGTGAGTTGTCAGGGGGCACACAGATGTGGATGGTGATTTGTCAGGGGGACACAGATGTGGCTGGTGAGTTGTCAGGGGGACACAGATGTGGATGGTGAGTTGTCAGGGGGACACAGATGTGGATGGTGAGTTGTCAGGGGGACACAGATGTGGATGGTGATTTGTCAGGGGGACACAGATGTGGCTGAGTTGTCAGGGGTCACAGATGGTGGTGAGTTGTTAGGGATGACACAGATGTGGATGGTGAGTTGCCAGGGGGTACACAGATGTGGATGGTGATTTGTCAGGGGTGACACAGATGTGGATGGTGATTTGTCAGGGGTGACACAGATGTGAATGGTGATTTGTCAAGCGCCACCACTGCTGAAGACATTCTTGAAATCTGTGATTGTTTCAGCTTGTGTATCTGTATGCTATCAATGTTTACAGGATGTAGAACGTGAGCTGGAGCTCCAGATTGGGATGAAGACAGAGATGGAGCTTGCAATGCGGCTCCTCGAGAGGGACATCCATGAGAAACAGGACAGCATTGTGACACTTCGTCAGCAGCTGGACGAGATCAAGTCCATCAACCAGGAGATGTACCACAAACTGCAGGTGAGCGACACGTGACAGGTGCCCCTGTCACATGACATGAACACTGAGGTGGCAACATGTGCCCCGCTGCATTTAACTTGTAACGTTACACAGTAAACTACTGCTGTCTGTGTATACAAAGTTATGCCATGTTAATACAATGTAACTATGTGCCATTTTGAAAGTGGATCTGGGAATTTTACACAATGATGCTATTTATCACTGATGACGTTCAGCAGCCCTGCCATTGTGGACAAGTAAATTGCCTATACTACTCCCTTGTTGTTGTGTGGTGGTATAAACCTACACCTGTGTATTTGTCGCCCTTCACTTGATGCTCAGTTAATGAAGTTAAAACATCATAATCAGTGACAACCCCACTCGGACTGCCGGATAAAGGTTCCATTTGACACCTGGTGTCTCAGATAATTACTCAAACGGCCGGTATAGAGGAAAAGTTATCAGGGCAAGTGATTTTACATGTGCCACTTTACCGGAGTACACTAGCAATTTTAAAGTTATTTCCTCCCCTGGCATGTTATGTGATGTGGAAGCACAGCAAGAGAGGAATTATCAGTTAAATTAAAAGAAACATTGATCACAGGATTAACTACATTGACTGATTAATCACTGTTATCTGGCACAATGGATCTGTCAAAGGTTTGTTTATGTATGTAGGTTTACTAAGGCAAACAGAATACACCAATAGCCTGTTGTAGATGGTGGTGTAAAATATATTTCCTTTGTTCAAAGTATTAACCAATAGTATGGTGATTGATTGCTGATTGTTGTCTAACCAAAAGAGTTTTTTAATGAACAATGGACATCATGAAAATAGTTGTCACATGTGCTATCTCAGCTGACCAATGAGACCTTAGATGAATGTAGAAAAATTTGGAATGCAAGATATTACAGTTATTTTACAAATTCACCTAAAAAGAAGATCAGCTAAAAAGATTAGTGAAGCTCCAAAGTGAATAAAGACAAAATATTAGACAAATTCTTCTAGAATTAGCCAGATAAGCCATAATAAAATAGATGGACATATGTTGCCGTCAGTTTGTGAAATAACTGAAATATGATCAGAAAGATAACTACATTTCCCTATTAATTCCACGATGAAACTTAATTCACCTTTATTGATCAGTGTGAGGATACACCTGTATACTATCAATTTCACTTGCTGGGAGGACCGACAGAAGTTGCGAATCAGTCAAGAATTCTCGGATATCATCCAGGTACCCACAGAGAAAACATGTGTAACAATTGTTCTGGATCAGTGCCCCTTTAAATATGGCAAAACATCTATGGCTTGTTGCATGTGTTTCTTAACACACCTTTGACACTGAACTGAACTTTTATCTAGGACTTGATGATCTGACACCTTGATTTAATATAATCAAATGTCCTCTGTACATTTTTTTCTTGAATAAACTTGTGGGATGCCATGCTGGAGAGTACTGAATCCTATTGTGACATGTTACAGAAAGAGGTAGTGACGGAGTATGCTGAAGTAGCGTGGTAAGTCAGTAGTTCAGCTACAGCAGTAAGGAGGCTAAGTCACAGCTTCAAGTACTGGATTACTGTCTTACGGCTCAGTTGTTGTCCACCACTGCAGCGCGGAACAGGGAACTATGTATTCAGCAGCGTCCGTATGTTTACATGTACGTCACAATTCTTCTTAAAGCAATATCTCATGTCTTCAATTATGTCGACAGCCTACATTGGGGGATGACACAGACACCAGTCAATTTGGGTGACCTTTGCCCTTATTTTAAAGGTCACCACGATACATTGCCCACTTTTCAAACTTATGTAAACACAATATCTCGTAAAAAGTCGCACCCAATGTCTTCAATTATGTCGACAGCCTACATTGGGGGATGACACAGACACCAGTCAATTTGGGTGACCTTGACCTTATTTTAAAGGTCACCACGATACTTTGCCCACTTTTCTCATAAAAAGTCACACCCAATGTCTTCAATTATGTCGACAGCTTACATTGGGGGATTACGCAGACATTAGTCATTTCAGGGTGACCTTAACCCTTTTTTTCATGGTCACATGACACTTTTCAAAATCTTGTTAACGCGATAACTACATCACACAAAAGGTAATCTTCCATGAGACCAAAAGATAAAAACTAGTAAATAAGTTATATTTCATTCTTCGTTAGTGGTGGGCCATATTGCCATGTTAGTGGCAAACACTCGTTATGTTGTGATCAATGGCACTGATGTGTTAAACACATGCAAATAGTCAGGATGTGTGCCCCTTCCCTGTGATCTGCATTGTTCCCCGGCCCTCCTTCAGGACAAGGGCTGTACCAGTTGCCCCAGGTAGCACCAAATTTAGGGGACCAGTTAACTATTTTCAGCCCAGGACATACTTCATCCCGTGATATTGTTAATTTTCACTTGTTGTGTGGAACTTGTGTCACTTCTTTACTGAATAACTGGTTCTAGTACATTTCCACTGAGGACTTTCTGTAAATGTCATGTCACTGGACCAAGGAGAGCTCAATCTCTCACAGAGCTCGTCACAGATTGACACAGCAACACACACAGCCTCACATATAGAGTTGTGCTGCTACACATAGCCTTACCAATAGCTTGACACTGTTACAGACACTATTTGACACACCTGCACACACAGCCTCACTTATAGAGTGGCACTACTCCACACACAACTTTACACATAGCATGACACTACTGAACACAGCCTCACATATAGCATGACACTACTGAACACAGCCTCACATATAGCATGACACTACTGAACACAGCCTCACATATAGAGAGGCACTGCTACATAGCATGACACTGCTACACACAGCCTCACACATAACTTGACACTGCTTCACACACAGCCTCACACATAGGATGACACTGCTTCACACATAGCTTGACACTGCTTCACACACAGCCTCACATAGCGTTACACTGCTACACACAGCCTCACACATAGCATGACACTGCTACACACAGCTTCATACATAGCTTTGCACTGCTACACACATCCTCACACATAGCTTGAGACTGCTTCACACACAGCCTCACACATATCATGACACTGCTACACACAGCCTCACACATAGCATGACACTGTTTCACACATAGCTTGACACTGCTTCACACACAACTTGACACTGATACACACATCCTCACACACAGCATGACACTGCTACACACATCCTCACACATAGCATGACACTGCTACACACAGCTTCATACATAGCTTTGCACTGGTACACACATCCTCACACATAGCTTGACACTGCTTCACACACAGCCTCACACATATCATGACACTGCTACACACAGCCTCACACATAGCTTGACACTGCTTCACACATAGCGTTACACTGCTACACACAGCCTCACACATAGCATGACACTGCTACACACATCCTCACACACAGCATGACACTGCTACACACAGCCTCACACATAGCTTGACACTGCTTTACACACAGCATGACACTGCTACACACATCCTCACACAGCATGACACTGCTACACACAGCCTCACACATAGCTTGACACTGCTTCACACACAGCATTACACTGCTACACACATCCTCACACACAGCATGACACTGCTACACACATCTTCACACACAGCATGACACTGCTACACACAGCCTCACACATAGCATGACATTGCTACCCACATCCTCACACAGCTTGACACTGCTTCACACACAGCATGACACTGCTACACACAGCCTCACACATAGCATGACATTGCTACCCACATCCTCACACATAGCTTGACACTGCTTCACACACAGCCTCACACATAGCTTGACGCGGCTTCATACATAGCTTTGCACTGCTACACACATCTTCACACACAGCATGACACTGCTACACACAGCCTCACACATAGCAAAACGCTGCTTCACACACAGCCTCACACATAGCATGACACTGCTCCACACAGCTTCATACATAGCTTTGCTCTGCTACACACAGCCTCACACATAGCATGACACTGCTACACACAGCCTCACACATAGCATGACATTGCTACCCACATCCTCACACATAGCTTGACACTGCTTCACACACAGCCTCACACATAGCATTACACTGCTGCACACAGCCTCACATAGCACGACACTGCTACACACATCCTTACACATAGCTTGACACTGCTCCGCACACAGCCTCACATACAGAGTGGCACTGCTCCACACACATCCTCACACATAGCATGGCACTGCTTCACACAGCCTCACACATAGCTTTACACTGCTACACACAGCCTCACACATAGCATGACACTGCTACACATAGCATGACACTGATACACACAGCCTCACACATAGCTTGACACTGCTACACACAGCCTCACACATAGCATGACACTGATACACATAGCATGACACTGATACACATAGCATGACACTGCTACACAAGCCTCACACATAGCTTTACACTGCTACACACAGCCTCACACATAGCTTGACACTGCTACACACAGCCTCCTACACATAGCATGACACTGCTACACATAGCTTGACACTGCTACACACAGCCTCACACATAGCTTGACACTGCTACACACAGCCTCACATATAGCATGACTCTGCTACACATAGCATGACACTGCTACACACAGCCTCACACATAGCTTGACACTGCTACACATAGCTTGACACTGCTACACACAGCCTCACACATAGCATGACACTGCTGCACACAGCCTCACAAATAGCATGACACTGCTACACACAGCCTCACGTATTTAAGAAATACAGTTCGCTCTACCACCATGTATAGTGTAATAAAACACACTTTCGCCCTGAACTATTATAGTTAAAGTACGAGGACTCTTGCGTCCGGTATAGTGTAATAAAACACACTTTCGCCCTGAACTATTATAGTTAAAGTACGAGGACGCTTGCGTCCGAGTGCTTTGACGTTATAATAGTTCAGGGCGAAAGTGTGCTTTATTACACTATACATGGTGGTAGAGCTTAACTGTATTTCTTTTCTAAGATGCCAAATTTAATACCTTCTAAGGATAATTACGATTAAATTAAGGTAGAAAACAAACGCGGCGGTGTCGGGGACCTAAATTAAGAATCCTCGCTGGGGGCTCACTGGCGCTGTTCTATTGATATGTCTGCCCCCCTACGTTAAGACGAATGTTACCAAAAAAAACCAAATGATAACAGTTTGATGGCGGTTTACGGTTTGGATTAAATATCTTCTCTGAATTATTTTAATTACATCTGTCATTAACGTAAACCATATGGGGCAATATGAACGTCGCATTTCTACTACCAACGTAAGTTTAGATCAGTACATCCAGATGAAGCTGAGTAGTCAAGCGACATTCCACGATTGCATTGTGGGAATGTACACATTGCGAACGTTACCCTGTCGCTGAAAACTTGTGAGTCGAATTGACACATTTTAACCGTCGTAAAACATAAATGTAATGTTTCCAGTGATGTTAGCTGCGTGAAGCAACTGCAAACCAAGAAACGGGATGCAACGGAGTAGTTTACTGTAGGAGGCCGTACGAGGCGATGACAACTGACATGTAAAATGGTTCGATTACGAGGGGGCACACTAGAATGGCGCAGTGACGGGATAACGTCATTCAATTGTTACGTCATCAAAAAACTATACCTTTATTGTCTGATAATGTATTTTTTTTCGATTGTTCTAACTGCTAGGCATCTTAGAAAGCATGATACTGCTACACACAGCCTCACACATAGCTTGACACTGCTACACACAGCCTCACACATAGCTTGACACTGCTTCACACACTGCCTTACACAGCCTCACACATTTCCAGGGATTGTTTTGAGACAGTTACTGCCAATAGCTGCATCCCTTGGTAAACAAGAAACTTTTTAATGTGTGTTAAATGTCTGAGCCTTGCATCACTTTGGGCTCCCTTCCACATCACTCACCCAATGTGCACATCCTGATCTCATGATCATCACGCTAAGCTCAGTGCCTCCTCTATCAGAGGAAGTCCGTGTTATGCTAGCTTCCGTCATCCATGTTGACATTGCAAGTGTTTTCCTGAACCTGTAGGTCGAGGCATGTTATGCTGTTAGTTTGTATATTGCTTACCATTTCCATAACATTCTGTGTAGACCCATCAGCCTGTTTATATATACAATAGTAATGCAACTATGTTTTTCACCATTGTAGTCAGTTTTCGGACCAGTAGCGTCAACAGTGCTCAAACTGACTTGTCTGATCCAGTTCTGAATGACTGCCATGATTTAATGGCATGATTAGGCTAAGGCATTGATATGAGCAGTGCAGTTGTTACATTAGGACGAGACAATCCATGAGAAAAGGGGCTTGAATTAAAGCTTGTTTGGCAAAAATTAGTCTTGGATGCACATTTGTGCTTCATGTAAAACCCTGACAGTTCCAAAATGTGTTGTTCTAAAGGGTACCGGTTGTACCTAGATTAAGATTTGAAGCATGAACATTAAACGCACTACAGAGAGGAAGGTATCCTCATATTCATGGAATGGACAGATCCAATGATCACATTCAAATCTTATTTTTGCACTATAGTTTGGCATGAAATGCATGTGACCCGTGTTTTTGTAAATATCTCTTCATCCAATGACCCAGTCAATCCTCAAACTGTGCAAGTGGATGTTTTGTCAGACAACCTAATCACATTGTAAATCACCGATTTTATGCATTGGTATTAAAGAATCTGTCTATGTAACTGTCAACAAAATAAACAGCAGAACGCAAACTGCTTGCAGAGGGAGGGAGCCAATGACCTGTAACAGCGGCAGTGTTGGGTCATAAAGGTCAACGTTTGTCAATGTAGGTCAGCTATGCATGTGACAGGTATGAAGAGGTGTTCATTTCTAGCAAATAGCCGGCGAATGACATCTCTGATGACCCTGATGTCAAAAGAATCTAACTTTGGATGCCTACCTTTTTGTACAAGGTTTTGTTTATTGGTCGTTGGTTTATTTTTCACAATTTTTAGCACGATGTTCTTTTTCATGCCAAGAGCAAAAGTTGTACGGTTCATGTAATCCGACACCTTATAAATCGGTTTGCTACGTTTGCTCTCTTGTTTAAAAAAATTCAACACATTTCTAATTAAATGTTTAGCATCATCTGAATAAGCTTTTACGATGACAGCTAGAAGTAGTCAATGTGAATGATCCAAACGGTCTATCACTGTGAAGTGCACAGGTAACTATCATGAACTGCACGTGCATTTACCTTTATGACCCAACACTGCCGCTGTTACAGGTCATTGGCTCCCTCCCTCTGCAAGCAGTTCTGCGTTCTGCTGTTTATTTTGTTGACAGTTACATACACAGATTCTTTAATATAAATGCATAAAATCGGTGATTTACAATGTGATTAGGCTGTCTGACAAAACATCCACTTGCACAGTTTGAGGATCGATTGGGTCATTGGATGAAGAGATATTTACAAGAAAACGGGTCCACATGCATTTCATGCCAAACTATAGTTATGAAGGTTGTTTTGTCAGCACTGTAGGTTGTGAGTTTCACTGACGTTGTCATCACATCATCACGTTGGTCACTCCTCTCACATTAAGCTGACATGCCTCGATAGTACTCAAGTATTCTACAATATGGTGTATGCCTCCTTTGTCTCTGGTTTACCTCCTCACACAGCTGATGTTAATGTGTTACTACTCTCTGGGTAAAAAGCGTGTTCTCGCTTAATGTGTCCGGTGTAAACATCAACAACCTGCATTGCTTCATGCTTGCCTTCCACACCAAGGTGAAAGACAAGGATATAGCTGGAGTATTGTTCCAAGCAGCATTAAAAACCAAACACTCTCACTCAATGTTCGTAATATGTAAATAAGGAAAATTCCATAGAAAACAGGTTTATTTCATAGCAAGTATGTACATGACTGTCCTCATCAAATCATGCATGGGTTGAAGTCACACGTTGACTGAACACGTCTGACCAGTCAGCTTCCTACCCGACATGCATGCACCTCCTTATATACCTGGATATCAGCTGGACACATCTGGACACACCTGGGCACACCTGGCAGAGGCTGTGGGGGGGTTTTGTGCTACAGGTCGAATGACTGTCCTGTCCTGACAGCTTCCATGCAAGGAAACAATCAGCACAATCTGGGGGTCATTGGAGCATTGAGCTAATCAGGTCACGTAATAAACATTGAGAGTTCGTTCCTATTTTGTTGTTGTTGGTGTGCTGATGTTTGACTGCTGAATGGTTGCTTCGTGGCCATCTTCTGTACTGAGGGTCACTGAAGGGGGCAGGGGGTGGCTGGAGGGGCACTTGGTCCATGGTCTTCACTTCCATCTCTTGTCGGTCAGCTGGCCGTCAGACTCAGCGTCCACTGTATCAGGCTGCAATAAACAATACAGATTTCTCTAAACAGTCATGGGAAATTATTATGGGACAACTAGTTCTGTGCTTCTAGGGGAAGGGTATTTGAAGGACAACTGGGCCACATTGAAGCATCGAGAGTATAGAGCTCAAGTGCAGATAAAACATTCGAAGGTGTTTACTAAGGAAAAGATGCCTGTTCTATTAAAGGCTACAGTCTAAAATTAATCTTGATACTGGTTAATGCGTTCAGTGGTTAACACCTGTGTAGCATCATGCTTTCCTCCAAGATTAATGTTGCATGACAAGGTGTAACCCAAATAATGTTAGGTGGCACTAAGCCAACTCACTCACCGTTACTGTACGTGGTGTGTTTTACTTTCAACTCACTAGGGGTGTGTATTGCAGAGAATTTTCATATTGCGATATATTGCGATGCGAAAGCATATATTGCGATATGTATTGCAATATATTGCATGAAGTATTTTTAAACAAAAAAAATACTTATAATCGAGTTAATGCTTGATTTACAGCAAAAACACAACAAAATCACTATGCTTGATTAAGCTTTAGTAACAACTTTTAATCATGATAAATTAAAAATGTGAATAATATTTGGCACAAATGAAGCAAGGAAATATCTAAAGATTTCCAAGTGTTACGAAGTTTTCCTAATGCAAGTCAAGATACCAGTTTTCGTATCGCAAATATGTATCATTTTCATGTCTGAACCGGTAAACCAGTTATATTGCACAGCCCTACAACTCAACTCACCTCAGGGAAGTCCATGTGAGGCACTCCATTCTGGCAGCGATGGGCCACACGAGAGGATTCCTCCTGGAGTACATGTGGATAAATTAATCACTGCATGACAAATTCTAAACTGTTTTTGTTCTCTACAATAAGTCTCTCAAGCAAGCTGCACTATGATTGACGCCTGACAAGTTGGTAAAGAAGGACCCTTTCAAAGTGAAGTCAACTGTGGATACATATTCCTCCCATATATACACTGCACTGATGATGGGTATTGATATACACTGACTAGTATATACACATGCTGGGACCTTGTGCACTTGTCAAGAATAAGGATTACTCTACAGGTGTATATTTTCAGTGTTCCAAAGGAGGCCCTAGTTATCCCTCTAAGCTAAGTTAAGTCAAGCTGATGAAGAGCCACAGTCATCTCCCATCAGATGCATGTATTTGTAAGATTCTGTTCAGGTCTCTGAGGTGGTTCTTTGCAATCTTAGTCTCCATCTTTGAATGCAATATTATCATGGTTATCTTCTGAATATAGCTTTGTCTAACAGAGTCCTAAACGAAAGTGATTTCCACACGTTTGTAATAGTAACTGACAGAACGGTTTCCATGTGGGTATACGTACCATGATCAGCTTGTTGACAAGCATGAGGATGTCTTTCCGGAACACACAGCTAGTGCTGTCCCCGCCACGTTTCCTCCCTGCGTGCCAACCGTTGCTGAAGTGGTAGTTCTGTCCAGCAACAGCATGTACCGTGAGCAGCAGCAGCAGCACTGACACTGTCACCCCTTGACTGGATAGTACGGACATTCTGAAACACGCATTGACCCGCAACACTGACACTGTCACCCCTTGACTGGATAGTACGGACATTCTGAAACACGTGACCCACAACACTGACACTGTCACCCCTTGACTGGATAGTACGGACATTCTGAAACACGTGACCCGCAACACTGACACTGTCACCCCTTGACTGGATAGTACGGACATTCTGAAACACGTGACCCACAACACTGACACTGTCACCCCTTGACTGGATAGTAATGGACATTCTGAAACACGCGTGACCCACAACACTCTGAAACGGACGTGACCCGCAACACTGACACTGTCACCCCTTGACTGGATAGTGCGGACATTCTGAAACACGTGACCCACAACCTTGAGATCTCAGCTGTCCAGACATATTGACCCTCACACCATCAGGTCCACATTATACATGCTGGCAGTCAGTTTTATAAGAAGATATAAGTGCTTCCACATCATGGGATTAGGATCTGCATCCCGCACAATGATGCCTGGAAGGAAGGGACACAGGTGTAATGCCACCTGAAGTACAGCATATAGTACCGTAGGGTGCATGTATCTTTTGATCATGGATTTAAACTCTTGTTTTGTCTTTACTTTGGCTTTCATCAAAGTTGTAAAACAATGAAATATGCAGAAGTCTGGGCTTTCTCATAGCTTTAACCTTGACAGGTCCTGATATAACTGGAATCAACACCAAACTCAACAACTCTTGCCCAACCCACTTGACCTTTGATTTCAGTTACACTAATTTAAAAATGAAAAGAATCACAATTCATTTAAAATGCTTTACCTATCAAGCCTTGTTGTTCAGTCGCTATCACAACCTCAGTACTGACATTGTGTACGTACAGATGCATGAGTTGCCATGGTGTTTCATGATGTGTGTCATGAATTCCTGCTGGCTTCAGACCGATGGATGGCCTGACACTAGCACGACACAGTTGTGGTTGTACAAAGTACAATACTGACACAAGCCCTTCACAGTTGGTGTTGTACAATACTGACACTAGCCCTTCACAGTTGGGGTTGTACAATACTGACACTAGCCCTACACAGTTGGGGTTGTACAATGCTGACACAAGCCCTACACAGTTGGGGTTGTACAATACTGACACTAGCCCTACACAGTTGGGGTTGTACAATACTGACACAAGCCCTACACAGTTGGGGTTGTACAATACTGACACTAGCCCTACACAGTTGGGGTTGTACAATACTGACACAAGCCCTACACAGTTGGGGTTGTACAATACTGACACAAGCCCTACACAGTTGGGGTTGTACAATACTGACACTAGCCCTACACAGTTGGGGTTGTACAATACTGACACAAGCCCTACACAGTTGGGGTTGTACAATACTGACACTAGCCCTACACAGTTGGGGTTGTACAATACTGACACAAGCCCTACACAGTTGGGGTTGTACAATACTGACACAAGCCCTACACAGTTGGGGTTGTACAATACTGACACAAGCCCTACACAGTTGGGGTTGTACAATACAGACACTAGCCCTACACAGTTGGGGTTGTACAATACTGACACAAGCCCTACACAGTTGGGGTTGTACACCACTTGTTTCCCTGACTGGCTGCCAGACACTATTGCTGCAATTCTTTCATCAGACAGTATTATCCTGGAGCGTTTCATCTACCTTCCTGTTTTCTTCATTTCTCGAGGTGATTAATTTTTTTCCCTTTGATTGTCCAATTTTGTGTAACCACTTTTCAGCACAAACCCATCTTGCTCAATTTCAGTTTAAAATTGGCTTGTGAATATTAGAATATCTTTTATGTGGGAATTGTAGAATATTTAGAGAATTATAAGGATCATGTTTTTTCTTCTTTTTTGTGAACCATTTCTAGAATTTTTCCCTGATCAAAGATCTTATAGAGTAATATTTCATGTAACGTAGCTGGTACGACTGAAGCCTACGGACAGCTATATTTTGTGTTTTACAATCGTGGGAATATTTCTCCATTTAGCCATTGTGCAGAGAACAAAGAGGGCTTTCTTAGCAGATTAAGGCTTCATCCTACCCTCCCTTAAACTGAGTTAGGAGAGTTATTTAAACAATTATATCTCCAACCTACTTCTGGGAGATGTTCTTTAGGTAAAAAAAGCCTTGGAGATAACCAAGAGAAAGTGGTCAGCCCACTCATAGAGCATTGATTCCAAGGATTCAATAAATGTTCTTCCAATAAATAAAAAGAGGGTTTTGGGAGTTAAACAGATAATTGATTGGCTGAGGTTAATATCAAGAGAAAAAATATTTAAAAAAGCAAATTGAGTAGTTACTTTTTCATTGAACAATTCAATTAAATCCTGCTTTGTTAGATGGTGTTTGTAATATAAGTATTCACATGGGGAAGAACAGGACTTGTTGAGAGTCTCTTAACAAATATGACATTCACTAAAGGCCTGGTTGGTTATAGTTCCATGGAATAATCCAGATGTCATCATTGACCAATGATAAGCTGTGTCTTACTTCAGTATGGACCAGCTTGATTACTGACATATTAACACATTTATTCCACACCATGGTCTGAGTAGCCACCTCCACAGTGACATCTCCAGGCATGCTTCACCTAGATCCTACTGGTACAGTCAGTTCAAGTCTCTCTCTTATAGGTCCACTCAGTATCTCCACAACTGACTGATGTTTTGTGTTCAGTGTTCCCTATCTGTACTGTGTATTTGAGCTGACACTCACAGTTTATTGGATGTGCAGCACTGCAAGTGTTCAGTGTCACTTACCACCAGGCATATTCAGAAGAGAGAGTTATGGGAGATTAATTGGGGGCCTGCTCATAAGGGGGCACCTGCTCTTCTCATAGAAACACAGTTTTATTCATATATTAAGGGCTTGCAAGATATTGTATTTTTTATGCGAAACTGAAGAGCATGTAAGAAGCTATTGTTAGTAACAAATTTTGGCAAAGTAGTCTTTTGAAGTGTGACAGGTTGATACTGTGCAGCTGTTGGACAAAACATGGAATGGTGGTATATTCAGTTTGTTTGATATAGGTTTTAGGTGAACATCTTTAGATATTCAGTGAGGTAATCATGTGCATTATAGTTTGAAACTTGTGAAATAATTCCAATTGAAAAAGCTCAAACCTAGATCTGTTGAGGTGAAGGCAACAAATTAGATGAACAGACTCATTATTGTTAAAAATGAATTAGAGAAACTGATATCTTCAAATATCGATCCTGATGTCTCTGGATGAAATACCAATAAGTTTGAGGAAAAAAATCCTGAAAATTCTTCAACAAGTTTAAAACTAATAATATCAGAATTGATTACTGAGTGTACCGTAGGAAGCTAAAGTTTATCAACTACACTGAGCTTTGCCTGTTGTACCTGTGTACCACATTCCACACAGCAACAGGTATGAGCCTTGTGATACTGACTATTTAACACTGACAATTAACAAACAGAAGTTCTGCTAGAGTCTGAAGTGTATTGAAGTGTGTACAGGTTTACTGATGTGTACTCAATGATAGTGCAGCCTACTGAACTGTTCTGAACTGTATATAAATATATGTGTGTGTTGAAATCATAAATGTCAGACTGTCTGTTAAGACAGAAATGGCGTTTATTTGTGCCTCATTAGTCATGAGGAGGTATGTTTCAGTGACTCACAGGTCAGGGTCAGCCCTTGCCCTTGCCTTGGGGTCTCATGTCTTCATGAAGGGATCCTCTGAAGGTCATGTACACATCATGTGGAGGTCATGTAGGGATCTTGTACAGATCATGTAGGGTGGATCTTGTACAAATCATGTAGGGTGGATCTTGTACAGATCATGTAGGGTCGGATCTTGGACAGATCATGTAGGGTGGATCTTGTACAAATCATGTAGGGTGGATCTTGTACAGATCATGTAGGGTGGATCATGTAGGGATCTTGTACAGATCATGAAGGTGAGTGAGTGAGTGAGTTTGGTTTACGCCGCTTTTAGCAATATTCCAGTAATATCACTGCGGGGGAAACCAGAAATGGACTTCACACATTGTACCCATGTGGGGAATGGAACCTGGGTCTTCGGCATGACGAGCCAACGCTTTAACTACTGGGCTACCCCACCGCCCCAGATCATGAAGGGATCTTGTATACTTCAAGTAGGGATCCTGTACACATCTTGCAGAGATTGTATTAGGATCATCTATGGGCAACTGTGGAGGTGTAATTGAAAAGGAGCTTCTCTGAAGTGTTAACATGGATAAAACTAAAACTTTAGCTGTTATGAAATAATAAATAATAAGGGTTTTTATTGTTTGTTTCTATGATATATTATGATATTTATTTTTACCCTTGATTATTCTCAGTCATGCATTCTGTTTACAGTTAGTTTTATAGTTTCAGTTTATAACATGTGTCCCTGTGCTTTTGTCTGTGTTTCGCTGACTTTAGCCAGTAGTCAGTAGTAGGTGTCCAGTAGCATTCTCTAGTCTGCTAGCTCAGCTAATAATAAATACAGTTCCATTGAATCTACTGAAAATGAAGGTGAAAGCTATGTTGTGGTCTGCAGACTGCACAAACCACAACATATGCACATCTTTGATAGATTTTATCATTATTAATGTCATTGTATTTGATGTTTCAGTGATATGAATATATGAAATGTTCTCTTTTGGATGGAATGATGAAGGCTGTTAAGGTTATGTGTTATGAAAATGATAAAGTGCATATATTCCTATTCCAGGATAAGTGAATTAATCAAAATTGTTAGATAGTAATGCCATGATTGTAGACAAAATGTGAAGTGGTGTCATTGTTGGTATAGAAGATGCTATTTCTACAAGCCAGATGATGCTGGTGGCACTAGGAATATGGCCACTGTACAGGTACTCCTCAGTAGAACTTTAGGAACACGTTCACATCACTTATAGATGGTCTGGCCTGGCATAATGTAGAAGTAGGAAAGATTCAGGTTTTCTTTAACTTCTTTTGAGCAGTGTACCTAGCTTGATCAGACTATTTGCTGGAATTAAGATTCTTTCAAAAAGTTGCAGTGTCTTGCCACCAAGTTTTTCTCACAATTTGTTTTGCCAGAGTGTCACCAAAACAATAGTATTTATCATATCCAACACTGTGCATAATCAGTCCAGGTGAGCTGTGTAAGGCTATCAGTGGGTCTGGCAAACAGACAGTTAACAGGCAACACACACCCAAGCAGCACTTAGACAACATGGAATTATTACCTAACAAAAGAGATTTTAGGCAGCATTTCTTCTACTAGCAGCAATAAGTTTCATGTCTTTTAACCTTTTCAAAAACTTCTTCCCTAATCTAAAAGTAAAAGTAATCACCATAACCACCTACTACTAAATCTACACGACACTCTGTGCTATTTTGTGTAAATAATGGACTTTGTAGTAATTTATCAAAAACTTACTTTCTGTCACTTGAACTTAAAGTTTCTATACTCCTGCAAAATTAACTTGTTTATGCTTTCAAAAAGTGGCCCCCTTTGTCAGAGTTTCCAGGGTACTTATTATTGTGAATATGTTACACATGCTTAGTGCCAGATGTCTGTCAGTATTTATGGACTGGTATATAACATTATATATGTTTATTGAAACATACTTGTATACATTAACTTGCAGGGTTCGAAATACTCCATATATTAGGGTGCCATGGCACAGTAAATATTGAAATGGCACGGATAAAAACTGTTCTCTGTGCCCTTGTGGCACGCCTAATTTTTTAGAAACATAACTCACCTTTAGTCATTTAATCCCCAAAACAAGACACTTATGCAAATGACAAACAAGCAAAAACATTTCTTGACTTTATCGCCCAGGAAATCAATGGAATTATGATGGATGATGTAAAGAAATCTGGTTGTTTTCCATTAAGAGTGATGGGAGTACTGATAGTTAGGTTATTGAAGAGGAAATTGTGTATGTTAGATATGTTGAACAGTTACCTGTCACAAAATTCTCAGCTATTAAAAGTGTTTGGAAATTAGTACAAATGAAGCTTAAGAAAGCCATGATCTTAAACAGAAGACATATCAGTGAAAACAGAAAACAGGTTACATTTGTTGTTTACTAACAATAAATTTCAAAAGATCATCATCATTGCTACAGTCATTTATTCTAAAACATGTGGGCACACTTGATTTCTGAAAGGCACATTTAAAATATTTGCCTGGTGCCCTAAGGCACACTTAGAAAATAAAGTATTTCAACCCCTGACTTGTAGACATATAAGACTGTTCATTCACTTTTATATTCACCCTTGGCATAAGACTGTCATCAATAAGAGATACTAGCATGTTTAGAGCAGTTTCATGTCACATTTTGTAAATAGATTCTAGGTATTGGTAAATTCTCTACTACAACAGTTAAAAAAGTTTGGACAAACATTGTAGAATTACATTGGCACAAATGTTACAAAATAACTTTCTCTGTTTGGTTTCAGTTTGTGTGGAAAAAGTGTCAGAAATATTGATTCATTTCTTTTAGAATTTGATCAAAGAGTTAAAGACTGTTGTGTTCAGTCACTATTTAGAACTTAAATATGCACTCAAATTTAGATTTTTACTCAAGTATAAAGTAAAATCAGCTCTTGCGATTGTACAATATTTGCTTCACATACACCAAAAAGGTCAAAGAAGATTCTTAAAATTATTAAGAATTGGATAATTACAGGCAGGGGGGTGTTGCTAGAAACATTAGATTTTGTCCTTTCTGTAAATGTACTATAAAAGACATGTAACTTTTAATGTTAGTTTTCCCAGTTTAGGATATTTTAAAACAGAAATTTAAAAATAAATACTCTCTCAGAACTTCTTACACTGAAGTCATTATGTGCTAGATACATTAAGGATCTCTTTACATTCTTCAAGTCTGGTACTTTACCTGCACTTTCATCCTCTTGTTATTGTAGTACCACTTACCATATAATACATGTATCTACACTGTACTTGGTGGACCGTGTACTGAAATACGCTTTTCTTTACTTACTTGATAGTAATACACAAGGCACAACAAGCAATATACTGACTACAAGTGCACTATATACAGTAATGGTGGTGTAACTAGATAGCCTACCTGTAGCTTGGTGCTTGTGGTGGGAAACAGCCGCGGACACCTGTACAGATCCTTGGTACTTGCCTGTAGTGTCTCAGCACACTACCTTCTGCCTGCTCCCACTATATATAGTCCGCAGAAGAGGGCGCTGCTTCAGAGAGAGTCTGCGGCGAGCGGGGGTGTAGTCCCTCCTCCTCCCTGGCTCTCCATCTCCATGGCTCCCCAGTGGGGTAGTGGCATCTTCACCTGCAACTCAATTACTGTGCATCCCGTGTGATTGTGTTGATGCAGACTTGGTGCATGTTGCCTGCGGCACATGGGGCAGATGGTGACAATGTTGTTGCCAGACTTGGTGCCGTGCCCTCCCTCGTCAATCATCTAAATTACCCTGTAATTAGAGTTAGACCTTTGTGATCCAACATATGCACTGGCCAATCAGTCCGTCAATTGAACTTAGGTCCCCAGTATACACATGGTCAGTAAGAAGACCAATAACTTTCTTTCTAATGTAAGGTCTCCTTTGACATGTTTTGATATTTTGACTGGCAATTACCTTTAAGATGGTAGTTTTAGCAGGGACAAGGTGGGTTTCATGTGTGTTGCTTTCAAAGTTGAACACCTGTACCTTTAACATGTTTAAGATGGCACCTCAAGCAGGAATGAGGAAGAATGGTTTCATGTTGTTGTTGTGGTTTGCAGAGATGTATATAAAAACCTTCAATATGTTTACGATGGCACCTCAAGCAGGAATGAGGAAGAATGGTTTCATGTTGTTGTTGTGGTTTGCAGAGATGTATATAAAAAACCTTCAATATGTTTACGATGGCACCTCAAGCAGGAGTGAGGAAGAATGGTTTCATGTTGTTGTTGTGGTTTGCAGAGATGTATATAAAAAACCTTCAATATGTTTACGATGGTAGTTGGAGGAGGAATGAGGAAGAATGGTTTCATGTTGTTTTTGTGGTTTGCAGAGATAATAATAATAATGATAATAATGTCACTTATAAAGCGCAAATGTCCACACACTTATGAATGCTCAATGTGCTGAAAAGAATTGAGTAAAAGAGTCAGACATAGGCACTTTGAAACAGGTGAGTTTTAACTTTTGACTTGAAGGTTGAGAGAGATTCACATAGTTTGATTTCTAAAGGTAAAGAGTTCCAAAGAGTTGGTGCGACATAGGAGAAAGCCCTTTTCCCATACGAAACTAGGTGGAATTTGAAGATGTATATAAAAAAAACTTCAATATGTTTGCGATGGTAGTTGGAGAAGGAATGAGGAAGGATGGTTTCATGTTGTTTTTGTGGCTTGCAGAGATGTATATAAAAAAACTTCAATATGTTTACGATGGTAGTTGGAGAAGGAATGAGGAAGAATGGTTTCATGTTGTTTTTGTGGTTTGCAGAGATGTATATAAAAAACCTTCAATATGTTTACGATGGTAGTTGGAGGAGGAATGAGGAAGAATGGTTTCATGTTGTTTTTGTGGTTTGCAGAGATGTATATAAAAACACCTTCAATATGTTTACGATGGTAGTTGGAGAAGGAATGAGGAAGAATGGTTTCATGTTGTTTTTGTGGCTTGCAGAGATGTATATAAAAAACCTTCAATATGTTTACGATGGTAGTTGGAGAAGGAATGAGGAAGAATGGTTTCATGTTGTTTTTGTGGTTTGCAGAGATGTATATAAAAAGCCTTCAATATGTTTACGATGGTAGTTGGAGAAGGAATGAGGAAGGATGGTTTCATGCTGTTTTTGTGGCTTGCAGAGATGTATATAAAAAAACTTCAATATGTTTAAGATGGCACCTCAAGCAGGAATGAGGAAGAATGGTTTCATGTTGTTTTTGTGGTTTGCAGAAATGTATATTTAAAACCTTCAATATGTTTACGATGGTAGTTGGAGAAGGAATGAGGAAGGATGGTTTCATGTTGTTTTTGTGGTTTGCAGAGATGTATATAAAAAACTTCAATATGTTTACGATGGTAGTTGGAGAAGGAATGAGGAAGAATGGTTTCATGTTGTTTTTGTGGTTTGCAGAGATGTATATAAAAAAACTTCAATATGTTTACGATGGTAGTTGGAGAAGGAATGAGGAAGAATGGTTTCATGTTGTTTTTGTGGTTTGCAGAGATGTATATAAAAAACTTCAATATGTTTATGATGGTAGTTGGAGAAGGAATGAGGAAGAATGGTTTCATGTTGTTTTGTGGTTTGCAGAGATGTATATAAAAACCTTCAATATGTTTACGATGGTAGTTGGAGAAGGAATGAGGAAGAATGGTTTCATGTTGTTTTGTGGTTTGCAGAGATGTATATAAAAAACTTCAATATGTTTATGATGGTAGTTGGAGAAGGAATGAGGAAGAATGGTTTCATGTTGTTTTGTGGTTTTGCAGAGATGTATATAAAAACCTTCAATATGTTTACACGATGGTAGTTGGAGAAGGAATGAGGAAGAATGGTTTCATGTTGTTTTTGTGGTTTGCAGAGATGTATATAAAAAACCTTCAATATGTTTATGATGGTAGTTGGAGAAGGAATGAGGAAGAATGGTTTCATGTTGTTTTTGTGGTTTGCAGAGATGTATATAAAAAAACTTCAATATTTTTACGATGGTAGTTGGAGAAGGAATGAGGAAGGATGGTTTCATGTTGTTTTTGTGGCTTGCAGAGTTGTGAGGGATCCATGAAACACAAGGTGGACATGGTGAGCAAGCTGGAGGAGAAGACGACCCAGCTGGTGACCACCCTGCGGGACTTGGAGAAAAGGTGAATGACTGTACCACTAGATTATCTAGCCGGGGACGTGACTGTACACCATGCTAGCCAAGGACTTGGCTATATTATAAATTGTTCTGTATGAAAAAATATGTTGAAGGAGCTAATTTTATATCTTTGTATATTTTTAAATAGGTTTTAAGCGTCAGTAATATACTGCCATTGACACAGGGTTGTGTTTTCTGCCTCTCCATTTCCAAAGTGCAAAATACTGCCATTCATCAGCTTTTGCTGTTCAGAATGGAAAGATCCAATAGCCGAGAAGCTTGACCGACGTGAATCACCATACTAACGCTTAATCATGGGAGTGAAAAAATACACATTTTGATTTAATGTATCATGAGTGATAAAATCCAGTGATAATCACAATGATTTCAGATGAACAAATCCAAAGAAGTACTTGTGTACTTGTTATGCAATCCAATTTTGATTGTACAGTATTATTGTACAGTATCACACTATATGTTGTTGAATGTGTGTACTACAGGCTGCTTGTGTACCAGAAATTCCTTGTTAGTCACGACACACTTCACCACTTGTACCACATACAGTTCTCAGCTTAGGGTGTATCCAGCAGTCGAATGAAGGTCACTGTAACATGTTGTCATACAAACAGTACTAGATATTCCTTTAGAACTGAAACATGTTGTCATACCAACAGTACTAGATATTCCTTTAGAACTGAAACATATTGTCATACCAACAGTACTAGATATTCATTTAGAACTGAAACATGTTGTCATACAAACAGTACTAGATATTCCTTTAGAACTGAAACATGTTGTCATACAAACAGTACTAGATATTCCTTTAGAACTGAAACATGTTGTCATACAAACAGTACTAGATATTCATTTAGAACTGAAACATGTTGTCATACAAACAGTACTAGATATTCCTTTAGAACTGAAACATGCTGTCATACCAACAGTACTAGATATTCATTTAGAACTGAAACATGTTGTCATACCAACAGTACTAGATATTCATTTAGAACTGAAACATATTGTCATACAAGCAGTACTAGATATTCCTTTAGAAATGAGACTTATTGTTTTTATATATACTCTAGATTTAGAGAAGTTGTTGTTGTAGCCAACATTTAGTTACAGCAGGTATGTTCTATCTACCGTGGTGCTTTCATCACAACAACATATGTACCACAGATAGCCAGTGTTTTATCAGCAGTGTAAATGTTTCATTCACAGGGCACAGTGTTCATCCCAGCTGATTCTCTGTGAAGAATACTGTGCAGTGTAGATGAGAAATTTGAAACATCTGTGGTTCAAAGAAGAAAAGCTTGTTTTGCTGTGTTTTTGTCCGATATGGCCAACCCGGCTTTGTCATCTTTACACTGATACACAAGTATGCCCACAGTTTTGATTAGATGTAATGTGTAATGTAGTGTAATACTTTTGTAGACCGCGAAGTCTTAGTAGTTCATGGTGGGATGTGTCTTCTTGTATCACTGTTAGATCAGGTCAGTCATCAGATACCTTGATGTGACCAAACCTAGTCTGTAAAACTTTGGATGTCACCCCTGTTGCAGTTTATATCAAATTACTTGTACAGTTGGTATGCAAGCCAACTAGGGTATGGTAACTTTACTTGAGACATGGCTCAGCTCAAGACTCAGATTATCTGCTGATGTTGACATGAGTAATTATTTGTTTTAACAAAATTATGACCTACTTTCTGTAGTCTCAGGAGGGTATCCTAGTGGTTAAAGTGTTCACTCATCATGCCGAAAACCGGGTTCAATTCCCCACATGGGTACAATGTGTGAAGCCCGTTTCTAATGTTCCAGCTGTGATATTGCAGGAATATTGCTAAAAGCGGCATAAAAACAAACTCACTCACTCACTCACTCACTCTGTAGTCTGGGTAGTCAATGGTGTAATGATTAAAAACATTAAGTGAAAATTATAACATAAAAGTATGTCAATTTCAAACATAAACCTTGTGCTGAAATATCGCTAGTGTGAAAATAAGTGCATTGGTTATCATGAGATTGACAGTCCTAAAGACAACTGTAAGTTGCCCAGCGCTATGCCCCAGCAGGTCCACTGTTGTTCAGCTTCAACATGGCAGGAGTGCCCCAGCAGGTCCACTGTTGTTCAACTTCAACATGGCAGGAGTGCCCCAGCAGGTCCACTGTTGTTCAACTTCAACATGGCAGGAGTGCCCCAGCAGGTCCACTGTTGTTCAACTTCAACATGGCAGGAGTGCCCCAGCAGCCAGGTCCACTGTTGTTCAACTTCAACATGGCAGGAGGTCCACTGTTGTTCAGCTTCAACATGGCAGGAGTGCCCCAGCAGGTCCACTGTTGTTCAACTTCAACATGGCAGGAGTGCCCCAGCAGGTCCACTGTTGTTCAACTTCAACATGGCAGGAGTGCCCCAGCAGGTCCACTGTTGTTCAACTTCAACATGGCAGGAGTGCCCCAGCAGGTCCACTGTTGTTCAACTTCAACATGGCAGGAGTGCAAGCTGTTAGGTAAAGCAAATTCCACTGTTGTTCAGCGAAAAAACGCATGGTCCTACCAAGCTGTTCCATTCAACATGGCCTTTAGCAGATGAAAGTGTAACATTGCTATATTGAAGCATTCACTGTTTTACAAAGGTTTTTAAAGCTGATTGTGTCTGTTTTAAGGTTTTTAGCATCATACTCAAGCTTGGTGGTCGCACCGGGAAGTGAGTGTCAGAACTGCATCATTTAGGGAGGTCCGCCCACAGCAGGCTCACTCGTTCAGATATTACTAAAACAACAGTCAAAGAGACATAAACCCAAGCCACTCACTCACTCACTGATGGCCAATGAGGACCTTGTCATGCATATAGGTCAATACATATTATATAGAGAATAGGAATTCAATAGATTTCAATACAGTTGATACCTGATAACGTTTTCTTATTGGAAAGAAACTTTCAGGTCTTTATGTCAACTTATTTCTGGCATCTACAATGACTTTTAGAACTGATCAAAGGGTAGTTTGAAATATGTCCATACCTCTTTAACCTTTCATGGGATTCTATATCAGATGAAACTAAGTTGTTACTTTAGACTAATCACACTCTAGGAAAACACAAAAATATCAATTATTTTCTTTAATAGTAAGGCAAGATGAAGTGAAAGGGCAACCAGCTTGACAGGATAATATATTTCATTTGTGGTTACTGTTGATTATGAAAGTTGTACATATTTAGTCGTCCTAAACTCACTCGCATTAAGTGTTAAATTATTTATGTTATTGATGTTATCCTCACATAGGTAGTGAATTTAACGTGACAGAAACTTAATTCAGTGTATATTTTAAGAGTTGTCCTGGAATATTTGACTGTGGTACTAATATTAATACTCTATCATGATCTGGGTACCCTAAAAATATCTACTGTTAAGATAAGCCTCATGACAAGGAAACCCGGGATTCATCCTTAGTTTTAGTCTTGCTACTCATTCAACCCAACTTAGCTGTGGATGTACATATGTATGTAAGAAATCTATGTCTTGTGGATATGCCATATGCCAGTGTATAGTTCCATCAACAAAATGATACACCATTCATAGTTACGATAGTTACATACTCATGGCATATTCCCAAAGACCCTTTGGGATTCTGGAATGGAGTAGGCCACCAATGTTGATCGGAAGAGACCGCAGGATCAGGTTGCCAAGGTAACTCCACAACATGGGTCATTGGTCACAATAACAATCACTGGATTGTCTGGTCCACATGCGATTGTTTGAAGGCTGCCCTCATGAAGGTGAAATATTGCTGTGTGTGGTGTCAGAACAAATACCTAACAAACATGATGGTCCCATTCCCAGTTATTGACACTCGCAGACAAACATTAACACAGCTGGAATCGCTTCAAGTGACAGTAAGTGGAGATGCAATTTGGGTAATTAAACATCATGGGGTTTTAATGTATTTGACTCTGTCACCTAACTTAGGATTTCATTATCCAGAATGTTGTTCCATGTTTTAGTCACTGCTAAAACGTTACACAAATCTTGACCAGAATTTTTCAGATTTATGTGTGTTTGGGCAAAAAAGGGCAGCATCCAGCTTCATTCTGTGTTATTCATTTAGAGGTACATATGGACACGTGAAACTTTGTGTGGATAACAGCATGTAATGTTGTACCAGTGTTCTATTGTTACTTCCTGTGAAGCCTGGCAGCCATGTAGGTTTTATGTCGGAGGTCTTCATGATTTCACTAACCAATCAGATCCTGTATTCTCCATGGTGGTATTAATGACTTGGAGCGTCTATAGCCCTGCTGATGGCCTTGACATGTTTATTGGTTTGGATGCAGGGAGGGGAGGTCTAATCATATTAGCATTAGTGAGGGTGGGAGTGCCAAGTTGGAGCGCAGGTTAGAGTGCCAGCTTGTATATCCCTGTGGCTTACGTTTTCCTCCCCCACCACTGAGGAGGATAAAGCGGTGCCATACTTCCAGACTAAGTGCATTTGTCAACCTCCAGGCTATAGCTGTCTAGTGAAAGTGGTCATTTAAACCCTTGAGTCTTATTATCTGCCTGTCCAGTCTCTATTGGCCATTTACAGAAACAAATAATTAGTCAGGGACCCCAGTATTGACTAAACAGACCATAATTAGTTAATATATCCTGTGACTAAGGGCAATATGGTATGTTTCACTGGACCATGTAAACCAAGCATTACTTGCAACCTAAACCTACAGTGTTTTCACTGTGGGGCTATGTTAACTAAAGATTTGATAGCAGAAAAGTTCTTATGAAACCTACCAACCCTGTGCATCTGCTGATTGTATGATTTACATGACAAGCCATTTATAGAACGGTCTGTGGAAATGCCTGTTTTCCATGTGTAGCTATTCAGCCAATCAGTAACAGGGAGAGGTGAGGGATGCACACATGTAGCTATTCAGCCAATCAGTAACTGGGAGAGGTGAGGGATGCACACATGTAGCTATTCAATCAATCAGTAACAGGGAGAGGTGAGGGATGCACACATGTAGCTATTCAGCCAATCAGTAACAGGGAGAGGTGAGGGATGCACACATGGAGCTATTCAGCCAATCAGTAACTGGGAGAGGTGAGGGATGCACACATGGAGCTATTCAGCCAATCAGTTACAGGGAGAGGTGAGGGATGTACACATGTAGCTATTCAGCCAATCAGTAATTTGGAGAGGTGAGGGATGCACACATGTAGCTATTCAACTATTCAGTTCAAAGATTTGTTTGAGTGGCATTCTGTTTGTGGTACAGAGATGACAATATTTTGTGGATGATCAACTTCTTTATTTTCACAATAGCGACGTTTCGGTACACCAACTCATCACTGACTTGTTGAAGTGACACAGTACACCTACTCATCACTGACTTGTTGAAGTGACACAATACACCTATTCATCACTGACTTGTTGAAGAGACACAGTACACCTACTCATCATTGACTACACCTACTCATCACTGACTTGTTGAAGTGACACAGTACACCTATTCATCACTGACTTGTTGAAGTGACACAGTACACCTACTCATCATTGACTTGTTGAAGTGACACAGTACACCTACTCATCACTGACTTGTTGAAGTGACACAGTACACCTACTCATCATTGACTTGTTGAAGTGACACAGTACACCTACTCATCATTGACTTGTTGAAGTGACACAGTACACCTACTCATCATTGACTTGTTGAAGTGACACAGTACACCTACTCATCACTGACTTGTTGAAGTGACACAGTACACCAACTCATCATTGACTTGTTGAAGTGACACAGTACACCTACTCATCATTGACTTGTTGAAGAGACACAGTACACCTACTCATCATTGACTTGTTGAAGTGACACAGTACACCTACTCATCATTGACTTGTTGAAGTGACACAGTACACCTACTCATCATTGACTTGTTGAAGTGACACAGTACACCTACTCATCATTGACTTGTTGAAGTGACACACAGTACACCAACTCATCATTGACTAGTTGAAGTGACACAGTACACCAACTCATCATTGACTTGTTGAAGTGACACAGTACACCTACTCATCATTGACTTGTTGAAGTGACACAGTACACCTACTCATCATTGACCTGTTGAAGTGACACAGTACACCTACTCATCATTGACTTGTTGAAGTGACACAGTACACCCTACTCATCATTGACCTGTTGAAGTGACACAGTACACCTACTCATCATTGACTTGTTGAAGTGACACAGTACACCTACTCATCATTGACTTGTTGAAGTGACACAGTACACCTACTCATCATTGACTTGTTGAAGTGACACAGTACACCTACTCATCATTGACTTGTTGAAGTGACACAGTACACCTACTCATCATTGACTAGTACACCAACTCATCATTGACTAGTTGAAGTGACACAGTACACCAACTCATCATTGACTTGTTGAAGTGACACAATACACCTATTCATCATTGACCTGTTAAAGTGACACAGTACACCTACTCATCATTGACTAGTTGAAGTGACACAGTACACCTATTCATCACTGACTTGTTGAAGAGACACAGTACACCTACTCATCATTGACTAGTTGAAGTGACACAGTACACCAACTCATCATTGACTTGTTGAAGTGACACAATACACCTATTCATCATTGACTTGTTGAAGTGACACAGTACACCAACTCATCATTGACCTGTTGAAGTGACACAGTACACCTACTCATCATTGACCTGTTGAAGTGACACAGTACACCTACTCATCATTGACCTGTTGAAGTGACACAGTACACCTACTCATCATTGACCTGTTGAAGTGACACAGTACACCTACTCATCATTGACTTGTTGAAGTGACACAGTACACCTACTCATCATTGACTTGTTGAAGTGACACAGTGTCACAGACAATAGAGAAACTGACAACCATAAGTTTCATGTCTTCATGTTCTTCCAACTTCTGCTGAAGATTATTGGTTGAGATTGATGTTTATTATGTTTAGTTTTCAATCTAACATGAATCTCTTTGTATTGTCCAGAAAGAAGCCCAGTTTACAGAACACTGTAAAAATATGTTAATGATATGATCTAAAGAATACATTTCATTTTATGAATAGTGCCTTTGATACTGCGAACCAATCCGAGGATCTTTGTGTTGTAGTGTGATGTGAGGTAACCTAACAGGAACCACTTTTAAGAAGCTTCATGCATTGATGCGGCGTGTATTTGCTCAGTACATCTAGCCCACCTTTCCACGTGTTGGAGACTTGCTCACCGTGTGGGTGCATCTGTAGAAACATATGCCTGCCCTATGTTGAGGCACAATCAAGTAGAGTAAGTGAGTGAGTGTAGTTTTACGCTGCACTCAGCAATATTCCAGCTGTATGGCGGCGGTCTGTAAATAATCGAGTCTGGACCAGACAATCCAGTGATCAACAACATGAGCATCGATCTACACAATTGGGAACAGATGACATGTGTCAACCAAGTCAGCGAGCCTGACCACCCGATCCCGTTAGTCGCCTCTTATGACAAGCATGGGTTACTGAAGATCAATATTCTAATGTCTGTCAGTGGCATTTAGAAGTTGTACATAGATGTCCAAGATATATTTATGGATTAAAACTCTTTTTTATTTCCCTCACGTCAATTCACCTGATGAACGGACCTGATTGGTTAAAAAAGAAGTTTAATCCATAAAAATATCTTGGACATCAATATTCTAACCCGGACCTTCGCGGGTACAATCAAGTAGAGGGTACTGTTGCCTGAACATCCCTTACTTGGAGAGTGACATTGAACCTTCGTATTTGTCCACAGTTTAACATGTCTGAAATAACAGTATGAATGTAATATAGGTATTAGTGTTTATTCCTGATATGTGATATTTATGACACACATCACAATATGTGATATTTCTATCTCTTGTAGTATTACAGGAGAATGGAGACATATCCCAGATCTGTAATGCATCTATAGAGTTTCTTTATGGTTCCATCTGATGTTTTAACTATCCTGGATGGCACTGTGTACATTAATCTGATTCCCTTGGTATTGCAATGTCCAGTACAACTGGTGAATCTAAACGACTAAATATGAAAGTTTCAATCCGAGTAAATTTAGTGAACCTTGTGCTCTACCTTGGATGGGTCCACAGTAAAGTCACAAGATTTTCCCAGTGTGTGATACAGTCACAAGATTTCCCCAGTGTGTGATACCAAGTTAGAAATGTGTATATATGATCACACTTTCAAAATTGTGTTAACGAGTTAAAAATTGTGATGCTGGTCTTTTATAACATCTCTGAGTTCACGTGTATTTTCATTCTGCATTGACCTATACCCTATCATTTACCCCATTACACAGAAATCAATGTCTCTGTAGTCGAGAAGACATTCTATAGCCTTGCTGCAATATCACATGGCTACTCTCTTAATTTCCTTAATGGTTTATATGACCATCAACATTTCTCTGTTATCTGATATTTCACAACTTAAATGCAATAAAGATGTGATCTTGTTGGCATGAACAAATGAAGTTGAAATCCTGAAAGATGATTAACTTTTAAAGTGTACCGAACAAATTATCTATGACTATCAACTGTTTCAAGTGTTGCAACACTAAATGACGCTTGGTGTTTGACATAATATGTTGTTTATCTCCAATATGTATGCCATGGAATTCATGAGATTGTAAATTAACAATATCACAACAACATGAAGTCATTTTTATGGATTTAAATGTTCAAATAGATATGTGGGCAGACGTTCTGTTGTATTTCTACAATGTGAACACAAGTCAAACAATTTCAGGGAGACAGTACCTCAGTAAATGTGCTTTAAATTTATGAAAAGAAATTCTGGAATAATGAAAAAAAATGTTGAAATAACCTGCTGTGATTTTCTGAAATAAGGATAATGAGTGCAACTGTGGAGCCTTGCCCTTCAACTCACCATGGTGCAGTGGACTGGCTGGTAGTTTAACACTTCACCACTTTGCAGTCATTACCATAATTATCATGTTCAGCGCTCAAAAACTATTAATTCCAAAATATGTTGTATTTCCTTTTTGCACATTGAGTCTTAAAGTTGACCTCCTGTGTGTGTGTTTTTTCATCACAAACTAAGTTTGGGAACAATTTAAACATATAAAATCTGCCAGACCAGATCTGTGATGCATCAGTGTTCTTGACTGGATAAGTTCTGTGATAACTGTTATTAGTTATGGCGTCACATTCTTGAAAAAAGCAACCTTGGTGCAGTTTCACTAAGGATTTAGAAGGCAAATGTATTTCATGTGCTCTGAGCATTCCTATTGTGTGAAGTATAGCAGAAATTGAACCCTGTACAGCATTCTAAACTGCATTGTCTTTTCTTCTTGTATTTTTATATAATTGTTAAGAAAGGGTTTTAGAAACTATACGTTGCAGTGTAGTCATCTGTAGGTTGTTGTTCTATAGTTGGTGTATGTACAGAATGGTATGTCCTGCAGTGTCTGAGAATGAAGCGTTGAATCAAGGGGTTGGTCTAATTACCCTGGTGGTAAACATCAATGATTTGGGTCCCCAGATTTAAGTACCCGAGGAGTAAACCACAAGAACCCATAAACCTTCATTGCCAACACTGTTACCATAGTTACCAGCTGTCATTATCGTAGGACACTCTCTACATGTTGTTTTTGCTTTCACCAGCTTTAGTCGTTGTGTTGTTGATTTTTTTTTATATTTCTTTTGCATGTTGTTTGGTTGCTGCCCCGCCTGCACGTATTGTAGACATAAAAAAGCTGAATCCGACAAAATGGCAGCCGAAGAAACAGCACGCAAACTTGGGCAGATCGTAGCTGAGAAGGACGCCAAGCGGTAAGGTCATGGCATGCACTATTTCTGATGTGTAGCAGGAGTAATCTCCCTTGGGACTCAATGATGCCATGTTTGTTATTTTCCAATGTTAGATCCTATATGTGAATTTATGTGTTTTCTTTATATTTGTTTTTCATCCTTAGCTAATATTGGATGCCTGAAACTGAGTCACATGGGGATCATGAGTGAGGAAAGTCACGATCACGTGGGAATCCTGACTCATGAAAGTCTCCGTGCTTCCCAGGTTAGGAAAGTGACAATCACATAGAAATCGGGACTCATGAAAGTCTCCGTGCTTCCCAGGTTAGGAAAGTCACGATCACGTGAGAATCGTGACTCATGAAAGTCTCCGTGCTTCCCAGGTTAGGAAAGTCACGATCACGTGAGAATCCTGACTCATGAAAGTCTCCGTTCTTCCCAGGTTAAGAAAAGTCACGATCACGTGAGAATCCTGACTCATGAAAGTCTCAGTGCTTCCCAAGTGAGGAAAGTGACAATCATGTGGAAATCCTGACTCATGAAAGCCTCACTGCTTCCTAGGTGACGAAAGCCCAGTTTGGGACATAATATGTATTCATCTTTTCACTCCCAAGGACTGAAATTAACATAAGTACGCTAGTTTTGAGTTAATTTCTGGAAGGTCTAGTGACATTTTCTTGTAGACTACTAGTTTTCTAACATTTGTAGAAGGCAACTCTGTAGCACATCATTTTGTTGGACAAGTCGAACTGTATATTTTCTGGTAAATTCTAATCCTCACTAGGGCTATACTAATGGGGCTCAGACCTTTTTTACAGAATAATCTTAGTGCTAAAAGTAACCAATTTCTTACTTACAACTTGGGATGTCATACATCATATGACTAAGGTGGTTGTCCTGACTGGGGTCCTGTATGACTGTAAGGCATTGTATGGGGTTACGTTTCCATTGTTTACTAATCTGCACTCGGTACTGTGTCAATATGTGTATACCTGTTTTGTCTCTATGCGATTCATGTGTTTGATTGGCATTTTAGGAGGTTGAAACATCGCCTAATAGTATAATAAAGAAGTTGCCGTCTATACAGTATAATACCTTTCTTAATATGTGTACACCGTTCATTTACAAAGATCATTCTTAAATAAACATTAGATAGATAATGTCCCTTTAAAAAAGCAATTATAATCATCGTTTTGATGTCCAACCGATTATTACCTTTAAGTAGAGGTCGATTGTTTTGTGATACATAGTTTAATGACTTATCTCCAGGATAATTACTCTGTTTGGTTGTACTGCGTACATACTGTCTTTTTTATTGTTTGTAGATTTCTGTCTTTAAACACATTGTAAATCAAATTATCAATCTTCACGATAGTTTTTTTGTGTGTAGGTGTTAAGTAGAGTGATTTGTAAGGAGTTAGCATCGGCCTTGCTAGAAGATGTGGTACATCTTGTTTCCCCTGTCACTGAGCTGCTATAGATATAATCAGGTGGTATCTAACATGAAAACAGGGCAGGTGGGTGTCCCCAACGCCCCCCAGCATCTCTGCGACAACACTTCTACATCATCTACATGATCACTCAAATTGTGAAACGGGCAATTGTGATTGTTTCAGGACAATAATCATTACTGTCCGCCATTATACTGTATCCCTTCTGTACATCCTTGTTTGATCAATATTTCAAGAAAAGGATAATAGGTTTCTCCCAAAATGAATTTTCTCATGTATGATATTTATGACATGACTTACTGAAATTGTTATTGTTTCACGTAAAACATACGTTAGAGCCGGATTCCTTCAGGGGCATGTCTGCCTGAAATGATCAATTTATTTTGTAAGTATGACAGCACAGTTTACTAAGTGTTGGAAATTGTTTTCTTACAATTACCTGCTAGTCATGTTCACAGTTCCTCTGTCCGTCATAGTGGTGTAACAATTGTAACATTTCCCTAACAACTGAAACAACTCCCATCTGGCAGTAATAGGTTTCAATCAGAGGAAAGTTGTTTATCAATCATAAGATTCTTTGATGCTGACTTTGATTGCTTGAAGTAGACAAGAAACTTGGTGTATAATATTGTAATAAGCCCATGAAATAGAATGTTAACCATTGTTTTTGCATTGTCTTTTTGTATAAAATGACAATTTAATAAATGTCAAGTGTTATGGGTTTAATCATCCAAAAGCAGCATCTAGTCTTGTGTTTGCAGAGAGAAAAGCGTCACTGACTCTTCCATGTTTCTAGCGGATGGTCATTGTTTCAATAGTTTGCAGTGATTATCTGTGCTATTCACCAGCAGCATTCCTTTCCTCGCTTGATGATAGTCTACCGTAAAAGTGGAAAGTTTTGCCAGAATTGAAACCTGTTTGCTGACATTGTTCTTGTGGGGTGAACAAGCTAGCAGGTCTCTGTGATAACTATACATTTTCCCTTCTTTCACTGAATGTACTTGCACATCAATTCAAACTTTCACAAAGGAAGGAGAGACGTGTTTTGTGAACATCAAATGCATGTCCTTTTGTTAAGTGCTCCTGTAACCCTTATGGACATTGCGTAGGTGCTATCGATTTGACATTATATTGATTGGTTCATGTACAATAGGGTGAATAGTTTTCTTTTTGACAAGAGATGTGATAATTTCAAGGCTTGGAGGTACACTTGCTGTGTTATGGATAATTAGACAGCCTCTCTGTAGTTTTAGTGCCTTTACTTTAATAGAGAACCAAGAGTGTTAGCACAGCAACTTTATCTGGTTCATGATGACATGACTTATACACTACTCTTGTTCAATATTTAATTGTACTTTGGTCAGATGTTCTACAACATTCAAAAAGGGACAAGCTGTGAAAAAGTTAACAAATTTTGGTCATGTTCAAGATTAATTACTCATGTTAGTGACTGGTTTGAAATACTGGTTACAAAACACGTTGTTCTTTGAAAAAGAAGCAATAGAATATCCTTGTTTTGATAAACATTTAACTTCATCGCAACCTGTTGTGTATATTGTGCTATTCAGAGCAACCTAGTTATTTCTTAAAAATCCACATGACATATCCCATAGTAAATATATGGGGCTGTAGAAATAGCTACAAACAATAGCACAGCCACTTTATTTTACATTTACCGTAAATAGAATGATTTGAGTTATCTTATAGTGGTACTTAGAAAACAGTTTGTTTTAAATAACTAACCAACAGTTGGCCATATTCAGAATGACTATCTGTCTACCACAAATTGAGCTTGACTATTTACTATTACTGTCCACGGCTGCCAAATTTGTTAAAAGTGTCATTGCAAGAGGCCACTTGGAAGTATTGCAGAAAACTGCTGCTTGTTTAGATGAAGACAGCCAGGCCTGCGCAATATGTCACACTGATTTTTTTTTGTGACTGATAGGGTCATATATTGGGGCTGTGGGGTAGCCTAGTGGTTAAGGTGTTCGCTCATCACGCTGAAGACGGCCGGGTTCGATTCCCCACATGGGCAGAATGTGTGAAGCCCATTTCTGGTGTCCCCCCCCATGATATTGCTGGAATATTGCTAGAAGTTGCGTAAAAATAAACTCACTCACTCACTTTCAGCTCACTTACCTTTATTACTCAACACTTCTTGTTAACCTAGCCATACCTGCTGTTTCAGAAAACAAGTCCAATGTTGCTGGCACATTATGCCTGAATGCATGCATGATCACATGCTTTCCTGGAAGTTGTTTTGCGGACTCTTCCCTTTCCACAAATAAAAAATTCAAACCTCAATCAAAACACTACTTTATTGGGCAAAACAGACTTTAGTTGACCACGATTCATGTTTTCCTCAAACTTGACTTCCGGTGTATATTTAAATAAACTAGGTTCAAATATAGTCTGTCATACAGACCCCAATCAAATTTATCCAAGAAAGCCCATGCAAGTCTAGAAAATGTGGCAAGACTATATTTCCACAGCTTCTGAAAATGAAGAAAGTCTCAGGGCTCCTTTTCATTATGTTTTATTTTTTGTACTATGAGCTTTTTTTCTGTATGATATGTTCATTTCAGAGACTAGTTGTTAGTCTAGTTCAAATACTACATTGATACTTAAATGTCATTTCCAATATTACAACATTTCTTTCGCCTTTCAGTATTTATTGTCATGTTTGATAAGCTGTTGTGACCAAGGTCTTGTTAAGTTATGATATAATATGCTAAGAACAAGTATACAGTTGAAACACAAATCTTTTCCTATGCATTAATATGAAGGCAATCAGTAGATATATTCAGATTCCAGTTATTGCAGAACAAACCTGAACATAGATACGTTATAATATTGATTTATTAACGAAACGTGTGTGATGCAATATAAAATGATAATATAATATAATTCATGATAGAGAATTGCCTGCTGTCTGACCAACTGGAAAAAATGTCTGATCTAAAGGAATGAATCATGGTCCATGTATATTACATGGAAATAGACAAACGTTGACCTTCAGTACTTGGTGTAGTTTTATACAGAATAACTGAAGATTGAAGCAATTCTTAATAAAGCTCCCCGCTGTTATATGGCTGGAATATTGCCAAGAGTGGCATAAAACTCACTCACTCACTCACTCGCTTTCTCGCTTACTATGCTGGCATGTAATCACACCACGCCTCTGTCACTGACTGTAGTAAACAGGTTGCCGCTGTCACTGACTGTAGTAAACAGGTTGCCACTGTTACTGCCTGTAGTACACAGGTTGCCACTGTCATTGACTGTAGTAAACGGGGCGGTGGGGTAGCCTAATGGTTAAAGCGTTGGCTCGTCACGCCGAAGACCCGGGTTCGAATCCCCACATGGGTACATTGTGTGAAGCCCATTTCTGGTGTCCCCCGCCGTGATTTTGCTGGAATATTGCTAAAAGCGGCGTAAAAGCAAACTCAGTCAATCAGTCAGACTGTAGTAAACAGGTTGCCACTGTCATTGACTGTAGTAAACAGGTTGCTGCAGTTACTGAGTGTAGTAAACAGGTTGCCCCTGTCACTGACTGTAGTAAACAGGTTGCCGCTGTCACTGACTGTAGTAAACAGGTTGTCACTGTCACTGACTGGTAAACAAGTTAACCTTGTCACTGACTGTAGTAGACACGTTTCCACTGTCTCTGGCTGTAGTAAACAGGTTGCTACTGTCACTGGCTGTAGTAAACAGGTTGCTGCTGTCACTGACTGTTGTAAACAGGTTGCCGCTCTCACTGACTTTAGTAGACAGGTTGCCACTGTCACTGACTAGTAAACAGGTTGCTGCAGTTACTGGCTGTAGTAAACAGGTTGCTGCTGTTACTGGCTGTAGTAAACAGGTTGCCACTGTCACTGACTAGTAAACAGGTTGCTGCAGTTACTGGCTGTAGTAAACAGGTTGCCGCTGTCACTGACTGTAGTAAACAGGTTGCCGCTTTAGTGACTGTAGGAAACAGGTTGCCGCTGTCACTGACTGTAGTAAACAGGTTGCCGCTGTCACTGACTGAAGTAAACAGGTTCCCGCTTTTAGTGACTGTAGTAAACAGGTTGCCGCTGTCACTGACTGTAGTAAACAGGTTGCCGCTGTCACTGACTGTAGTAAACAGGTTGTCACTGTCACTAACTGTACTAAACAGGTGGCCGCTGTCACTGACTGTAGTAATCAGGTTGCCGCTGTCAGTGACTGTAGTAGACAGGTTGTCGCTCTCACTGACTGTAGTAGACAGGTTGCCACTGTCACTGACTGTAGTAATCAGGTTGCCGCTGTTACTGGCTGTAGTAAACAGGTTACCACTGTCACTGACTGTAGTAAACAGGTTGCTGCTGTCACTGACTGTATTAGACAGGTTGCCGCTGTTACTGGCTGTAGTAATCAGGTTGCCACTGTCACTGACTGTATTAGACAGGTTGCCGCTGTCACTGACTGTAGTAAACAGGTTGTCACTGTCACTGACTGTATTTGACAGGTTGTCGCTGTCACTGACTGTAGTAAACAGGTCACTCCTGTCACTGACTGTAGTAAACAGGTTGCCACTGTCACTGACTGTAGTAAACAGGTTGTCACTGTCACTGACTGGTAAACAAGTTAACCCTGTCACTGACTGTAGTAGACACGTTTCCACTGTCTCTGGCTGTATTAAACAGGTTGCTGCTGTCACTGACTGTAGTAATCAGGTTGCCGCTGCTACTGGCTGTTGTAAACAGGTGGCCGCTGTCACTGACTGTAGTAGACAGGTTGTCGCTCTCACTGACTGTAGTAGACAGGTTGCCACTGTCACTGACTGTAGTAATCAGGTTGCCGCTGTTACTAGCTGTAGTAAACAGGTTACCACTGTCACTGACTTTAGTAAACAGGTTGCCGCTGTCACTGACTGTATTTGATGGGTTGCCGCTGTTACTGGCTGTAGTAAACAGGTTGCCACTGTCACTGACTAGTAAACAGGTTAGCCCTGTCACTGACTGTATTAGACACATTGCCAGTGTCACTAGCTGTAGTAAACAGGTTACCACTGTCACTGACTGTAGTAAACAGGTTGCCACTCTCACTGACTGTAGTAGACAGGTTGCCACTGTCACTGACTAGTAATCAGGTTGCCGCTGTCACTGGCTGTAGTAAACAGGTTGCCACTCTCACTGACTGTAGTAGACAGGTTGCCACTGTCACTGACTAGTAAACAGGTTGCCGCTGTCACTGACTGTATTAGAAAGGTTGCCTCTGTTACTGAGTATAGTAAACAGGTTGCCGCTGTTACTGAGTGCTCTCAGTGACTGTAGTAGACAGGTTGCCACTGTCACTGAGTGTAGTAAACAGGTGACCGCTGTCACTGACTCTAGTAGACAGGTTGCCGCTGTCACTGACTGTAGTAAACAGGTTGCTGCTGTCACCGACTGTAGTGTCTTAAACAGGTTGCTGCTGTCACTGACTGTAGTAAACAGGTTGCTGCTGTCACTGACTGTAGTTGAGATGTATTGTGGTTGCAGCACGGCCCTGGAGACAGACTTGCGGATTGAGCGGGAGTGGCGCAGCACGTTGCAGCACAGTCTGGAGGAGGAGAAGACACATGGCAGCCAGCTGCTGATGGAGCTGCAGCACATGAAGGACATCAAGCAGGTATTAGACGCCCTCAATACCAGGTCTATTGTGGAGAGGCTGATGCTGCCCTTAATACCACATTCCTTGCAGGGAGGCTCATGCTGCCCTCAATACCAGACCCCATGTAGGGAGGCTGATACTGCCCTCAATACAAGACCCCATGTAGGGAGGCTGATGCTGCCCTCAATACCAGACCCATGTAGGGAGGCTGATGCTGCCCTCAATACCAGACCCCATGTAGGGAGGCTGATGCTGCCCTCAATACCAGACCCCTTGTAGGGAGGCTGATGCTGCCCTCAATACCAGACCCCTTGTAGGGAGGCTGATGCTGCCCTCAATACCAGACCCCATGTAGGGAGGCTGAAGCTGCCCTCAAAACCAGACCCCATGTAGGGAGGCTGATGCTGCCCTCATATTATCCCCCGCAACGCAGCTTTGATGGGTATTAAAATGGACTCTGTCCGTTAAATGGACTCTGTCCGTGCGTGCGTCCGTCCGTCCGTCCGTGCACATTTGTCTTTTCCGGAGCAGAACTCTAAAACCGTTCAATATTTTTTCCCCAAACTTGGCACATACATGGATCTGGTGGTGTACTGGTGCCTTTTGGTAGTTTTGGAATTCTGAATTAAATATTTTTGGCGTTTCCATGGCAAAAAGGTCGACTTTGACTGAAATTGGTGGTAGTGCTCTTTTCCGGAGCAGAACTCTAAAACCGTTCAATATTTCTTCACCAAACTTGGCACATAGATAGATCTGGTGGTATACTTGTGCCTTTTGGTTGTTTTGGAATTCTGAATAAAATATTTTTGGCGTTTCCATGGCAACAAGTTTCACTTAGCCTGAAATTGTGGTAGTGCTCTTTTCCAGAGCTGAACTCTAAAACCATTCAATATTTCTTCACCAAACTTGGCACATAGATAGATCTGGTGGTGTACTTGTGCCTTTTGGTAGTTTTGGAATTCTGAATAAAACATTTTTGGCATTTCCATGGCAACAAGTTTGACTTACACTGAAATTGGTGATAGTGCTTCTTTCTGGAGCAGAACTTTCAAAACCTTTCAATACTCTCCTTCCACTTTTCTACATACACACCTAAATATTTGACATAATCATTACCTCGTAGACATAATCATGAAGAGTATTTTGCCATTGCGGGGGATATTGATGACTTTGTCTTCTTGTATATATTGACTATGATGTTGACTATTGTTCCTTGTTCCAGGAGTATGACAGTCTGCGGCACAAACATGAGCAGCTCGGTCAGACATGTGAGGAACAGGAGAAGGCCTTGTCTGAGCTTGGATCTCATCTCAGCGAGTACGTAGTACCCAGAAATGCCTCCCAAACTGGTTCCATGTACTTATCTGAAAGACCAAATGGTATCCCATGTACTGAATAGATTGACCGAGCAGTAATACACCAAGCAATGGACAGAGTGAGCAAATACGCCACAGACTGGAAAGAGTGACCTAATTCCTCAAGCACTGGACAGAGTGGCCCAGTACCCAAACCACTGGACAGAGCGGCTTGAGTATCAACATCCTGACACGGGACAGAGTGACCAAAACAACCCATGCACAATCTATGTGCTATGGACTATGCACAATAACCGGTGCATTTGTGTAGTCCACATTGTCACCCCATTCACCATCAAGGAAATCACGCTTTGTGAGAAGCGTATGAGATTGTCTGTGGAAGCACCCAAGTGACACTATTTCCGTTCTCCAGTAGGTCACATATGGTTGTGTGTTGAAGGGTCTAGTGCACACCATTTCTGTCCTCCAGTAGGTCACCTATGGTTGTGTGTTAAAGGATCTAGTGCACAACATTTCTGTCCTCCAATAGGTCACCTATGGTTGTGTGTTGAAGGGTCTAGTGCACACCATTTCTGTCCTCCAATAGGTCACCTATGGTTGTGTGTTAAAGGATCTAGTGCACAACATTTCTGTCCTCCAATAGGTCACCTATGGTTGTGTGTTGAAGGATCTAGTGCACACCATTTCTGTCCTCCAGTAGGTCACCTATGGTTGTGTGTTAAAGGATCTAGTGCACAACATTTCTGTCCTCCAATAGGTCACCTATGGTTGTGTGTTGAAGGATCTAGTGCACAACATTTCTGTCCTCCAATAGGTCACCTATGGTTGTGTGTTGAAGGGTCTAGTGCACACCATTTCTGTCCTCCAGTAGGTCACCTATGGTTGTGTGTTTGAAAGGATCTAGTGCACACCATTTCTGTCCTCCAGTAGGTCACCTATGGTTGTGTGTTAAAGGATCTAGTGCACACCATTTCTGTCCTCCAGTAGGTCACCTATGGTTGTGTGTTAAAGGATCTAGTGCACAACATGAATTGTCTTGTCTTGACCATATTAATAGATATTGATGAGATCTGTGACAGAAGGCTGACGTACTGTATGGTGTTGCAGGTCCAAGTTGAAGGTGGAGGACATGCGGGAGGCAAACCTGGTGCTGAAGGAGGCTCAGTGGGTGGGAGACAATGCAGCCACTTCCTGTAAACAGTGCAGCAAGGACTTCTCAATATCCAGGAGAAAGGTGACTTCTTGATCTGTCTTGAGTCCGAGGGATCTTGTGCCATGTGTCAGGGTGAAGGTCACTTGTGTCAGGGAAGGGACGGGTCACGTCATTTGTCACGGAAGGGATAAGTCGTGTGTCATCTGTCATGGAAGGGATGGTTACATGTCATTTGTCAGGGAATTTATGAGTCATGTGTCATATATCAGGGAAGGGATAGGTCATGTGTCACTTGTCAGGGAAGGGATAGGTCACGTCTCATATCAGGAAAGGGAGAGGTCACGTGTCATTTGTTATGGAAGGGATAGCTCACATGTCATATCAGGGAAGGGATAGCTCACATGTCATATCAGGGAAGGGATAGGTCACATGTCATCTGTCATGGAAGGGATGGTCACATGTCATTTGTCAGGGAAGGGATAGGTCACGTGTCATCTGTCATGGAAAAGGTACGTAACGTCTCATTTGTCAGGGAAGGGATAGGTCACATGTCATTTGTCACGGAAGGGATAAGTCACGTGTCCTATCAGAGAAGGGATAGGTTACGTGTCATTTGTCAGGGAAGGGATAGGTCACGTCCCATTTGTCACGGAAGGGATGTCATGTGTCATTTGTCAGGGAAGTTATAGGTCATGTGTCATATTAGGGAAGGGATAGGTCATGTGTCATCGGTCATGAAAGGGATGGTCACATGTCATTTGTCAGAGAAGGGAAAGGTCATGTGTCACTTGTCAAGGAAGGGATGGTCACATGTCATTTGTCAGGGAAGGGATAGGTCACGTGTCACTTGTCATGGAAAGGATACGTCATGTCTCATTTGTCAGGGTAGGGATAGGTCAAATGTCATTTGTCACGGAAGGGATAGGTCACGTGTCATTTGTCAGGAAAGGGATAGGTCATGTGTCATTTGTCAGGAAAGGGATATGTCACGTCTCATTTGTCACGGAAGGGATAGGTCATATATCATTTGTCAGGGAAGTTATAGGTCATGTGTCATATATCAGGGAAGGGATAGGTCACGTGTCATATCAGGGAAGGGATAGGTCACGTGTCATCTGTCATGGAAGGGATAGGTCACATGCCATGTCAGGGAAGGGATAGGTCATGTGTCATCTGTCATGGAAGGGATTGTCATTTGTCAGGGAAGGGAAAGGTCACTTGTCAAGGAAGGGACAGGTCACCAGTTATTTATCAGGGAAGGGATAGGTCACTTGTCATGGAAAGGATACGTCACGTCTCATTTGTCAGGGAAGGGATAGGTCAAATGTCATTTGTCACGGAAGGGATAGGTCACGTGTCATTTATCAGGGAAGGGATAGGTCACGTGTCATTTGTCAGCGAAGGGATATGTCACGTCTCATTTGTCACGGAAGGGATAGGTCATATATCATTTGTCAGGGAAGTTATAGGTCATGTGTCATATATCAGGGAAGGGATAGGTCACGTGTCATTTGTCAGGGAAGGGAAAGGTCACGTGTCATATCAGGGAAGGGATAGGTAATTTGTCAGAGAAGGGATAGGTCACATATCATATCAGGGAAGGGATAGGTCACCTGTCATTGTCAGGGAAGGGATAGGTCACGAGTCATTTGTCAGGGAAGGGATAGGTCATTTGTCGTCATGCGTCAGTGAGCTAGAGGTGTTTGTCTTTAGAACTTTGCATGACTGCAGTGATGTAGCATTACATTTGCCATGTACAGGAAAGATCTTTTCAATTGTTCACAAAAATGTATTGAGATTTTAATAAGACAGGCCTGATTTTGTATATGAACCTTTTAGACTTATTTCAACAGCACCTGTAATGTGAATATCCTCTGTTTTCAGCACCACTGTCGAAACTGTGGAGATATTTTTTGTAATGAATGTTCCGACAATAAAATGCCTCTTCCATCATCGTCAAAGCCTGTGAGAGTCTGTGACAGCTGCCAGGCACTCCTCCTGCAGAGGTACTCTGCCACATAGCCCAGTCTATCTCAATGTCTTCACACCAGCACACAGACGGGAAACACAATGGAACAGGGGGAAGCTCTGTCACATAGCCCGGTCTATCTCAATGTCTTCACATCAGCACACAGACGGGAAACACAATGGAACAGGGGGAAGCTCTGACGCTTTGCCCAGTGTCATACATATGTCTTCACTTCATCGTGCTTGGTTATGGACGTTGACTATGCGAGGTCAAGGACCGTGGAGAGAGTGTTTCTGGGCACATTGAGATTACAGACTATTGGTGCAATATGGACCCCCTTCTTCCTCTTGTGACAACAACTGTGATACGTATAACTGTGGAACAAATTAGGAGCTTGACCACAGACAGGTTGCACTTGCATCAAGAAATATGTATATCAAGATGTTTAAGTGAAGGAATCATTTGTTTAACATGTAGTGACATTTAGTTTCGCATATGGTCTCACAGTTGAGAAAAACAAAGAAACAAAAGCCACTTTCAGAATAATTTTTTCTATTATTCAATGTGATATTTTTGTATTTCTTTCACAAGATATCTACAAAATGTAATGAGTATAGAAATACTGTTGTAGATTGGAGTCAATGCAGAGAGTCACTGCTGGACTGAACATTGACATGATAAGGGAAAAGGTTCTGTGTCAGAACAAGAAAGTTGAATGTTTATGTGAAGGCATTTTGCTTTGATAATCCAAACTTAAGTGCTTTTCAATTTTGATAAAACTGTACAGAACTGAATATGGGCCTCCAACTTCCTGCTTCAGTCAGTATGCTGTCACTGTTTCACTAGCCATTGCCATACTCCACAATCCATATCCTAGTCTAACCAGGTTACCTTGGGTATGTTTCATATGGCTGAGTAGCTTGTAGAAACACAGGCAAAGTAGCTCATGTAACTATTGTGTGTTTCCTATGCTTGCCAAACATTGTTGGGTTTAAAGCACTGGTTCAGCAGGTGCTTGTGGTCGGGTTGGTGATGGATTGTCATTCACAAACCCAAGACTGCGTGGACACACACACGTGGTCATCAGATGATCATCGTCTCTTGGAGGTCTGTCTCCATTACATCCAAGCAGTTTGTCCATACTGTTTATGGTCAACAAATGTTTATGAAAGATAAGCTATGATCAGTCAAATGACAATCCAGTATTTATATCGTTTAAGGATAATGTTGTCTTCATAGTGCAGAAGAGTAAATGGTTAATCCTGCTAAAACATGGATGTCTGCTTTGTTCATTGTAATACATTTGATTTACTGTCAGTGATTGGTTTGTTTTCTTACATTGACATATCCAGTGAATCACATAAGTTAATGATATATATTATATAGTGTATTTTTCAAAGCTACCTAAATAGTGTAGGTAGGCAAGTATAAATAGCATGTAATTAGTGGCTGATGACACATTCATATATTGACATACAGAATGATGTAACGTATCCTTGGCTCGACAGATTCATATACTGACATACAGAATGATGTAACGTATCCTTGGCTCGACAGATTCATATACTGACATACAGAATAATGTAACGTATCCTTGGCCCGACAGATTCATATACTGACATACAGAATGATGTAACGTATCCTTGGCGCGACACATTCATATATTGACATACAGAATGATGTAACGTATCCTTGGCTCGACAGATTCATATACTGACATACAGAATGATGTAACGTATCCTTGGCTCGACAGATTCATATACTGACATACAGAATAATGTAATGTATCCTTGGCTCGACAGATTCATATACTGACAGACAGAATGATGTAATGTATCCTTGGCCCGACAGATTCATATACTGACATACAGAATAATGTAACGTATCCTTGGCTCGACAGATTCATATACTGACAGACAGAATGATGTAACGTATCCTTGGCCCGACAGATTCATATACTGACATACAGAATAATGTAATGTATCCTTGGCTCGACAGATTCATATAATGACAGACAGAATGATGTAACGTATCCTTGGCCCGACAGATTCATATACTGACATACAGAATAATGTAACGTATCCTTGGCTCGACAGATTCATATACTGACATACAGAATAATGTAATGTATCCTTGGCTCGACAGATTCATATAATGACAGACAGAATGATGTAACGTATCCTTGGCCCGACAGATTCATATACTGACAGACAGAATGATGTAACGTATCCTTGGCCCGACAGATTCATATACTGACATACAGAATAATGTAACGTATCCTTGGCTCGACAGATTCATATATTGACATACAGAATGATGTAATATATCCTTGGCCCGACAGATTCATATACTGACATACAGAATGATGTAATGTATCCTTGGCTCGACAGATTCATATACTGACATACAGAATGATGTAACGTATCCTTGGCTCGACAGATTCATATACTGACATACAGAATGATGTAATGTATCCTTGGCCCGACAGATTCATATACTGACATACAGAATGATGTAATGTATCCTTGGCCCGACAGATTCATATACTGACATACAGAATGATGTAACATATCCTTGGCCCGACAGATTCATATACTGACAGACAGAATGATAAAAGTGTTCCCTCTCCAGTCATCTACTGTGGCACTTCCCACTCTGGTTGTAGCCAAAACACCTGTAAATCCCATACTTTAACACATACTTACGACAGTTGTAGTCCCTATGATTGCTGAGTGGACTGAGGTCCCTGTTCCATTAAACAGACCTCGACACTCACTACTCCACCAATAACTACACCATGTGATGGCCTGACATCATTACGGGTGCATCTGTACTACTGCTGCCAAGTTGCCAAGGGGTTTTTTTCGGGTACATTGTTTCATGGACAGTCACTGTGTATGGTTTAACTGTTTATTAAAGTACCCATCTGTAGAAAGACTCTGGTTAGATTCCCCTAATGAATACAATGTGTGAAACCCATTTCAGAGGTCACCAATGGGAGACTAACAGAATATTGCAAAAGCACTGCTTGTAGTGTGAGATCACTTCTCCATTTTGCCATTATCGACAGTGTAGCCAAAGGTTGTTTTGTTGTTGGGTAAACTGCTTTGTAGATGTAGTCTGAAGCTTGATTATAATTCTCATCAGAATATAAGTTGATTGAAAGGGAATGCTAGAACTTGAATTAGTTTTAGAATGTCAAACAGAACCACCTTTTGTGCTCATCGAAATAGAGCATGGGGGTTACGAGGTCCTTGTCATAACCTTTCTGTTAGAATTAATCATTAAGGGGTTTTCAGATACAAACAATACAGGGACAGTTCTCCAGAACTCTCTTCATAGGATCAGAAATTCAGTGACACCCACTCGTGTTACATGTCTGATATGGCAAATTTGAGTTAATGGATATAAGTTGCCAACAGTTATGAGAAGAGTCCATGACTTTGCACAGGTAAGTGCACTGGAAGCATTAGATGATTCTGATGCTATTGTCATGCAGGTGCAGGGTGTGTGGTGTCCTAAACCTCAGGCTGACAGGTTTTGTGTCAGTATGAACACAACATTAGCCTCATTTCAAGTCAATTCTCTGTCAGTTTCTTAAGCTCATAAGGCTGTTAAACACATCTGATAAGGTAGGTTTGGTAGTGGTACTGTCCACTGTCAGGGCAAGGTGTATAGGATGTACATATGTAACACCATCTTCAAAATATTTGCTTTCATTGTGATTGACATGTATTAGGATGAGAAAAGTCAAAATGAAGTAATATAAGAACAGATGGGACATTTATTGATTGTCATCCTATCTTCATTAGATCAACCTGGGATGAGTGATGTGGATACTGCTATACGTTTAAAGTGTATATGCATCAGTGTGCTCATCCAGGTCAGGTTTGGTCAGTACAAGTTGACCTTGGTCAAGGACTTATTGGCTTGATTTGTGCAGTTCTTCTCTCTAAGCACAGCCAAGAACAAAACTGATCATACTCATGTGAACTGGTGTGTGTATACAGCTAGGCTGTGTGGCTATGTGTATATATGTATTTATGTATTCTGTATTTATGTAAATATTCAACAAATGTGTATGTGTATGTATCTGGACAAATATAGATTTATAAAATCTAACCAATAAAGGCATTTGAAGAACTCCTATTTCTCATTTTTGGACCATGACCAGAAGTCCTTTCAGATTTCCACTGTTGTGTGAATGGGTTTTGTAGCAATCAAAGACTGAGTTACCCAGAACCCCCATTACATCACTCAAAGACATAGTGGCTGTGATGGAATCTGTGCTCTGGTAAATGCATCAATGTGTCAAGGGACATTGCTGTAAAACCAGTCTTGCCTACCTTTGGGCTTGATGCTGTTACCTTTGTAGAGAATATGCCCTAAGGTGGTATGAAGTTCACTGGTGGAACGATTCGAGCTTGGAATAGGGCCCAAGCAACCTTTGCTGCTTGAAAGAGGCAACAGCACTTGTCAGGTGACTCTGCAATTTGGTTACTGTATGTTGTTATGCACAGAGATACTGGATGAAGGTATCTAACCCAAACTATATAGTCCTCGAATTCCTATAGGCATGAGCATTTCTTAATTACCACCTGAATTTAAGGGCAGTTTTAATAATTTTGGTCATTCCTTAGCCTACTTCGCCAACTGGAATGCACATGTAATATCTCACACAATACCTCAAACGCAATGGGTCACATTTTCACGTGCTGTGACGCATTGGGTGAGCAGTTTTATGCAGTGTTGCAGTGACTGTGTCACAACTGATGCACATGATTGAAAGATTAACTATCCTTGATGTGACAAGACCTAGTCTTTCAGGAAGTACACAAAGGCAAGTTGTTGAAGTGCATGACATGCGCAGTATCGGTGCATGAACATTAACCACACAGTTAGTGGACTTACGAGGAAACACGTGGATGCCTGTGCAGTAAAGGATCGTATGTCCGTGATGACCGAGGCATAATTCGTCTGGCAAAATGCAAACCCATACCGAAGAACTGCTCGGGAATGGTGAGCGGAATTCTGACTTCTTCACCAGCACCATCAGAAGGAGGCTGCTGGCCTAAGGGTAAGATAAGACGTCCTTCCCTCACTGACAGACAAGCGCAGGCATTCTGACCAGGTGCAGGCTCCGAGAAAACCGCAACTTAAGGACATGGAGTTGTTTTTTTAGGTCTAATGAAAGTCGACATCTTCACGTTATCGACGGCCGTTGTCGGGTATGTAAACGTCGCAACGAGGCATACCACAAGGAGATTATCAAAGCTGCGGAATCCCTTGGTGGTGGCTCGATCAGTGATGGTGTGAGGTTGCGTTTGGTATGACAGCAAGTTAGATCTCATTACACTGCCTGTTACAACAGTGGTCAACGTTATCCACTGGGTGCCGCCGTCGTGCCCTTGCCAGTCCTCCGATATTCATGGCTAGACCGCTACAGTAGTCATCGCCCATTTGCAGAACTATGTCACCATACCATTACCATGGTCCGAGACCCGATATGAACCCCTTCGGAAATCGGGGGGAATATTTCGGAAGCTATATTCGAGGTAGATCCTCCCGTTCAAAGCTGAACTGACGCTGGCACTTCACGAGTAATGGCAGAGGATTCCGATGCTGAGAATTCGACGCATGATTGTCAGTATGAGGATTAGACTGGCAGTGTTATATGTGTGCCAGAGGTATTGACGCCAGATACTGATGTGGTCGCCTGTGGTGGCACATATAATCTCAGTAATCTTGAGAACTGCGTGACAAACAGACTGGTCATGGTGGCCATATTTTGTTGACATTCACGTTGTTGTGTAGTCCTCAAATTCCTCACGAGTGAATTGTTATCAAATTTCAATTTCAGTTTTGGTTTTGTATTAATCAGAATAAAATATGTAGCAGTTAATACGCGGATTTGGTATTTAACGCACATAAAGAACATGTAGCGTTCTCGTGACTACATACAACTGAAACCAACCATTGGTTATACCTACTTGGGTTGTCAGTCAAGACGTGATGAGGTAACTTTACGATGTCATATTGGCCACAGTCGGTTTACTTATGACTATCTGCTGAAAATGGAGATGGACCTCCTATGAGTATATCTTGCGATGAAGTGTTCACCATCAAGCATATTCTGCTTGACTTTGCGGACTTTTTAAATGCAAAGGATTATCATTATGAAGCGACAAATCTGAAAGATCTGTATTCCCGCGGGGGTGGGCATCTCATTGCTAACAACCTGAATCAATCTGTATCAGAAAGTGTAACTATGTAATGTGAATGACGAATTGCTTGTTTTTTAATTTGGGGCTTTGACATTTTCTGTTTAAATATAATAACGTAATGAATATATATGTTTTTTATCAAAAAATCATTTGATCTTTGTACTTAAAATGTTTATGAATACAGACATGATCTCGTCACTAATAGCTGGAATAATGCCGATGTGACGTAAAGCCCAACTCAGCTCAACATTAAATGGTTGTTACTTGATTAAAGTTCATATGTACATATTAAACCTAAACCCTACACACTGGATGGAGTTATCCTGGTCAAACTACCGCCTTGGTATTCCTATGTTGAACGGAAGCCCTCGATGCTCGATGAAGTTGTCCCAGTTGAACTACAAGCACGTCACCTGTCCATACTTACAAAGTGGAACTTAAATTGAGTTATATAAGTGAACATCACATGCACTCCCATCACAAGGGACCGCCTCCGTGGTGTAGTGGTTAGAGCGTCCGCCCGGGGAGCGGAAGGTCGCGGGTTCGATCCACGACCGCGTCATACCGAAAGACGTTAAAATATGGTACTTGTTGGTCCCTGTCTGGCGCTCAGCATTAATGGGTACAACAAGGACTGGTCGGCTCGGAGTCAGTATAATGTGTCTGAGTGGGGTATTCATGCTTCACTGCGGCATGGTATCTCAGTGGGCTAGCACTATAAAACCAGCTTCAGTCTGGGCTAGTACAAGCAGCCGCACATGCACATACACACGCATGCACGTCGTCATAGGAGCGAAATATTCTCAAGCACGACGTTAAACCCAATTTCACCTCACCTCACCTCACCCATCACAAGGCGTCTGAGGTGTCTCGGTGTGCATGGACGTGCTAGAATCCACATCATGGATTCGAGTTCCGTATCCTCCCGCATTAAGCCGACTTGCCCTGCTACAACGCTTACACCAAGCTCGCCCATTTGCAAGTTGTTGGTCGGAAAGGCGTGTCATGAGTCCAGTAACTGAATACCCAATGTCCATTACGCTAATGGTCCATTAGGATAACATGTCCACACAATCTAAATACTATGAAAATTAAACACTCCTTGAATCCCGAATGCTTTGTGGCTCGTCCATTTTCTCATCTTGAATCCCGAATACTATGTGAATCCTGAATACCCTGTAATTATCAGTGGCTTGTCCATTTTCCCTCCCTGAATCCCGAATACTATGTGAATCCTGAATATCCTTTAATTATCAGTGGCTTCTCCATTTTCCCTCCCTGAATCCCAGAATACAATGTGAATCGATGTGATTAAAATTGATAAAAATATGAAAAGAGAGATTGCTAGGATATCGTAACAAAATTAATAAAACCATATTCATTCACTTTTAAACATTATGTCTGCCTACCAGATGCTTTTTCATATTTCCATCACACATATCTATACGACAGTGCTGAGTAATGACTGTCCTCTATTAAAACAGCTCCCTGATACCGTATAAATGTCGAACAAGCATCGTTCGTTAGTAAGTGTTTACAATATATTTCTCTTTATTCGTGTATTTATATACTTGAATTTTGAAACAACATTTGCACAAACCTGCTTGTTTGAATACCTTTTAACCCTCAAAACCGTTACCGTAGGCCCACGTAACACCAAAACACTAGTGTACGCGAGAACGTATCAATGTAAATTACCTCCCTTTGATCGAAGCCCCTCAGTGATATCCCACCTGATCACTGCAGGCTCGGCCAGAGTGCGGATTGTCATTTCTTCATACACATTGATAACAAATTTGAAGGAGTGGCATTGGAAGCGTCATTATTTCCATTACGTAATGTTTACCGATAAAATCGCCGCCCACCTACACGAGCAATAGTTCTAAAAATAGAAATGACATGCTCCGGCGTCGCCAGTCGATGTGAGACAGACGACTGTCGAGAACAACACCCTCTCCGGAGTGGGTGCTCTTTAATGTGGTAAGTTTAGAATTGATCCTTATGACCGCGCGTAACGAGTGGACATATGGGGCGCATATTAGTGTCGGGGCCAGAGAGCATACCGCCTTCTGGTCAATGATACATGCCGGTATGAATCCTGGAGAGGTTCGCGTACTCTGTGGGACAGGAGACATTCGGCCAAATGTAGGTCATGCTCTTTGACCCTGAGCATGCGCAGTCGATATAGTTATAACAACACAACTGGGAAGTACGATTTTCGTGGAAATTGGAAGTATTTGAGAAGTTGGCGGTACACTCGCACGCATGTCAGTTTGGTGGTATTTTTACCGAGTTGCGGTCGTTTGAGAAGGTAAACATCTTTCTATGAACGATTTGAGTTTTAAATTTGCTGTAGAGTTGAAATTTTCGCGGGAGATATCAACAGATATGTAGCTCTTCGTAAAGTTGGAGGTCATGTCAAGATAAGACTACTGAAGCTGTAGCTACTGAATTCAAAATGGTAATTATGCCCCACGGACGTCTTAGTTAATGATCAATTACACGTGTAGGAATGGCGAAACGTCTGCAATATTGCCGATGCAATGTTTAGTTGTAACTCACTGCAATCGTAGCGGTGCAGGTAATATCAATCATTGGCTTGTCTGGCTCAGTCGCGATTATAGTTCAGGTTGACAGGCTGCCGTATAGTCATGTGACTTGAAGATCTGAACGTATTTATGGGTTTTTTGTTTTATATTTTCTATATATTTTTTAATACGTTGCTTAGAATTTGTCGTTTTACTCCACATTTTGGTGAAATATCCCAGCTATATGACAGAAACCTGGAATTATGCACGTTGATAAAGATGCCGGTCATATTCGACTCGCAATGCAAGAGCCTGGTCAAAGCCGAAATGTCCCGTTGTCACTGGAGTTTACTATCCCTGAAGCATTCCTTCTATAGCCCACTCCGTGGTAGGTAGATACAGTGTCTGCTTGGGGAGCGGCAGGTCACTGGTTCGATCCCCGGATGGGTCACACCAAAAGACCTTTAATAAGGGGCGTAGCTACCATTATAAAAACAGCCCGGGCTTACACATGATTGTTGCTAAAAAGGTTGGGCAAGCCCTCAATACTATCTAAATATAAAACTGTTAATGACTGTACTCGTAGTTGCCCAGTATGTCGCTCGGCATGTCAACTTGGAGTTGGTAGTCTGAGATGGAGTTCCGTGAACTGTGACGGTGGAAGAGCTCAAAAGTTGCTGCTTGAAATGTTGCAAACAATTTAATAATTAATATATGTTTTTATCAAAACTTTAAAACTGAAATTAAGATAGATATTTGTTAAGGTAAAGTGAAGACAAATTTTCATTTTCACTTGAACACCACTTATGATTATGCTTTTGTGGTGATGTATATTATGACAGGCGGTCAAGTGTGTTGAAGAAACACGGCTGTCCAAACAAATACGTAACTCGTCTAAGTAACTATGACGGCCTTTACCAAGTTCTATTCTACTGCGGCTATGTAACTCGTCGACGTCTGGTCTGCTCCAGATTCAATTATGGTTTTTTACTTAATTTATGTTTTGTTGTCTTGTACCCGGAATATTGCTGGGCGCGGCGTAAAACAACAAACCATATCACACCATGTTAAGGTTTTGATTTTTTCACTTTGCAGATGCATGGTGTGGAGCGCGGACTGACAAGGTCACAGAGGTGACTGTGGAGCAGCTGTCCTGCAGTGTCCCTCCCTGGATATACCATAAACCTCATTGATTGATAGGGTGGAGATGGACCCTCGGGTCCTGAGGATTCATTCATTTCTTAAATACAAACTCCACTGAAGTAAAGACTTAAGGAACTGCACGCTTGAGATGTGTTCTGTTAGGGTGAGCTGGCCGTGACGGGATAGATAGGTCGGAAGGGTCACCATGTTAACGTCATGGACCAGCATGGCGACGATGTTGATGGAGGTTGTGGAGAGGGGGGACGTTGAGCTGGTAAAGATCCTACTCAAGGCTGGATGTGATGTGTCATGTTCAGTGGATGACTACGGTAATAAGGCTCTGCATATAGCGGCGAATGCTGGAAACGTGGAGCTGATCAACCTTCTGCTTGACAGTGGATGCGACGTGTCTGCTCGGAACATACACGGTGATACCGCCCTGTTGATAGCAGTCAAGGCAGGGCATCTCCAAGCGTTTCAAAGGTTACTGGAAGCAGGGAGTGAGTTCGATCCACATGAAGAGCGGAATATTTGGGGCTTGACACCACTGATGTATGCAGTCAGGAACGACCACATTGACATAGTCAACTTTCTCCTGGCTCGTATCGACTGTGTAAACCACGCCAACAGGGGCGGCCAGACGGCGTTGTTAGAAGCGTGTAACGGAGGCTTCATGGATTGTACGGATGCTCTGTTACGAGCAGGTGCGTCCCCCGAGATGGCCGACGTTCACGGCCAGAGCCCTTTGATGGTGGCCGTGAGGAAATGGCATCAAGGCTGCGTGAAAGTTTTGTTACAACATGGCGCCAACCCGTGCAAGGAATCAGTGACCCTTCATAGCCGCCGATGGGTGAGCATGACACCCATGTACGCGGCCCTGTATTCTGGACGCATTGACATGGTGCGTATGTTGTGGGCAACCAGGCCGTGTTCAGAAGCAGACCTGTTCCGGTTCAGCCTCGTCCCTGACCTCCGACAACGAGTTGAAGAACAGAACCCGGATGTGTGGGCTTGGCTGGTGACGAACTGCCAGACCCCACACTCACTAGGCAGCCTGTGCCACAGAGCTGTGTCTCAACTTGTCGGGTACACCTCGGGTAGGAACTGTAGGCTACAGTCACTGGATGTACCCGCAGAGCTGAAGAAGAAGTTACTCTTGCTAGATTTGTGATACGTTTTGGAACATTGTATATTTTTTATTATTCAAGATAAACATAATTGTACGGTATTTCAGTGTTGTTGATCGTCATTGTAGCACGCACGACGACGTCAGCCTACGAAGACGTGACAAGATAAATCCGTATATGTACATGATATTGTGCCAGTGCTAATGTTCTATAACAATCTCCAGCAAATGAATCCGCTATCAGCCAAAGTCCAGGGTTGACCAGTGTGGTACAAGGCGCGGTATCCATGCAGTCCATGGCTGGCCAAGGTGTGCAGTCTATCAGATTCTGATTGTATGTAAACGCGAATCATCTAGTCTTTGGCGTACAGGAAGTAACGATCACATGAGCGTAGGATCCTTGTCAGAAGTTTCCATCCAAGGAAACTGCGACGACATGCTTTGAACATATATCAGATTTTCGTGTTTACGACGTCCTTCTCGTCGTAACAGATGGTGTAACCGTCGTTATCCACGCCTTTCAGCTGGTCGGGGCCCGTGTCCTCCTCCTCAGAGGGGGCAGGCAGATACTTGTACCAGCGCGCTACCAGCACAAAGCCGAAGAAGTTGAGGAGCATCAGGCCGCCCAACAGGAAAAATAAATACTCCGCCTTTCCGTTGTTGATGTCGTCAGGGAACCAGGGATCTGAAGGGGAAGGGTTAATGTTCTGTAGCATACACACATGCGTACGTAGGTGCGTCCCAAGATGACAGGCAGTGTTAATGTTGTTTTGCATACGCAAATGTACGTACACGTTAAAATGAACGTGCGCGTTAATATTATATAATGTACACACACGTACGTACAAGTTAAAATGAACGGGAGAAAGAGAGCGTTAATGGTCAGTAACATACACACGTACGTACCATGGTGAAAGTGTGCGTTAGTGGTAAGTAACATACACACGTACGTACCATGGTGAAAGGGTGCCTTAATGGTCGGTAACATACACACGTACGTACCATGGTGAAAGTGTGCGTTAGTGGTAAGTAACATACACACGTACGTACTAAGGTGAAAGGGTGCGTTAATGGTCGGTAACATACACACGTACGTACCATGGTGAAAGTGTGCGTTAATGGTAAGTAACACGTACGTACTAAGGTGAAAGGGTGCCTTAATGGTCAGTAACATACACACGTACGTACCATGGTGAAAGAGTGCGTTAATGGTTATTAACATACACACGTACGTACCAAGGTGAAAGGGAGCGTTAACGGTCAGTAACATGCACACATACATGTACGTACGTACCAAGGTGAAAGGGAGCGTTAATGGGCAGTAACATACATGGATGTAATACAACGATACATAGTGCATACTTATAGACTGACATACACACCCGTAGTTCAGGGTTTACAGACAAAGGTAGTTCCGTTGTCTACAAGGACACCATCAATCGCTAACAGGATGAGTACAAGTTGCTTGGTTACGGAATTGATAAATTCGATGATTCATGATTTGCACTATCAACAACTTGTCAAGCTGGAGTTATTTGGGTTATTTGCACGCCATTGAAACTTACCAGCTTTTGTGGCAGCTTCGACAATTTTGAGAATGGCTGACGATACGAAGCTGCCTAATCCGGAAGTCATGAGGAACAGCCCTGTAAGGAGCCCCTGCATGGACGGGGGCGCTTGTGTGAAGGCGAATTCCAGACCTGCAGAAATATACACGGATCTTGTCTAGTCTGCAAAGTTTAATGAGCTAATGACATTGTCATTATTCTGCCGAAAATATGTATGGTATAACAACCTACAGGGTAAATTCATATAATCGTTCTATCCACGACTACCGGGTACCCTGATATAGCCGTTCCATCCACGACTACCGGGTACCCTGATATAGCCGTTCTATCTACGACTACCGGGTACCCTGATATAGCCGTTCTATCCACGAGTACCCTGATATAGCCGTTCTATCTACGACTACCGGGTACCCTGATATAGCCGTTCTATTCACGGGTACCCTGATATATCCGTTCTATCCACGAGTACCGGGTACCCTGATATAGCCGTTCTATCTACGACTACCGGGTACCCTGATATAGCCGTATGTAGCTGTACTATTCCCGACTACAGGATACAGCGATATAGCTCTAATATTCCCGACTACAGGATACAGCGATATAGCTCTAATATTCCCGAGTACAGGATACAGCGATATAGCTCTAATATTCCCGACTACAGGATACAGCGATATAGCTCTAATATTCCCGACTACAGGATATAGCTCTAATATTCCCGACTACAGGATACAGCGATATAGCTCTAATATTCCCGACTACAGGATACAGCTCTAATATTCCCGACTACAGGATATAGCTCTAATATTCCCGACTACAGGATACAGCGATATAGCTCTAATATTCCCGACTACAGGATATAGCTCTAATATTCCCGACTACAGGATACAGCAATATAGCTCTAATATTCCCGACTACAGGATACAGCTCTAATTTTCCCGACTACAGGATACAGCGATATAGCTCTAATATTCCCGACTACAGGATACAGCGATATAGCTCTAATATTCCCGACTACAGGATACAGCGATATAGCTCTAATATTCCCGACTATAGGATACAGCGATATAGCTCTAATATTCCCGACTACAGGATACAGCGATATAGCTCTAATATTCCCGACTACAGGATATAGCTCTAATATTCCCGACTACAGGATACACCGATATAGCTGACTACACGGCACTTTGATGTAGTAACGTTAATTCTGACGTCAAGAGGCCATGTTGTACAGAAGTGTTATGCCCACATGGCTCGGTGTCAAGGTCAGTGTAGCTAGCTGTGCAAACTTGTTTTTAATTGACATGTTCTCTCACCTGTGATGCTGGCAAATACTTCGCTTGCTCCCACAAAGGCATACTCTGGGATCTGTACGAACACCGACATTGAGGATGCGTTGAACCTCTCATGCCCCAGCACCTGGACGACGGCGCCGTTGGCAGCGATGTCCTTCTTCCTGTAGATCTCCACTATCCCCGCCACTACCACGGATCCCCCAGCAAGCAAGAGACCGACACCTGCACAAGGGGGGAAATACTATGTAACTCTACCCATTTCACGTTCAGACTGCCTAGATGGTGGTAGCATCGTCAGTAGTTTCCTGAAGCACCCTTGGCTCCAGCATCTCCCAATCTCCCATATAGCCGCAGATATATTGAAGTAATGGTGTTCTAGTTCACCCCAGGCGTTAATCAGTGGTACAGGTATTGGTATTTAAGAAGGCCTCACCCATTCGCTGGAGATGTGTGAGAGGACGACCCATCCTTTCGAAGCAAGGATATAAGACACGGTCCACAAGGGGGATTAGCAGCAGGATGATGATGGTGTTGAAGATGTTCAGCATGGCGGCGGGGATCTTGATGTCCCCCACCTTGACGTTCATCCTCTCAGCTTGCAAGAAGAACGTTGACTGCATCTTTATAACAAAACATACTCACGGTATCTTATGAAATTACGACACATAGCTTGGTAAAAATTGTATTCAAAGACTGGTAACTTTTGATGATCTAATCATGACGCTATTTTTAATACTGGGTTTGACATTCTCTTTTACACCCAACTATAATTGGCTTAGTTTCCGGCAATACGCTTGCTTTGTGCTTGAATGTAATGGACGGTCTTCCCAACGCTTAAATATATTGACGTTCAAAATACAGTGAGCACCTGGTGTTTTGAGAATACTTTTTAGAAAATGTTTTGTTTCTGACTTACGAGTCACAGACATGTCTGTGGCGTTTTGGCAACATCTACACAATGTTTGAATGTTTGCGACTTGTAAGTCACAATCAGAACACTTTTCAAACTATTTACGATGTCTTTCTTTCAAAATGATCCAAAGCCAGCAAATGTTTACTTTCTTGTGTACATCAGTTTATGTTGTTGTTTGACTCATTCCCCTGGGCTCGACCTTGCCTATATTGAAGGGTAGTGTAAGGTGTAGCGCACATCGTATTCTAAGGTCAAGGTTACCTCTGATTCTAGGGTTATGTCATTTCGTGTTTGGTGGATAAAGCAAGTTATATTCTACAGTTTATATTAGGTCTATTCTGGGTCTAATATGAGGGTTTTTTCAAGGTCAGGTCCTATTTTAGCGTTCACGCCAGGGTCATGTGTTATTCTTTGGTTAATATCTATTCTTAGGCTAATGGCAGGTAGTATTGTATAAAGTGTGGGTACCTGGGAGTAGATGGCCCAGTAGAAGATCATGAGTAGATACACAGGCATGACTCTCAACACACTGACAGCGCCATCTACAGTCGCGTCATTAATCGTCCCGCCGTTCCTCTTCCTCACCCGCTCAAAGTCGCCACAGCCTTTACGCCACACATTGAACACCGTGGCCAGCACGCTCTCTGAAACAACTCTCACTTGTTACTGCACGACTAACCCGGAAGTCACCTCATTATAACTGTGCGTCATGTGGAAATGCAAACTGTGTTCTGTGTGACAAGACATACACATGAATCAACTACAATGTGTGGACTATAAGCGTCAAGACCGGTGGGGTAGCTTTGAGGCTGAGGCGTTCGCTCGTCAAGGTCAAGATTCGATTACCCAAATGGAATATTTTGTAAAACCAATTTCTGGTGTACCCAACTGTGCCGGGACATTGCTGAACGCGGCGTAGAACCATTCCGATAAATCGTGGTGCATATGAACGCTCAAACGTCCACACTAGAATTGTAGTACATGGATCATCTGTAATAAATGCAAGCGCCATCACTGACAGCAGGACGTGATTACAGCACAAATACGGGATGGCACACTCGAGTGTCCTGACACAAACAAACAGGAAATGGGGACGCATTTGAATCGAGTATCACAGGCCTAAAGTCTGTTTCAGTCTTGTAACGTTTTCATAACGTTTGTAATTTTTTGTCAAACCCAAGAGTATAAAAGACCCCCCTGTTCATGACTGGCGTCATCGGTGAGCAGGATACGCTGACCTTTTAGCAATCACTTGATATATCATTATTTGATAGTGATTCCTTAGAATCTACTGACCTCCAGGAGGCAGGTGCTCGTATCGACTTCTGGCCAGGACAAATACAACGAGAGCCAGGACCATGCTGAACAGAGGGACGGAGAAGCCCCAGGCCCAGCTGTAGTTCTGTTGAAGGTAAGCTACCCCAGAGTAGGCGACCAGAGCTCCGGCGTTGATGAACCAGTAGAACCTGTAACACAGATCGGCGGCTAAACATTCCATATACCAGCCTGGGGGATTCACAACCACTGCGACTTGCAACCACAGGATTAGGAAATCGCGGAACTGAACACTAACTTACAAAACAAGCTAAACACCTGGCGTTTTGGGATTTAAAAAAAATAAACAACGTAAATATTTTAAAAAGTGCTTTGATTGTAACTTACAAGTTAAAAGCATTATGTCTCTGTTTCCAAGAAGCCACAGATATCCTTTTATATAAACAAGTCGATTAAGGCTGTTAGTGGTATACATGTTAAAGCCACACATCCAGAGGCCATTTGCCATTGGCAGACCATCATCAGACAAGTGAGAGGCGTCAACCAGACTGGTCAGACATCTGACGGTCCCAGAACTCGGGGATCGAGAATGACATCCCTGCAAGATGACCACCCCCTGCACATTTAGCATCTGCACAGTCGGGTGCTGACCTCGCTGGAGTCACAGTGATGAGACGACTGCATGCTGTGGGCATCAGGGTTATGAACACCGACGTGGGGTGCTCGCAGCGGCGATATTTGTGGTGTTTTGGGCAATGTCAACGCGGAGGACATGTGCGCCTGTAGGAAATCGAACTCGGGGCTCTCGGCGTAAAGGGCAAACGCTTTAACCATTAAGCTACCCTATCACAAACTGTCATTAAAATATATAATTGCATACCAAGGAAAAGCTGCTAAATGTACAATCATTGATTACCAGTTGAAGAAGGACTGAACGGCAGCTTCACCAAGACCCTCAACCTGCTGGGCTCCGAAGGGCCCGACGTTGGCCTTGATACCACCAGTTCCGATAGCTACAAACGCCAGACCTCCCAGGAAGAATCCTCGTCTCGCCTCCTACAGAAAGCAGGATTCGGAGTCGATGGTCGTTTTAAAATAATCTGGAGATTTCGAGACGCTAAAAGTGCACCATATAAGGCCACACAAAATACATGTTTCTCATGAATTCCAGATTTAGGAAACAGGTATTAAACTATGCAGTGTAAGAATCGTTGTAGATTTAAGCAGTCGTTGGCTACTATGATGGCTAGTTTTAAGACGTTTCCCCCTTGACTTGTCTGCAATCAGTAGCCCTTAACTCCTGAATATCACCATATAATTATGTCCCTCAGAAGACTGGCTATTTGACTTATATGCCTGCGTTACATGACAAACTTCCGAGATGCATCGATATATATATCCCCATATATGTTAAAGTAATCTTTGAATATACCCACTGATATATTGAAGTATCCTACTGATATATCCCCCGATATCTTGAGGTACCCCCGATGTTCCAACTTACCTGTGTCATGTCATAGGCCGACCCATCCTCCGACCTACCGAACATGCTTTTATAGTCTATAGCGGAGGCTGGGATCATCACAAGACCTGCAATGGAGCCGTGAGATTGGGTTCGATCACCAGTGTTAAACATTTAGGATTATAGAAGTTCTTGCCCCACACATACATGAAATTGAACCTTGTTTGCCAATATAGTGATCTCTGATTACTCTGCGTATATACTGCCACACCCACCTAGGCTACACCACAGATGAAACACTGTAGGGCCAGGTCCAACACTACACTACAGGTCTAGAATTATACCAACAGTTTACTAGTGGTTCGAGCAATTTACAAGAGATCTACTGTAGCACTACACAACGGGTTCGAGGTCCTAACTTCTTCCCCAAAGACTGGGTCCAGGTCACCGACACAGATCCAGGTCCGGCACCATCCTAAAGTTCTTCACCACCACACGTACAACACTAGTTTCAAAACTAGATCCCAATTCCAGGTCAAGCACTTCACTACAGTTTCACCACGTCATTACAGACATTACAGACGGACATACACTACCGGGCAAAAGAAAGTTATCACTTTTTAAAGTATGAACGGATTAACTTCATGAACGCTGTTTGGCGCCAGTCGCTCTCATTTACATCGAACCACGCGAACTCTGCTATCGGCTCTGAACCGATCGAATCGACTTTCGTCTGTAAAGAGCACTCTCTCTCAGTCACGTCGCTGCCACCGACCCACAGTTCATGTCCATTGCAATCTGCATTGAAGATTTAGACGGGTCAAGGCCATTCCGTGGAAGGCCTCGTACACCAGCCATACCAAGTCGTCGAAGGCCTGTTCGTCTGCTGATGGCGTGTCCTAGTGACGTCGCCGTCACGAATCTGCACCTGAAGGGGATCTGCCGGATGTAGCGGTCTTCGGCCGGTGTCGTGACTTTTTGATCGTCCCGTTCTTGGGCGCTCTTGGGTCTGGCCAGTTTGCTGGTAGCGGTTTATCAATTTGCCCGGCGATGGTGATCTGGCTGCTGTTGAAGGGTCTAACCAGCTGTGAATGTGAAGCCCCTATATTGTCCATACCGATTTGTCCTGTTGCCCTTACGTAAGTCTTGGCATATTCGTGGTGCTTATTTTTGTTTTGTTTGTTTTGGGGTTTTTGGTTACTGCATGCGTGCTGTCCAACACCGGTATTTATGCCACAATCATGCATGTGCATTTGGACCAATGTCCCACAATTATGTTTGTCACATTTTGATTCGTACGATGTTTTCGCACAGCTGCGTTGTTATCCCGACCATGGTGCGTTTTTGTAAATGTCTTCTGCTTGGGTTCAAAGTTGTACCAGCGTTTTAGTTTTTATACAATTACTGTAACAGTGATAACTTTCTTTTGCCCGGTGGTTTAGGTTCAGCCCCAGCATTAGGTCCAACACGTTACTGATGGTCCAGCACTACAGGTCCACACTCAACCATAGCTTCAGGTCCAGCACTAAGTCGAGTGGTGTCGTATTTTCTTCAACATGGAAACATTCTTCTCATAAAACACATGCGAGCGTCAGTGCAGCGTTAGTTCTATAGCAACATCAACACACCCCCTAACAGCTCAGCGCCCTACACTATATGAGTACTGTCACGCTGTGGGGTATAACCTGTGTAAACACTGGGCCCGGTCGTCAAGGACAGACCAGGAAATACTGGGCCAGCTGCGTAACTCACCTATGAGGTAGATCAGGCCTGCTCCTAGGATGGTGTTGTATCGACCTGCCATGGAGTCGGCGATGTAGCCTCCGGCCACGGGGATGAAGTACACCACGCCTGCGCAGATGGAGTGTGCACGCGTTAGTGACTCACAATACAACATAGTATTTTCCAAAACACATTTAACTATAGCTGAGAAAAGTAAATGAGGGAAATCTTCAAAATATATATAAAATGGCATGCTGGATCCTTGGGAAAGTACGCCATTGCAAAGTGACAAAGTGTCAGACAAGTACAGGGCTGAGTTTGTGTTAGCGCGGTGGAAGTTGAAGTGAGAGATACCACCTAGTTCTGATCCCGCTTTCGCTTTGTGACCGATCTAGATGTCATCAGTCCACGATTGGGTATAAGTTGTTTGTTCGTGCACCATGCCGTGTTCGTTCACTCACTAACTCACGGATTCAGGAAAAATGATGTAACATAAAGTTGCACCTGATCTGTAGCTCTCCTGCTGTGTAGCACATAGCTACATTGGGTTGACACTTGGTGACCCCTCTGAAGTGTATCATCTGCTACAGGCGCGGGGTCACATCACTGACACTGAAGGTCAGATAACGATCGTTCTCGGCGTTCACATATGAGAGCACATAAAACAATATATGTAAACTAGACCTTTAATCATTGTCAAATATTTGCAACCTGGAGGAATGAGGTGTGTTTCAGACAGACCATCAGTACAGTAAAACACCACAGTTATCTGCAACCTGTCCGGTACTTGCAGGAATACTATTGACACATATACAAACAGCAAGCATCTACATCACAGAATGCGTTAATGGTTTACACCCAACATATGTTAGTTGGTATTATAAGTACTGATTCTAATACTTTTGTATTTGAATCCCACCCGGGATTCGAAAGTGAATACTAACATCTGTACTTTACCGAGGTGCAATCCCAGAGATAACATATGCTGCAGTTGATTATGTCCTAAATAACATGATGCATTCAATAACTCAGATCTTTGGTTACAATTGCATCTTTCATTATATCAGTGGAATATATACTATTATATATATATATGTGTGTGTGTGTGTTGTGTGTGTCTTTTGTTTGTTTGTGTATGTGTGTGTTTTCCCAAACTAATATATATATATATATTAGAATTGTGAAAAAAGACTTTGTGTGTGGAGTTTGTGAAAATGCGATGCGTGTGCCGTTGACCCAGACTGACCTGAGAAGACGAGACTGATGGTGGCTGCATCTGGACTGCTGTACTTCAGGGTGCTGGTGCAGAACAGGATGAGGTTGGCGACAATGCTGTAGTACGTCAGGCGCTCACACAACTCGCAGATCAGGATGGACATCACCACAAACACTTTGGTGGCGCCAAACGTCACGTTGGGTTTGCTTCGTGACTTCTCAGAACCCGAAAAATCATTCATTGACTTCTCATACTCCTTCGTGGCCGCCATCTTGCCGTCTGGAAGGAGCCGCTGTGTTTCCCCGTCAGCCTCATAGCTGGTGTTGTCCGATCGAGGCATATCAACGGAGATATGTGGACCTGCATAGCAAACACACTTATCAGCCAGCATGAAGGTAAAGGGTTTCAGTCAGTGTATATCTACTGTACATATATACACACAACTGAACCAGAGCCCCCAGGACTCTAGTAGGTGTTTCCAGGGTACTTCAATAGTCATGTCACGAAAGTCCGGATGGACCTGCATGTAGACGTCAAAGACAGTTCCAACCTGAAACACTTCCTACATAACCACCACCTACAACATCGGGTGGCAACACACGACATCGACATGGAACGGTCATCAGCACATTCAGGACATCTGCTGGAGGAATCAGAGCCTGCATAGTGGCAGCTTTGAGTCTTTGAACAATACACAGCATGGGAATATCACCAGTTCTGTCCCTTTAGCCTCTTGAATCCCATTGCATTCCCATCATCCAATCCGTCATATTCAACAAGAGTCCCGATGTCACCTTATGTGATTTTAAACACGAGTCTCGTGACATAATCTCTCACATTCAGCAACAAACCCATCACCGAATATCTTGTCCAATACGTCACCTAACTTCTTGTCCAATACGAAATCCGTCACCTAACTTCTTGTCCAATACGAACCCGTCACCTAACTTCTTGTCCAATACGAGACCCGTCACCTAACTTCTTATCCAATATGTGACCCGTCACCTAACTTCTTGTCCAAAACGAGACCCGTCACCTAAAGTTTTGTCCAATGCTAAATCCGTCACTTTATTTCTTGTTCAATACTAAACCCGTCACCTAACGTCTTGTTCAATACGAACCGGCACCTAAATTTTTGTCCAATGCTAAATCCGTCACCTTATTTCTTGTTCAATACTAAACCCGTCACCTAACGTCTTGTTCAATACGAACCCGTCACCCATTGCCAGTGTCAGCAAAGCCGTGAAGATCCGGGCTACAACTGGTCCTCAACTTCCCATGCTGGTTCGGATGGCCAGGGTCTCCTGCATGTCATTGCATCCCAGTTGAGCAGATCGATGCTAACGATGATAATCACTGGATTGCCTGGTCGAGACTTAATTATTTACAGATCTCCTTCATATACCTGGTATATTGCTGAGTGTGGCATTAAGCAACAAAGAAAAAAAGCTATGGTCAACGAACCGTCACGTAATGCCATGCACAGCAAGAGTCCGCCATCAAATCTCCAGCGCTCAACAAGGAAAAGATATCTCATATCAGGGTGAATAAGAAACCTAATGTCATTGTCAACTAAATACCGTGGCCGACTGCCATGTTCAACCATAAAGCGTTCGTCAGTTGTAAGGTGTATCTTAATTAATGTCATTGTCTGTAGAAACACAGTTCCAGATCCAACCAACAGCACTGATGGACAAGAGGGAAACGATAGGATGCCAGTGCTGGAGAAGGGCAGTTTTCCTGGTATCACCACACAAAATAGACCAAATCTGTACATCTCCCATGCGCAATGGTATTACATCGACAAAAAGAAAAGAAAACTTTAATGTGAATTTGATATAGAATATATTAATGTCCAGGAAAATGGAGACATGTTTAAAATGGTTTTAATTCAGTCCATGTTTTACATGACCTGTACAAATACGGGTTGAAAGTGGTCCAGCAAAATATGCTTCTCGTAAGCTTAAGAGGAGACTAGCGGGATCGGATGGTTGGATGTCATCGTATCCCAGTGGCGCAGATCGATGCTCGTAATATCGTTCACTAGATTATCTGGTCCAGACGTGATTATTTACAAGCCGTGGTCACATGTGTGGTCACCAAGTGTTTGACCACTTCTCCTTGAATATGAGGCTGCATGAGCTGTAGTTCTATATCGCCTACAGTTTTCACAGAACCATTTTCCGTATATCTGTGATACGTTGAGGGATTTCTGGACAGTATCCGGTCGACAGCAGAACTCTAATCTCTGTCCCCGTGATGGAAGAGCCAGGAACGAGGACTCCATGTCCCCGGTGTTCCGCGCTCCGCCCGGGGGGAAACAATCATGTTGAGGACGTGAACGCTGATGGAGTAGTACAGAAGTGATAGAGTGGTCGCTGCAGTAAATTATCTTTCAGAATCCGTCCTTTTATTACAAAAGGATAACATGTATACCTCGCTCAGTGATAGTCAGTGGGTGTGTTGTGTATCTGATCGACGTGTACACCGGCGACACAATACACTCAACAGCTCTCAATTCTACTAAACAAATATCTGAGGACATCAGATCAAGGGTCACGTCAAAAAGACCTTTCATCCGACCAACCAGAGTATCGCTACCAGATCGGGAAAGTGACACTCGAATCATGTTTTGATCATACAACACGGGTCATATCGAAGGGCAGTTACGTCCTGTGCGATCGATTCCGTCAACGTCATCGTCAATCTCTCGCGTGGAATGAGATGTGGAATAGCCCACCCACTCTCGACAATCTGTCGAACCTGTTGGACATTCCAGGATCTTCTTGTATTCAGTTTTCAAATTGTGAATAAAAAACATTGTCAACTTGCTTTTAAAAGGCAGTGTGGGATGCAAGTTGACAGTTTGAACTTGAACAAGTGTCGTATAACCCGAGATTTATGATGTTTAATGTTGACGTATTGTAGTCATTTCATCAGTCGGTCGCAAAATCGTTCTGACTTGATCCGAAACAGGTGTCCTCGGATCTTATGTAGAAGTTGCGAAGACTAAGATCTCATATACGTTGCGCGAGATTTCTGGCCACCTCGATAGTCATATGTTGCCAGTTATGTTATTGCCCTTTTCATGAGGACCCTTATGCAAACTTCAGCTACCTAGTTCACTGTTGGACCCGGAGAACGTGAGTTGCATTTCATAGCCATTTCTTTTTCAAATTTAATCAACCAATAGCTCCGCTTCAAAGAATATATTTAGCGAGTAACCATAATCTGCTGTCTTCATACCACAGTGTGCGTGCTCCCGCGGCCTTTACCTCTATTGCGTATTGGTATGCCAGCTGTATCAGTTGGCGCGTGTCAGACCAAGAACTTAAGTGATTCATTCACTTACTTTCAGCCTTAACACCACAGGTTCAGTCTTGACACCACAGGTTTAGCCTTGACACCACAGGTTTAGCCTTGACACCACAGGTTTAGCCTTGACACCACAGGTTTAGCCTTGACACCACAGGTTTAGCCTTGACACCACAGGTTCAGCCTTGACACCACAGGTTTAGCCTTGACACCACAGGTTTCAGGTTTAGCCTTGACACCAGGTTCACACCACAGGTTTAGCCTTGACACCACAGGTTTAGCCTTGACACCACAGGTTTAGCCTTGACACCACAGGTTTAGCCTTGACACCACAGGTTTAGCCTTGACACCACAGGTTTAGCTTGACACCACAGGTTTAGCCTTGACACCACAGGTTTAGCCTTGACACCACAGGTTCAGCCTTGACACCACAGGTTTAGCCTTGACACCACAGGTTCAGCCTTGACACCACAGGTTCAGTGAGTTTAACGAGTCTTTTCACACTTATTCCGGTTAGTATCACAACTTTTCTGGTGACGGAAAACCCCAAATAGCCGGTGTTAGATATGTACAAGTTCAAAGATACGTGCTGTCATACCAACGGCCGTACAACATGACTTGAACTACTGATCCTGGCACGCGCAAAGGGCTCAAATCTGCACAACCACGTGTTTCGTTTTGGGCATCCCCGTTGCGATGTCAACAATAGCTGTTCACCAACAACAAAGCAGCCACATACCCCCGTAAAGGAAACATCTCCTTGACTATGGTTTCAGTTTTTAGTTGACTTGAGAAGATTTAATTTGTGTCTTGCTGGGAACACTTAAATATCGGTTGGATCACAGAAGCATGTCAATGGCTGTAGATATCACATAGGCAAATATATGCTTAAGTATATGTAAAGCACGACATTGATCTTCAACTATCACCTCAACTCATCGACGCTGACAGTTTACTGGTGTCATTTACAACTCCTTCAGCAAACACGTTATTTTAGATTAAAGAGATTATCAGAAACAAATCAGCAGCATCTGCACAAAGTACAATATGTGTACAAGGTCGGGTTGAATTTCTGGCACCCGACAAGGCTCCGGCCTGATATGCCACTTATTAAAGAAATAAAGGAATAATAGAGAACAGCCCTGCCGTACACCGAGTGAACAGTCGAAACTATCAGGTAACTTGTCATCCAAGTCAATACCTGGTTGTATACAATTACAGCAAGATGTAACAGAATGTAATAATCTCCTTTGTTGTACGGTGTTATTGATTGTACTATACTCTCCGTGCAATACCGCTTGACCTTCGGCGTTTTATCAGCATGCCCCCCAAACTGCCAATATCTCTCTCTCACACACACACTTTATGTATTATGTCTACTGACGTACACAGGAGGGTGCGCCTCTACTGCTTTTGGGGTATTTTCCTAAAAGCCACGTAAATATCGTGAAACGTTATAATTTTGACTGAAAAGATGCGCTGGTAATGTCGCAATAGGATACGATATCTGTGGAGTTTGGGCTTCAGCTACATATATGTTTATATGGTCCACTGAAAACACTTGTATATCGGTCACAAAGTTACATGTAGCAGAAACATGACACATAACCAGCGAGGCTTGAAACTAGTACATATATAAACCAAAACATTCAATAGAATCTCGGTGTGAGAACTTACTGAAAACTGTTATCTGGTCTGGCACAGTTAGATGATTTTGAATTTGCAATGGCTGTTGATATTTCACGTCTTGTATGTCTCACAATTGATACATAAGTGGTGAGTAAAAGTCCAAACCGCTTTGGGTGAGTGAGTGAGTTGAGTTTTACGCCGCACTCAGCAATATTCCAGCTATATGGCGGCGGTCTGTAAATAATCGATTCTGGACCAGATAATCCAGGGAATTGGGATACAATTGGGACACAATGGCATGTGTCAACCCAGTCAGCGAGCCTGACCACCCGATCCCGTTAGTCGACTCTTACGAGAAGTATGGGTTACTGAAGACCTATTCTAACCCGGATCTTCAAGGGTGCAAACCGCTTTGA